AGTTTGTCGCGCATTTGGTAATAGCCACGGCGAAACCATTGGGAACCCCTACATTGCACCGTTTTTCTTTATCGATTTAATCCTTAAATTTTTTGGTGTTCCGCGAGGTGATATAAAAAGTGTAAGTGTTCCGTGGCCGAAAAAAGGAAACTCCGTAATATAGGATACAGTCACGTAGGGCAAAACAAAATATTTTATCATCTATCCCCTGAAAGGAATATGCGGTGCGGTAACCTACCAGTACCATACCTGTAGGCCTGATATTCGATCGCGGGACCGCCTGAAATAATTTAAAAACAGTGTTCCATGATTTTTGACGTCACAATCACTAACGCTTAGATATGGGCTTTGGATACATTGTAACCATGTTCCCCATTTGGCGAAACATCACTGTCCATCGGCTAAATGCTTGATTGAAACATCAGCGCAACAGTTATTACAAGATGGAATTTTATAATTTCGCACATCCCAAAACGTGTCGTTGGAAGTGAAGTTTCAGTAAACAGAAAGGTTGGTGATGAGCACAGACAATTTCAAAAAACTGGGAAATGCAATATTTGTTTGTTGAGCATAGGAGCATTCCGACATGTTTTGTCTGCACAGTTAAAGTTGCAGTGCACAAGGAATACAATTTAAACGAGTTGCTAAGCTTTTATTGTAGAAAACCTGATGCGGCCCGGACTCATCCAGACTCTGCCCCAGCGGCCCCTGAGTAAATTGAGTTTGAGACCCCTGCTCTAATATTTTCATTTTGTTAACACATAAAAAGATATTTATAAGAGAATACTGGCGTGATAGCTGTATGTTATTATGTGTAGCATGTTTTATCTACTCATGTAAATTCTGTCGAGAAAATACTCAAATTTCACGAGCTGTTGATAAATTAAAGATACTGTTTGTGACGGGCTATCTTCGATTCTATACTTTACTTTTGGCCTCCTAAATTACTGTATTAACTCTTTTTTGAGATCTACTGTAAATCTGATTGTCGTATCAGGTATTTATTGGACACGTTTAGTGGCCATAACGATCGTTTCAAAATTTTGTTGTTATTGTTATTTTCTTTCGTCATTATCATTAAAAAATCGCTTTTCTCTTCGAATACTGGACCAATTGCTTTGGAATTTTCAGTGGTTCAAGATTGATTTTTTTGCCAGAAGACTATTACTTTCATTTATTCCTGAATTTTCTATGAATCTTATAAGATCTAATATTTCATCCAAAATTGCGCTGTATTAATTTTTAATTATGGGAACACGGTTTTTAATCCGCCAAGCGTGACGGCTGACTGTGAAAGTTCTTGCGACTGAAAACCCGGAACTTTTTGAGGGTACGGTACCGGTAACGTCAAAGGTAAACCCTGCTTCGCTCTAGTCCACGTGTCCATATATTTGAGCGTTGCTCTCTTGTTTTGTTATTATGATGACTGCTATTTTATTTTGGTTGGCAAAATAATAAATCTCTACCTCTCTATCAACATTTATAAGTATTTTACGTACTTAAAAACAAACTGGAATTTATGTATGATCCACAATTAAATATGCAATTACTATGCAGTACACAATGAATTTTAACAACATAAAAGGTAATTACAATACATTAAACAGAATTACACGAATCTGTGTACTTGGACAGCAAAAACTTTTTCATATTTTCATTGAAAGTATATTTGAGTGTTTGGGTTCAAAATATACCCTAGTCTGTAAAATATATATTCAAACAGTCTGAGATAATTTCCTATGCAATTCAGCAATATCTGGCTTCCAGCTCAATTCGTCATCTATCGTAACCCATAAATATTTAGTACTTCGGGCAATTATGTTATTGCCTAAGCCTGCTCTAAAGTTGGTGATATCATTGTTCTGCTACTTTGTTTTGGAATAATTTAGGGATAATTTATTTGTTCTTAACCAGTCGTCAACCATATAGGGCATAGGTCAGAATTCACTGCAGCTTGAAGTTTGGACGCGCACAAAGCGGATTTCTACAATGAAGTGTCATCCGTAAATAAGGTTGGAGAGAAGGAAAATGGCAGAGCGCAAATCATTAATATTAATAATAAAGCACAAAAATAGCAACGGGCCTATTGTAGAACCCTGTGGGACTCCGCAATTAATGTGGCCCATTTCAGAGATATTCCCCCAATTTTGAACGTATTGATTTCAACCAATTAGGTATGATGAGATCAGACGAAATGCTTTACCTCAATTGCCGTAATGATATAGTTTCTCTAGTAGAAAACGATAATATTTTGGGTCATGTTTGGACCCTCTCTTGTGAAGTTGTACTGCTTTTGCTATTTTCAATATACCTGGATATACACTTACATGAAAGCTTTGATTGATAAGCTTGAATAAAAACAATAAATATGTGTGTCACAGATTAAAAAGGTATCTCCAATATCAAGTTGAAACAGCATAACATCACTAAAGAACTAAAAAATACAACCGACGGCCAGCGCGGCAGCCGGGAAAAGAGAGCGAAAGATACAGTTTTTCTCTCACGTGTAGTGAGTGGTCGGAGTTACAAGGGTCAGAATAACTGTTTATAAACATAAAAATATATATATACACACAGTATAGACACAGACACTTTAGTCCGCGACAAATGTCTATCTCGCGTGGATTACTGTACCCTATTAGTTGAAGATTGTGTAGGTTGGATTTGATTTTAACTAATCGCCTCTGTCAAGATTTTTATTACGTGCGAGACAGGGTCGTTGATAAATCCGCTGTTCCTAACGCGACCACACATTGTTAATAATGCGCCCTCATTGTGAATAATACGTCATTCCAATGCGATTCACAGTTCGCAATGCGCTGCTTGTTATGAGCCTTTTAGGGCTAGGCAAAAGGGCATGAATTGAAGCGAAAAGCAGAAATTCTATCGATAAAAAATTTAAAGTGAAAGCTGCCATCTCCGATGCTAAAATCGAATCGTTAAATTTATCCTTGCTGATAACGAATAATTTTTTTCGAGTTTGAAATCTGCATTGTGAGATGCGGGAGCATACACTTTTGCATATCAAATAAATGCAAAGCGTTAATGTACTTACATCCAATGTACGATTCAAAATCAGTTTTGACTGATAGCTTTGAAATGGTTTTGTTTTTATGTATGTTTTTACGGGCAAATCAAAATAAACACCTACTTTTTCATTTCTTTTAACCGGTTTTTAGGAAAATAAATTGTTGTTTGAATCTACGCCCAAGTATATTTCCTAATTCTGCAAAACGAAGCGAAGATACAAAAACATATAAACATATTATCTCGTATATAAGGTAATTAATTGCAAGTTGTAAATTTTATAATTTGCCATCTCATGGTATATGATCGCACAAACTGGTAAACTACACCAAAATGAAACTCATTTAACGCAACCTCAATAAATAACCTATTTTTGCTGTTCTGCCTCAGTGACAGTATACACTATTCTATATACACTTTTGATGCACATCTTACGAATGCTTCATATATGTCAATAATTTTTCTTTAATGTATGGTTTAGCTCAGGGGTTTGCACCCATTTTCGCGGGCGGGCCAAATACCAATATCTAAGTGGAACCGCGGGCCACACCGTCATTTAACATAGGCTTTCTATTAGTGGCAGGCACAAAGTAGCTAATTTTAGAAATAAATATGTTACCGAATAGTGCCTTCTCGCTTTGTTCGCCTCGCTGTCAGGACGCTGTAAGTCATAGACATAGATAATAAATTGAACTCGGATATAAGCTTTGCAACGCAAAGGGAACCAGATTCAACTAAATTTCGAAACTAGTTTAGCTGGTCGCGCACCAATCAAAATTGTCACTTCTCCGCGGGCCGCACAATTTTCCCTTGCGGGCCGCATTTGGCCCGCGGGCCGCACTTTGTACCTCCCTGGTTTAGCTAAATGTCTGCTGAACGATGCATCACCATGCTTAAATAATCAGACAATAAAACAAAATTTAAATTTAAATGTAGCAAACAATAGGGACAATGATCACTGTTAAAGTAGCATGCTGCTTTATTTAACTTCATTCCATTATTCTCGCCCAGCACCAAATTAAACAATCTCAATCCTTTCTTTATTCTAGGATATCATATTATTCAATTATATTATTGTTTTTATTTTATTATCAGCACTAAATCGAACAATCCTAACCATTTCTTCATCACAGGATACCATATTTTATTATTATTTTAATTCAATTTGGAAATTCCATGACATGGCAAAATGATATTCTTTATATTTATTGTTCTCTATTTCAATATACTTTTATACCTTTGAATTGTCTGGCTGAAATGCGATCGTGATAGGTTTTATGGAAATGCAACCTGAATATCCTTTTTTTGAATCCTGATCTTTTTTAGCGTTATTCAGAACTATAAAATACAAAGTACCTTGAAAAAGCGTATAACTTGACAGAACTTATTACATTGCATTTCCCCAAGCCTGGAAGGAACGCATTTTTGCTGGATTAGCCATTTATTACTTAAGACACTCACCCTTGAGTGGTACATACCATATATGCACATTCTCCTATAAACTTGACTATTTCTCCCATTTATAGTATGTGGTATCATTATTCGAGGGTGCTATGTCCAAATTTTATTCTTATGTATATATATTATGTATTATATTTCATGTTGTATTGTCTCTATTTATTGATGTTGTCTTGTCCTACCAACTCCTTTGTACAAACAGTTGGGCATACTCCACCGTTACCCATGTTGCCTAATCCACCCTCCTCGCACAACTGTCTATATGAAGGACCATATTATACTTATTCGATTTATTGCATTTTATGCTTATCATAAGGGGTGTATGCCGCACGTTCATGTGTTTTAGGCCAGTATAATCTTGTGTATACATCCCGTCTTCAATGTTGATATTTACTAACTCCTGTGTTTTTGCTTTTACGAGACGAATAAACATACATACATACATACATACACGAGCGCAAACAAACAAACTATAAATATTTTTGCCGCGTAGAATTGTTATTTATTTTGATTTCTAAACAAGCGGAGATAAATGTGCAATGTGGAGATTTCACGTTTTATTTGAGGTGTTTCAGGTTTTCTTCAATGAATTGACATTGCTACTCTTCGATTAAGTTCTTATATCTGCATACTGTTGCAGCCCGATGGTAAAATGGACACAGAAATAGAAAATCATCCCGATTTTGCAGTTGTATGGAGTTTTTTCGGTAAATTTGGAAAGCACTTGGACTTGGAAGATATTTTGCTTGCCGACATTACGAGTTGGATATCGGAACCATGGACCAGTGAGTTCTAAATTATTCAGAGTACCGGTACCGTACCGGTACCGTGATATTTTTATTAAACACTTTTTATGTAACACCGGTACTCCTGTCCCCTTTGTTTTTGAGCATGTTACTGCTGTACTGCTGTGCCGTACAGTACCGGTACCGGTACTGTAGTAGATACCTACCGTACTTCTTAGTACAATTTAATTTAATGATTCCTACTAGTAATAGGCCTAGTACTGTAATGGTATTAATGTTGACAAGACTCTGCAATTTAGTGATTGCTAAATTGGGAAATCACACCTTTTGCCTTTTGGTACTTTCACAAGTTGCACAAATTGTACTGTACCCTTCTGCCCTTTCTGATTACGTAATTATATAGGTTACCGTACCAGTATTTGGTAACTGGTGGTTGCTAGTTTGGTTTATGCAAAAAATTTTTTTTTTAAACTCCTGCTATATTCCCAACAGAAACTTCCAAAGTCGTTGATATGATGGTAAAATTGATGAGAAAAACTGGAATGAGAGTCGATAAACAGAGATGGCAGAAATTCATTACAAAAGCTGCATTGAAATACGACTGGGAACTCGCTGTTGAATTGCAAACTGCAGGATTTCAAACTCTTTCCATTTCAAGAAAGCTTAAAATATTAAAGGTGATCTGTTTTTTTTTATATACCATGATTGTTTTTTAAGTTGTGTGAGCGATAGCGTCATTTAAATCCAAAATGTAGATTTTGCGCTGAAGATTATTTCAGTATTTTGTTACTATAGATTCTAATTAACGATTAATTCAGTTGTAGAATTTTAAAAATTTTTTTTTAACAATATGACATTGTCATTTTTCATCTCTTATTTTGTATATTCAGATGATTTGCGAAATGCAATTCGATGACAATATGAAGTTCAAATCAGTGATAAATACTGAAGAAGCAGATGATCAAAGATTAAAGCCGGTTGGAAGGGATGAAGAAGGTCTTCTCTATTGGCATCAGGAGGTTTGTACAAATTTCAAAATTGGATATTTACTACCGAACAGTTGATTTGGCCTTTTTCGAATTCCAATATTGCAAATTATATTTTAAGCCATGCAATGACCATGTCCAAGATATAGCCTATTCACTGATTCGATCTAGTCGAGCTGGTACAATTTGATAAACTAGGTAGTTAGAAAGCGTTGAAATTGACAATATTGAAATGCAGCAGAGTTTTTCACACTGCTTCATTAGCCCTATTGAAAGACCAAAAAGTGGTTCTATGGAGATCTAAACAAACGCTGCCACTAGGTACACTCACAGTTCTTGGTGACTACATTAGTTTGATAAGAAAAAGTTGGTTGTGATTTTTTTTTTGTTAGTTCTAATTTATTATTTCCTTCAATATGAATATTTCTTTTTGTGAGTTATGTTCGACATGTTGTTTTTATTTTTAAAAATTTATCACTAACTACTATTGTTACATTATCTCTGCTGGATAATTATTCAATGGTGTAATATTTTATTTCAGGATACTGATCTGAATATTAGATTATATATTGAAGATGAAGATGATGATGATTATACTGGATGGAAAGTTGTCTGCAGGTTCAATGAATTTTATTTGTTCTTAATCAGTGTGTCAACTAACAAGCGATTTTCGTTGAACCCAATATGCATTTTTCACTCAAATGGTAACACTATGGAGTTAATCCTACAATGATTGAAAAAAAAATCATATTTTTTTAAATGTTTGATACATTTATATCTTATCAATATTTAAGCCTAGCCTGGCCTGGCTTAGTAGTTAAAGCGCTAGACTTGACTTTTCTGGCATCATAGATTGAACATCTTAGGTTCAAATACCACTTCCTCACACAAGCTACTTGTATACGGCCTTCTTCAGAGAGAAATGTGCGATTAGTTGTCATATCATGAAAAATAACAAAAACATAAAAAACTTGTTCTTAGCTTGTCTATTGATTGCCACTTCCTATTTGAGCTACCATCATAGTCGGTGTATAAAATGATACTACTGAGTGAAATATTTTGAATTGCAGTAACTAAGCCAAAGCAGACCATTCTAAATGAGTAAATAGAAACATAATGTTAGCTACTACTAATGTTAATATGGGACAAAAAGGAATAGCTTTTACTACCACTCACTCGCTCAACCTTATGACTTGATATGCAGATCTGGTATTTTAGTAGTATGATTTGCTGTGAGTATCTTAGTAGTATGATTCAAAGTAAACTTCCAAAATTACCTACAATAAGTTTTTAATAATAACATAATAACACCAATGATATTTAGAACAAAAGATGAAATTGGGAATTTGATCAGCAAGCTTACTGATGAACCTGCTCATAAAGTTAAAGGTGAAAACAGGTAAGTTGTCATTTCTTTAGCTTTAATTCATTGCGAGCAATTGGTTCTGAGACTCAAATGTGATGTGAATATTTTTTTTAGTTTTTTAAGGCATAGATTTTTACATTTATAGGCAATAAGTTTCCCTATTTACTAGATCAGGGTATGGTAGCCCAGGACATCAACCTGAATTATCTGATCATGATTGACGAAATAGTTAGGCCAACGTGATAACCCATAACTAGTGATTTCCAACCTGTTTTTATAAATTTCTCCCTTTTCTTATTTAAAAGAAATTTCAATCCCTCTCGCTGCACATAATAATCGCTGTTTATATTTGTTGTTCTGTCTTTAATGAATCCTTAGCTAGTTATAAGCGCAACCCAATTTCTAGTTTTTATACAGTTTGGATAATTTATAATGTGTGTATAAATATGTTTTACGATAATACCAAATATTAAAGAATATTGCCAATACTACACACAAATATTAAGTAAACTTTTCTCTTCCGATTCAATAAAATTCCTCCTCGTTTGGGGAACGGTGCACTAAGCAATCATGTCTGTATAGTTACTTGTATTTTACAGTAATCTAGAGTTTTTGACTGTATATGATTCGATGGTTTCAATATTTTACAGTGATGAAGAGGAAGATATTGTGGAGACAAAGTTTCAAATATTTTTGAAAACTCAATGTTCATCAGATGCAACAGAGGATAAAATGAAAAAGTTTTTACAAACAAATATTGAAAAAAGCATAGATGAAGATGTCTCTGCAAATATGAAACTTGAAAATGCAGAATATTCCAAGGATAATGACGAGTCGAAGTCTGTAAAAGAGGGAAGTAAGTCTGCTATTGAAGATGAGAATTCCTCTAATATCAAGCAGGAGAATATATCAATCAAAAGAGAAAAAGATAGTTCACATTTACTTGATTTGAAAAATGACGAGTCATCTTCACTAAAAACAGTGGACAATTTTGAAGAATCAAAAAGTGAAACAAAGATAAAATTAGAACCAATAAATTCCCAGACTGTTGAAGATGTTAATATTAAGATTACTCCTGCTGAACCAAATACAACAGGAGATGAAAAGGCAGAATCTTGTGATACGAACATTGAGAGTAGTAAACCCCTTCAACAAGGTAACAATGAGGGCTTTGTTGCATCTCCAAATATAAACACTGAAAATACGATTAATGAAATGTCAACAGTTCCTAAATTGCTGGAACAAAATGATTCAAATGATAAATTCAAGTCATGTCCTGTAAGTGTCATTATGTCGACGGTTTCAACAGAAAATGTTTCTGTTATTCCGTCTCAGAATCAAGAAGTAAGTTCTGAAACAAGCAAGTCTTCTGTTACTATCAATGAAAAGAAAAGTAATCTTGAATCAACCACAACTGGAAAAGATATCGAAAATAAAGATATCAAAAATTCAACAGTAAATGCTCCTGCTCAATCATGTGATCAACAAATAGGTTCTGAAACAAGCAAGTCTTCTGCTACTATCAGTGGAAACGTAAATAACATTGAATCTGCCACAACTGGGAAAGATATCGAAAATAAAGACATGGAAAATTCATCAGAAAATGCTCCTGCTCAGTCTTGTGATCAAGAATTAGGATCGGAAACAAGCAATTGTACTGTTACTATCAGTAAAAAGAAAAATAATCTTGGATCTGTCACAACTGGGGAAGATATAGAAAATAAAGAAATGGAGAATTCAACAGAAAATGCTCCTTTTGATCAGTCTCGTGATCAAGAATTAGGATCTGAAATAAAGAAATCTGCGTCAACTATGAGTAAAAATGAAAACAATTTTGAATCCTGTGAAATTGATAAACAAAAGGGGCTTGATATACAAAATAAGGATGCCTCAAACTATGAAAAAAATGATTCAGTTCAATCTGTTAATACTTCTGAACCTTTAGAAGAAAAAGGTTCAGTTTCACATGATACGGACAAAATCGCAAAATCTATTGAAAATAATAGTAAAAACTCGTTGCCCGTTCAAGCTGATGATAGTGAGACTAAGAACGAAAAAGAACAAATTGTAACAATGGCCGCTCAGTCAATATATGAAATGAAAAGTCAGAAATCTGATGAATCAACAGTTGAAATTAAGAGCGAAATTGCTAAAATTGAAAATAAAGGTAATGTCTCCGGCAGAGAAAATTTAATTGAAAATTCTTGCCCACCTCAAAGTGACAATGGTGTTGTGAAAGAAAATGGGCTTGAAATAAAAACAACTGAGAAAACAGTTTCTTCTGTAGGTATGGACGATATTGCTTCTGTATCTCAACCTATTGCAACTGAAAAGGGAATTGAGAATTCTGGTAACAAAAATGATGATATTGGTTTACCGCCTACAACAAATAGTACTGATAAAGGACTGATAAAGTCAGATGTAAAAAGTTCAAGTATCGACATCTTATCTTCTGATAAGAACACATTGATGAAGTCTGAAATTATTGAAAATGTTGACAAGACCTCTTCACTGAAATCAAATGTTTTAGCCAGTGAGTCTGTTGATTCCATTCCACATGCTGACTTAACAGAGAGTATAAACATTTCCCATAAAAGCCCTGTGCATTCTGATGATGAAACTGAAATAAAATCGATGAACCTGATAGAACCTGCCATGTCAAAAAATACTGATGAAGTATTATCACCACCTACTGCTAATGAAGTCATCGAAGAATCACCAATGATACAAAAACATTCATTAAACACATGCTCACTACCTGAAAAAGAAAGTCCAACTGATAAGATTGTCAATAAGACACCTGGTGATATTGAGAACAGAGAAAAACCACAAACTAATATAACACTAGGGTCGCAAGATGATTCATTCGATTCTTCGAAAAAGAATACTGAAATCTCTTCAGAAACTGATAAGCAAAAATATAATCAAATGAATAAGCAGAATGCGAACTCATCAATCGAAAATGAAGTTGCATCAAACATAAAGACAATTGATTCAAATAGTGATACCAAACCTAGTGTTGATAACTTAGATAAGAAATTAACTCAAAAACAGTCTACTAAATCGGAAACTAAATCAGAAAGTCAAGATGATAAGGACAAGGCAATAACTGAACTTGTTGATGACAAATCACCTGACAAGATTGCTGATTCAGCAGAAAATGTTACTGTGAAAGAAGAAAATGCGGAGGTTGCAGAAAATGGTCAAATCAAGTGTTTAACAGAATGTAATCAAGACACTGGAGGTAAAACTAGATATATATTTATCCTAGATACAACAGCGTTCATTTTACTTATCATGATAATATATTTTCTATCTCACATTGACTAGGAATTGTTTTGAAATATTGTGTACTATGTCTGGCCGAATTTTAACATGACACTGCAGCACTGTACATTATCAATCAAGTTCAACATAAAAGTCCAACTTTTCATTTGAGCATGATTTCTATTGTCATCATACAATTCAGGGAAAAAATACGAAATTCCTCGTATTGGCAATGTTCTTAACCAGTTCCTGTTATGTAGTGTTGCATTATCTGTTCTACATAATATGCTGCCATGATTTTATAGAACAGAGGAAGTGCCATTCTGTATTATGTTTTACATAGTGCTTCAGAATAGTGATTCCTGAAATTCTCTGTTCATATGAGTAATAAAAAATAATTGTATGGATTCAACTTGATGATGATGTCACAACCTTTTTGGAAAAGTTTTCAATATTTATAGTTCTAAAGTTTCCCGCTGCTTTAATGTTTAACGGAGCAATGATAGAATATCTCATTTGTCATTAGCTATATTTTTGCCAACCCGAACCCTAATGATTGCTGTGTTTCTGTTCGTTGACTAGTCCTGGTGAAGTCTGATCAAGCTTATAATATGAGTCCTCATGTGCCACCTCTGTTTTGAAGTCTCAACAAATATAAAAAATTTGATATTTTGTTAATACCCATTTTTTTATTTGTCTTGTACTTTGCAATACCTCTTGAAAAAAAAATCCAGATACCCAGAATATATTCTGAATCAAATTTGATCTTTCGTTAATTAACTCAATACTTGATGAAATAAGATTTCACATTGATATCTTTGTGTGTACAATCAAATGAACAGGCCTATTTTATTTAAGATAAAATTTTTAATGGTGAATCAGAAAATACGAGAGAAGAAACAAATAAAGATCAAGAAGAAAAAGAAAATAATGAGGAGAATGTGGAGGAAATAAAAGAAAAGAAATCTACAACTAGGAAGAGGGTACTGTAATAGTTAGTGTAATTTTTTTAAAGAAAAGTTGCTCAAAGTAATTTCATCGTCTTTTGTTAGGCTGGTTGTAATGTTTTACTTATGACAGCTCATTTGATCACCGAAATCTTTTAGTATCAGTGTCATGATTGTTAACATAAAATATAAAGGTGTGGTGAATGGCTATTTTGTAACATTTGAGCAGTTATAAATATTTAGTGTATCCACGATTAGAGATGGTCAAAAGCGACCAATTAGTTCATCAACAAAAAAATTAATTGTCTCACATTATCCAAAATACTTATGTGTGAATGCTATGGTAATTGCAAAGTAAGAACGAAGTAAAATTGTTTGTTCATTCCTATAAGATGACCGAATTAAATACATTCAAAAATGCCCACATCTATTTCTAGCCACAATTCATCTCTTCACAATGGGTGTTTTTTCTAGGGACGTTTGGTGTCATTTGTTGGTATAGACACAATTGATGCTTGAATCCATATGTCAAGATAAAATAATAACTAATTAAATATATATAGTGATTCGAGAGTCTTGCTGCACGCTAACACAAATATATTTCCTAACGTTTCGTCTGACCTTAGTCAGATGAAACTTTACAGAAATATATTTGTGTTAGTGAATCACTTAGGATAGTTCTTTACTCTTGCTAGCATCCTTGCATTATATTCATACGTATCCGTTGGCACAAAAGCATAGAATAAGGATAAGTAGTTAGTCTCGCATAAACCAAATCATTATTCAATTTGAAGGGAAGAAAAAGGAGATCTGGTTTTGGTAGAAAAAAGCCTGCATCTGCGAAGAAATCAACACCTAGCGACACGAAACGACAACAAAATCATAAACCAAAGAAACCAAAACTAAGTAAACTTGAACAATTAAAAAGTGAAGCTGAAAATATACTATATAAAGAAAAAGTGAGTTAATACTCCATTAGTAGTGACATATTATCATTGACACACAAAATCTAAATTAAGTGAATCATTGTTTTGTTTAGGATGATTGAGTAGCTGTATTTTCGTTGTATTTTTTGCATTTACTCTAAACTGGGCTATAGACAAAGTGTATGCTCATTAATTGAGATTAAGTACGGTATGTTTGGAATAGTCTCTTCGATCTGTCTGCCTTGCTAACCCAAGTTTTGGCATATTGGGTAAGGTATTTTTTTTAGAATTACTCTTGAGAGCACCTGCTATTTGTGTGATGTGAGATTGAAATAAAAACATTGAGATGTGATATAGAATGCTTGTGATGGTGTCTAGGTATTTTTATCTACCAAGTCACGATGCCACTACCATTAAAACAAGGATAACTCTATGTATAGCTCAAAATCTGCCAGTGTTGCTTGCAGCTTAATTCCTATTTTTCTGTGCTCAAGAGTTATCAGTGTTTAATACTACTTTGCAGAATTCCAAACACAGTGAAGGAGTGGCCTATACTACAAGAAGTGGGAGGAGGGTTAAAAGTGCAAAGCAGGAAGAAACTGAAGCATGGCAAGTCAGTACTCATACTTTTTTGTGGTATCCTAAGCAAACCCAGAATCTAAATTTTACAATGGTGGACTGTTATTATGTCTTCCTTATAATAATTACACTATGTTGTTGTCCAAAGAGGGATGTAAAAATTTAAATTCAATATTATTTTGAAGAAATTCAATAAATGAAATTTCTGTTTTTTTCTTTTGAAAATTCCCAATGTTCCTAGTGAAATCATGATTTATATACAGTCTTTGGAACTAAAAATTGGCAATGGTTGGCATACATTTATTGCCCAAGTTATTGTCACAAATTTCTTACAAAATTGATTCCTCGGAATGTCCAAAATTGAAACACATTGCACAAGCTATAGAATCATTGATCGGGCCTTACCGATCTGATAATTTTTTTTATCAAAAGTTTCCTTTTACCAAACCGATTGCAGACAATAGAAGATGACAGTACTTCAAAAAAGAAAAAAAAGGATTCTGATGTTGACGAAGACTTTGAATATGTTGAGAAAAAGAAGTCCAGTGGTGGAAGTCATCGGACGGAAAGAGTCAAAGAAGAACCAAAAAAAGAAGTAAAACGAGTAATAAACGACGATACTCCGTGCATGAAATGTGGATTGTTTTCACACCCAGAAACGGTAAATATTAGTTGGTATGGTAGTGTGGTATTTTTTGAATGTATCACTTGACTCTCTACATCAGCCATTGTTTTAAGCTATTTTCGTATTTATTAAACATGGAGTTTGCTATTCTGCAAATCCACTAATTTTTTCCCCAATTATAAGTATTCCGAGTTGTTAGGTTTTACTACTAAAACATGAAATATTTTATAGAATGAATAATTTTGCTCATAGGTTGTTTTAAATTTCAATAAAGAATTGTTACAATTTCAAATATAAAGTCGTGTAATTATTCTATTTCGGAACTTTGCTTATCCTTTTTGATATTAGGATTCTTTAACTGCTGTATATCAGAATTTTTTTTACAACTTTGTGTAAGACTGTGATTTTTACTGTATTTAATAGTATACACAAGTCAAAAAGGTATTTTAAGAAAGATTACCAACCTTCAAACCCCAGGTCCATGAACAAGTTATGCACACTCTTACACTGTTTTTATAATATTTCAGATATTACTATGTGATGGATGTGATAAAGGGCACCACATGGCATGCTTGACACCTCCTTTAATGATTGTGCCGTACGAGGAATGGTTTTGTCCTAAATGTAGCCAGGTAGATATCCTTATTTTTTTAATTTTTAAGGAATAACAAATAAATCAATTTAAGAATTAAGAAGAGCGATTTTTGTAAGTTTTGCAGAAATACGCTTACACATGCAAACATCCAAAAAGTTTGCTATGAAAACTAAAAAAATAATACATGAAATGAAATTGTGTTTTGCCAATAACCTTGCTTACGTTGCCTTTGAGGATCAGGTGTCATGAGCGAATTTTGTATTATTTTTGAATATAATGGATGAAAGAGTTGAAAACAAATTTCTGAAAACAGCATAGGAAATAAACTTGAAATGTGTCTTGCTTTGATAGGTATTGATGATACATATTAGGATACATATTATACATGATAAGTATGATACATATTAATTTGATTATGTTTACTCGAATACCCATGACCTGATGAGTCACATTCATTTATTACTTGTGGTGCACGATTATTAAAAAACTGTATGTTAACAAAGATGGTGAATATATTAATAGGATTATTCAGTGACACTTTCCCAACATTCATTTTGGTAATCCTATTTTGTTTCTTTTTCTAATTTAGGACCACACTTTACCTGTGTAATATTTTCTGGTTTTCAATTCATTATTCTTTGTTTCTATTATGCAGGAGAAATTGATCAAACGATTGAAAGAAATTTATGAAGAACTCGACAGTAAATTAAAATTACATCAAAGAAAAACAAGGCAGAATGAATATAAGAAATTATTAAATGAATACACGGGCATAAGCCAAACAAATATTCTACCAGAAAAGGTAAGTTATACAATTGTAATGAATGGTTTAAACAAGGAAGGACCCTGGACAATTTAGTCAGTAGTTTATTTTGTTCATCATATTGAAAATACACTTCATAAATACGTAAAATTGGCATTTCGGAATGAGAGAGGTGTAAAAAAACAATACTGGTTATCTAGCAGCGACAGCCATTTTTTGATAAGGCAACAGATATGAAATTGCTCAAAATGAGACCTTTGAATTAAACTGGTTTAATTATTCCTAAAATTTGGAATTTTTGTATTTATCAAATATATCTAATTTCGAATGTAATGATTGGAACAGTTAATTAATATTGGACATCGCTATTGGACGAGTTGTTTAAATGGTATATATTATACAATTGTTTTGTACTTCATTACAATACTTACTTTGCATCGATCAAATGCTGGAATGTAATCTGGTTAGCCATGGACCAAAACAGTTTGTGGTTGAAGTGTTAAACTATACTATGTTGGCACTGCTGGTTAATAATCCCAAGTTAAAACCCTATGTCCACCACTCAACATATAGATAGACAGATAGGCTGTGTCACTGTGTGCTCACCTGAGAAGATTGTGGTGCATCAGTGACTGCTTTTCGAAAGCCTTGTTCAGTGTGAATATGTAGCCTATATGACCTCAGAAAAATAAAATTTTCCAAAGAGGTTGACTTTCTTCATTTAAATATACAGATTTATGTTACCATGCCATTTTGCAAAAGGAAAAACCTATTCCAATTTTCTAGCCGGCTCCAGTTAAATCTCGACCCCCTCCAAAGAAAAGGAGACGTTCGTATTCAAGTGAATCAGAAGATTTGTATTCATCTGAGCCGAGTAGTCCTGAAGTAATAACAACACGACGTTGCCGAACAAAGGTTAGTACTGAAATACGTAGTTGCTATTAGTTTTCCATTTTTGTGCCATTAAATACTAGTGGCTGCTCGAAAGGTGTAAATAGGCGTAAATGGCTGTTATTGTGTTACTGGGTGTACGAATAGAGTTTTGTTTGGATCAACATTTCGTATGATACTTAAAAAAAGAAAAATTTATTATCGATAATTGTTATTTGTTTCCTATGGTTTTAATTGTTTTTCGTTGTTCAGGTTTCATACGATTTTTCGACTTTTGATAAAACAATCATGGATGCAATAAAAGATGATATCGATATTAAATCAGGTAATTTTTATTTGCAAACTTATTCTGAAATCTATGATTGCTGTAATAATATTCATAATCAATAGCATTCGGGCAAATGGTATTTAATTCATTTTTGTTATCGGATTCATTTTGGTCAGATACTTATATACAGGTATTTGGCTTAATATAGTGATCTTCTGACTAACGATATATTCATATCTTGACTTGTATTTCTATTAGACGAACAAGTTGAGAAGCCTATATCAGGCAAAGACATCAGAACAATAATTGCTGCAGAGAAAGGTGAAGATGTTGATGAGATGGGAGATGATGACACAACACCTGGTACGGTTTCTCTTTTTTCACTTTTATTAATGTCACAGAATTTTTTTGTGTGTTAAAGACTTGCGCCTTTGTTTATATTCCAAGCCATTTCCTCTTAAGCATGTAGGTGCTACTATACAATTAAGGCCTTTTGCCAATAGAGAGTAGACACATACACTTTTAGATGGGTTGGCTGTATTACATTAGTGAATAATACCAGACCTTCTATCCAAATAACCATGTACATGTGAGTGTCAAGCCGCATTTTCAGTTTTCTGTTGAATATCCTTCAAAGCAATATTGAAACTGGATATTCAATGTTCCATCTTTATGTGTTTGGGATTATTCCGAATTTGAAATTTCATCAACATTATTTGTCTCAAATAAAATATATTAATCCAATATTTCATATGATATATCTAGAATAATGAATAATCTGATTGGTCAATACTGACTTTTGTAAGAACACTCAGAAAATCAATTCCGAAATTTTCATATTTATTTGTTCACTCCAAACAGCTGTCACAATCTAGTGACTTGAAACCTGAATGCCTTTGTTATTGTTTGATTTGAAATTTGCCTATGTGTCTGTATGATAACCATGCTGCTTTATTAAATATTCGCAGGTCGTAGGAAGAAACGAAAACTAACAAATTTGAATACAAGTGGAAGTGAAGCAGCTGAATCTGGCAGTAATTACAGGTATATTAATTTTCACTGATAATTGGATGCGAAGTGGATCATGCTAATTTGTGGTTGTTGTTCTTGTCAAATTTCCCCAGTAGGCTATTGATTGAAGTTCCCTTGAAGTCTTGATAAATTTTTCAAGTAGACTATTGATTATTGTTTCTTTAAAGTCGCACAGGTACCTGATATTTCGCCCTAAATTTTTCTGGTTTTTATAGCCCATAGGCACACCTTCATTTGACATTCGGTACAATTATTATAACAATTATATAACATATTAGTCATTTATCTTTGTATCCATGAATATGAGCATTGTTGTTTTCTATGAAATTCATTTGACTGTTGCATTGTTGATTGTTACTGTAGTGTAGAATGTTATTCTGTAGAATATTGACTACAATTTTGTGGTTACTAGATATAAATGAATTGATTTTTTACGTATTGCATGTGGAGTGGAGGGCTCTTAACTAGATTGGCTTAATCATATAAACGAGGTCTGGAACAAGAGTAGAAAATATATAATATATATATATCATATTGCAGCATATCGGCATCTGAGGAGGAACCCAGTGATGAGGAATTCCAACTTTCTGGAGTTACAGACAGTGATGACAGCTTAGGTGGAAAACGGAGATCAAAGAGGAAGAAACGTCCGTATGTTAAACCTATTAAACGTTCAAAAAGACTTAGAAGAAAAAGAATACAGGAAGAATATGAAAGTAAGTATTGAATTTTTTTCTGAATGACTTTTGGCCATTACTTCGATAAAAAATAACTGGAATAATATATATCATTATGGTTGAAAAAGTCGATATATAACACCATGAAAGGGCCTAGAAGATGATATCAAGCAGGTACCGAAGGATGTCCAAAAAGAATATACTATTTGAATTTATTAAAAATTATTTATAATCAATGCAACAAATTCATGGATTTATGCATAATTTGGAATATTATAATTTTAAAACTCCTGACCAAAAATAGTTTATATTCAACTTATGATAGCAATAGAAAAAACGATACAACAATGTTCATTTCTTCTTTGTACTAGAATTAAATATATGATATATGGCAGTTTGCGAAATGTCTCTCCATTAAGCATATCTATATTCAAATCTAGAATAAATACGATATTTTACATTTGAAAATATTGCTTGACTGTTTCAGTTCCACAATTGCGATTTCATCAAATAGCCATGGTGGATTCACCAATGGGGTTAGCTATAGATAGTGTAATTCAGAGTGTGTAATTGTAATTCAGAATGAAGGCATCAAATTTACTAAATTTATTTTTGTGTCATTAGTTGCTATAAATATGTTTATTGAAATTTTTATTTTTGTTATGCAGCAAGTCTTTCAGAATCCAGTGAATATGAAGAGGCTGCTCCAAAGAGGACAAAAACCAAAAAGAAGAAGAGGGTGAGCAATGAGCATTTTTTTTCACACCACATTTATTGTAATAGATTTCTGTAATTTGGCTCAAATCCTGTCTTCATTCCTAGTCCTGTTAAGCCTTTGGTTGGAATTTCATGCCAGAACCGGTACTCCCGAAGTATGTGAACCAACGTGGCGGACATCGGAACGTAGTATGTGTACCAGGTTAAGCCATAGTTTCAGGTACAAATACTACTGGAGTCATTTGGCTAGTCCCCGAACTCGTGATAGAACTAAAATAAGGAAAATTGGAATAAAATTATGGCCTAACCCTAACCTGGTACACATACTACGTTCTGGTGTGCACCATCTTGGTTCACATACTTCGAGAGTACCCCAGAACTATTAAATCGACTTAAATATTTGTGTCATGTCATTTGTTCAACAATTCAAGCTGATATGTGAACGTTTTACAATTGCAGATGTTTTAATATGATAAAGTATGCCTGGAAGTACAGTGAATTCCCTTGTGTATTCTTTATGAAATAGTGATTCGTCTAGGGAGAATTTCACATTTTCTTGTGCAGATTTCTATGCATAAAGATATTAGTTTTCCCAGTTTTTGCTGCACTCTGTTTGCATGCAGGTTTACATGCTTCTTTACTGATTTTCAGTTCAATCAATATGGAAGGGACTCAACTGAAGATGAGTATGTTCCTCCTCGACGAGTAAATAAAGTTCAAGAGTTTATTGATGACGAGGAAGAAGAGAATGAGGAGAAAAATGTGAAAAAACCAAGACGGAGTCGGACTCTACAATCATCTTCAGAGGAAGGCGACGAAAATAAAAGTATGATGATGAGAATATTACTGTGATACATTTAAATATTAAATAGATAGAAGATATTTTGACAATTGCGACATCACAGGCACCTCCTAGATGTAATCTTACCCGTGACAAAAAGCTTTTTATCTTCCTAATATTCTAATGCAATGTGACAATTCTTCAGTTCATAATATAAGGTTGCAATATTTGCTAGGTATGGCTTTAACCAGAAAGCCATATTTTTAGAGAATTCCAAACTCTCTAATATTGCAGAAATAGACACTGCTTATACAAGTAGTGAATATTCTACCAAGTGCACCGTTGTTGTTCCATTGTGATATCAATATTAAGGTTGTCATCTCAGAATTGTAAAACATGCACACAAGCTTTCATAATGCATTGCATGAAATTTGTATAAGCTTTAACTTAGTCAATGTGGTGACGAATGGTGTAATAACCCTGTATTATTGCAGTATTTTGCTTCGAACCGTCCAAAGTTCTCCCTTATTACATTAAAAAAATCAATTATCATAGATTATTGTATTTTCATTCAGATAAAAACAGCGACATTAAAATAGTGCAAAACGGAAAGATGACGGAGAGTCGTCAGATGATTGGAGTTCTCTCTCTTCGAATGCTGCTCGAACTTCAGAAGATGACAGTAATATCTCAGATGCCGAATCAACTGAAAATAAAACTGCTAATACATAATGCTCTTTGGTGGTTTCAAGCTAGAACACTGATTTCATTGTAGCAAGAATCATATGCAAATTAGTACTGGGCGATAGGACTCCTCTGGGTTTGATTTGAAGAAGTTTTTCACTCAACCAGCATATCTGATCATAAATTCATATTTTGATGGCATCTACTATATGATACATCCTGGAAGAATACAGCAATAAATTGCATTTTTACTCTTTTTTCAAAATATATTTGGCTTAATATACTTATTTCTTATCAGGTTTCCTAGTGCTTGAGATTTCTGTCAAAATATCTAATTACTCATCTTTATAGTTACACACACACCTGATTACGGTATGTAACATCAAGGATGGCATTGATTGAAAACGCTATTCAATGTTGTTTCAGTGAAAACTGATTTCACCAAATATTATGCTCGTAGAAGTTGGCAGTTGAAAATGTTATGGATAACTAAGAAAAATTCATTTTGACCGAAAATCATTCCTGTTTAGACCATTTTTTTTTATCTAGCTTGCTGTACAATGTTGTCAACTTAGCTGGAAAATACATTCTGGCTAAACGCAGAAGGGGTCAGAGAATTTTTTTGTACTGTATTGTGTCAAAGTGTTTCATGTTTAAACGTCATTGTTACCAGGATTTGCACTATATAAGATTATTTTTCTATTTTTTCTTGTTTTGTACCAAATTGATCTATTGAAAGATCAAAATTGTTGAACTTTTATGTCTTCATTGTAAAGTTTTGTTGAATACATTCGCAAAAAACTGCCATCAAGTTTGATTTTTTATTCATCAATGAGTAAGCAGAAAAGCTGGTGCCATTTATATAACCAAAGTAAATTTCATGCAGTCGTCATAAATTTGCAGTAGAGTTAAGATCTGGAGAATGGAAACCAGATTTGGCTGGAAAACTTGCTGCATAGCAGAAGGCAAAAGATAGTCTCTCTCTTGTGTTAATTGGGACAGATTAGGATACGGTGGTATCATGTTCCTGAATGGTTTGAATCTGGTAGCTTAAGGTCGTTCGGTGGTGGGTAGATGGTATATCACACCATGGAATTGACACAATTATGTGACTAAACATAAGTTCAAGGAACAGTATAGTATGCTCAGCTGAGAACCCTTTAACATGTTAAAATAAGCGCGACAACACTACAACGAGTAAGCTTGAGATATGCGGTGCATATTAGTTATCACAGTGGTTAATATTAGCCAAAAAGCTGTGATACGTAGCCAAATGCTGCGAATTTACTCACCAAGCCAGAAACAGCCAGCCGCACAGACCGCCGCCGACGGTATCTAATTTAAAGAGGGCGAACAAATTCACGCAGTCGTGTTTTAAAAGCAGCAGGTCGCTGCGTTCTTGCGAAGAAGGCATTTTTTCTCTTTGTTGATCACGTGTCAAGCTCTGCCAAAACACGATTGTGCTCGTCGAGCGCGTCATAACGGAGAGAGCAGCGGTGACGAACGGAAGGTCGGGTGCATGATTTTTCATTCAAAAATTTCACCCATTACGTCACACTGACACGGGTCATTGCGCACTTGTTTACATCACGAATTGCCCAAGATGACCTAAATGCCTTTCCACAATGCAAATTGTTCTTTTTATTGTCGATAATTCCGCATCGATGGGCCAACGATGTTATCTTGGGACGAGGTTATTGGATGTCGCGAAAGGTGCCGTCGAGACTTTTATCAAGGTGAAATAGATTAATTTATTAATTCAACGAAATAGGTTAATTGCTTGTCGCGAATTAATTCGCGCTCTTTTGGGTATTTGACTTTTATAAATGTATAAACGGTTGTCAGTGAATTCTGACCCACTGACTACTAACCACCGTGCGATTCATTCCCTTATGGACGTGTACAAGGGGTTAATATGTGTCTCTTGGTGCGTTTGAATTGAGGAAATATATCAGGCTGCCCTCTACCGCCGGTTTATATCAATATATAAATGCGGGGTTAAAGTGAACTGGATTTTACGGTAAGTTGCAAGCCCAGTTTTTTCTTATACTTAGTGTATGATGTGTGTTCTCTTAAAACAGTCGGTATGTTTGCTTTTGTGTGTAAGGGTAGTGTGCTGTTCTAACATAGAGTTGAGAAGTTAACCAAGGTTACCGTGCTCAGTTAGTCTTTGTTGTCGATCGCCGAACTTTGATACGTTTTCCGTTAATGGGTTAAGGTTGGAAACATTACTTCGGAGCTCTGCGTTCTGCATCAGTAATTTCTCTCGGTTCTCAGGCATGTAGCGCGAACGCAAATATTTGTGGGATCGTGGTTCCTGTGACGCACTTGCGTGAACTTGTTGCCGCGTGGACAGGATTACCACCAGAGTGCTAGCGCGATTGCGCTAATATATCGCCGCCTCGATGAACAATGCGTTAGTTCACTATGGTTGGGCGGGTGGCTGGTGCTCTAGCTGAAAGTGGAGAGACATTGCGATTCGATGTATTTTTTTGTAATAAAACAACATAACACGTAGTCTAATTATGATATTGGCGTTCAACATTCCTTGTAACACACAGATGCAACATAGCAAATATATATGACAAGAATGCATAGTGGTATTTTATTTATTAAGTCCTATCGCCGACTTATGGCAACAAGCAGAACTGTCAGATGGATGAATATACTAAGCCTGCTTAGAAAGTTTCTCAGATAAATTGGATGCTTCAATTAAAGATAGATATTACCAATAATATGTGTTTCATGATTTGTTCAGGATTAATTAACAATATTTTTCTTAGGTCGCTATGAAGATGTACATATCTTAAATATAACTATGCATAGCCGCGGATTCAACATTCATATTTTCAAATAATGGTTAAAAATAACTGGAACGAGAGGCTGTGGTTGGCCCTATGATTAACCCGTGTTATTGGGTTTCCTTCCCCCGGGATAAATATGTAAATTCTATCCTAAAATATTTCATCTCCATTATAGCCTTAACTATTTCAACATGATAGAATTTTGGAATCCATGCATCATTGACTTACACCTATTTTTTTACTTGTATTTTTAGATGAGGTCACGTGATCCTGCAAGTCGAAATGACAGGTATATGCTGGTTACATTGGATGAAATAATGTTTTCGATCAAAGTAAGTATGGTTTGAAAATCCCTAAACACAATAAAACATGTCATCCTTATTTGCATAACACGAAATGATCTCAACAGGATCTGTCCATCGAAAACAAAAACTACATATGCACATAATAGACTTCACTCCTACTTATATGAGTTGACACTAACATTATATGCCAGAAAAATTCTTATTCGTCTTTCCATTATGAAACCCAATAATATATGTTGATCTCAATTTTGATCCCATGTGTCATTGGTTGTGTGCGCAGAACTAATTAAATACTAAATGCATTCGGAATAGTTCATATTCAATATAGTAAGTTACAATCTAGATTAGTTACAATATTTTCATTTAAAACTTTGTATTTCCTAGGCATTTGGCATTTGGCTTAAAACAAAAAACAGACTTCATTCAATATTTGATACTAAAAATTCAAAATTATGTTATATAAAGCATTCTGCCCTTTTCCAATTAAAATTCCTGTAAATTTACAATGCTTATTAAAAATTTCTCTGTTGCAAATATCCTAGTTGAGTATCGTATATGTTCTAAATATGAAAATGCCTTTTATTTAAAAATGTTTTCAGAGTAGTGAACTATTCAATTTTGGCCATCTTTGCGCATGAGACATGCTCTGTTTCATCACATTTTTTATTCTGTGCATGATTGAGCTGAACTATTGGCACTATACAACAAAATATGGCGCTCCTGAAGTATGCGTACCAAGATGGCGGACACCGGAACGTAGTATGTGTACCAGGTTCGGGTTAGGCTGTAATTTTAGGTACAAATATTACAGGAGTCACTTGGCTAGTCCCCAAACTCATAATAGAACTGAAATAAGGAAAATTGGGATAAAATTATGGCCTAACCTGGTACACATACTACATTCCGGTGTCCACCATCTTGGTACGCATACTTCAGTAGTACCCAAAATATAATAAGTAATATCAAGCACATATATTTATATAGAACTGCAGGCTCATCTGATGGGTTGCTAATAACAAAGTTGCTGCATAGTCTATATATAAATAGAAAACCAATACAGAAAGACCAGCAAACTGTCATATTGCTTGTAAATAGTAGCAAAAATTTCATCTTCAAATATTAAGTACCAATGGATAAATTACATGCGTAACACTCGATTAATGGCCCATAAATTAGTTATTTGACTCAAGGGCAAGCAATAAACATCCAATAAATATATTATCTCGTCGAAAAACAGTCGGTTTGTGTTCAGGGACGTAAGCAATTGTAGTATCCTCTTATAATGTCTTATAATAAGATCACAAGCAACATCCAGACAACATTGCTGATGCTACTTCTGAAAGTGTGGTGGCCACACCCTCACTCTACTACATATGTTTGGACTTTTCAATCACCTGACATTTCCAATTAGATTCACATTTGACCAAAGCTCATACAACACTATTTGAGACATAAGTTTTGGGTATATAAAGATTTCATTAATAAATATATTTTTTTTTATCTAGGCAGGGTGGAAGGAAACTCATGCTCAACTCATTGATAGACTGAAGTCATTACAAGCAGAAGGTCTGACTACTTTAGGTCAAGCATTACGAACGTCATTTGATCTTCTTAGTGTAAATCGTCTAGTGTCTGGTATTGACACATATGGACAGGTATAACTATACTTATATATTTATTCCTTTCAAAAAGTTTTGTTAAACATTCAATGGGAAAAACATAAATTGTCTGAATATTGTTGTGAACAACCTCAAAATCAGACCCCATTTATAATTAGCCTAAAAAAAGCATTTTTCTATATTTTTTTGTTTATAACAGTTGGTGAAATTAATGCTATATAAGCTTTCAACTATTTGGCTTTATTCGAGCATTTTATCTATGTTTGTGTGTTACACTAATATATCTTGTTATATCAAATGGATTAGCAAAGAGGAAGTGAATAAGCTTTACTGGAAACCTGTTCGATTTGAATAATGATAGTCAGATTTCCTATTATCAGGAATTTTTTTCATTAAAATCAGGTCATCAATACATACCTTGTTTCATTTCCAGGGAAGAAGTCCATTTTTCTTAGAGCCAGCTATGATAATAGCTATTACAGATGGTGGAAAATTGAGCAATAAAAATGGAGTACAAGCAGAGGTAATATTTATTAGTGGTATATATGAATAGAAAACCTAATATTGTATAGCATTAGTTCGCCATGGAACAATCTTATTTTTTTTTCAGTTCCAACAAAAATGATGTGGCATGAAATTTTTTTCAAATTTATGGTTGAGCAATAGATTGACAAGGTTTTGAACCTAAGACATCTATACTGTAATTACAACATAAATGGTACTTTATATCGACCACATATGTTGTGATTTCATTTATAATCATTAAATCCCAGAGTAATCTTATTGGGACATTCTGATAAGAATTACAATTTCTCGCGCTTATCTGACCCATGAGTAAATGGTTAAGCAATCTTATTATATGTACTAATCAACTTTCACAGGATTGAAATCTGCAAACCTAATCAGGGTGATCGAAGCTGTGATAATGCAATGGCAATCAAGTTTATTAATTATATTATGTGTCAACCATTTACCAAATCCACAATCAATTTCTAAATCTGGGGTCGGCAACCTTTTGTTGCTCGCGGGCCAAAATGAAGGTTGCAAGTCATTGGCGAGCCGCACATATATTTTTAGGAAGTTGACAACCGGACGAATGATACTTTTTATAATAAAAATCGAGCAGTAATACATCTCTCAAATAGAATATAGATTTATTTCCTCATTGCATTGCATCTTAAAAATTCCATTCAAATATTTTTGGCGCCATCGAACCTTTTCACTTAGCATCAACTTTTCTGAGTTTTATTGCCATTTGTAATTAAATTATAAGCTCATACGAGTAATTGTTGAATATATATGTGTTGGGTTATAATATAATTTAGTCTACACGTGTCTCACAATAGATTCTGTTACGCAAAGAATATAATCATCAAAACAGCTGTTTTGTTACCATAATTCATCTATGCGTCCCGGACCGGATTACATTACTCGGGCCGTAGGTTGCCGACCCTTGCTCTGAATCATTAGATTATACGCTTTTTAATTAATTGATTACTTTCCAGCTTCATCTCCCTATGAATGATCCTCTACCTGGTAGTGAACTTACTAAAGAACCATTTCGATGGGATCAACGTTTGTTTTCATTGGTTTTACGCCTTCCTGCAACTACCACTCAAGAACCTGAACAACTCGGAAGTGTTCCCAGTGATCGTTCACCTATCAGTCTTATGTGTGAGGTAAAGTAAAACAGGAAGGCAAAATAGTAATGATTGACTCAGATGTTATGTATGTAAATGCCATATGAACAGTAATAGCTTAAAAAGTTTAGAACGGGTTCTTGTTGGAATTGAACTCACTAACAACAGGTTCTCTCATTTCAGAAAGCCATGCTGAACCTATAACTATTTTAAAACGTAACATAAGATTGCCTGATATGAATAATTCAAATATCATATTTACTAATACTTATGACTATGTGAGGTGAGAGCTACAATAACCCGACACACTTTACATAAATCCAATACATAACTCCCAAAACATCAAATATAACACTATAGTCATCTATCATCTAAAACAAAAATGAACAAGAATGAGTTTTTTTGAACATCACGACATTGAACGAAAAGGTTGGCATGGGTTCATCAAACCCCATGAATATATATTTACCCCACCCCTGCATATATATATATATACAATGTGATTATATAATTTTCATATAGTGTTCTATATCTTAGGAATATAATGTTATGGTAATACTGGGATAGTAGGTTATGATAATAATATAGGTATATAAATGTTTTTAAAACTATAAAATAGCTATCGATAAATTGGGTTTACAGGTTTTCTCTGTTTTTATTTATGTTTGTATATCCTAACGCACTCAGCGGAAAGATGCGAGGAGCAATAATAAAGGCGCTCAAATGGAAATGTTCAAGAGCCTTGTTTCACACTAAAACAAATTGGTTCTTGTTATATTTTTTCTGGCCAGGGCCATTTCTGTTCTTGCCTGGAACACAGAAAACATTTAGATAAATGAAACTTGAAATTAACCACGTTTAAAGAAGTTTGTCTTGCAAAATTAAAATTTGAAATCATAAGAGAGAAATATGAAGTAAAACAATTAAAATTAGTTGAAGTCATCCACGAGATGGATTATGGTGTATGCAACTGTTCAATCCTTTATCTATCAGAGGGTTTTGATTGAAATTAGCACAAAATATGAAGAAATTTGAATTTGATTTTTGATCGTAGATATCATCCATAAACAAATGGTTTCAACCTTGATACATTCCTTCCTGTGCCTATTTTAAAACTCTCAATTCCTCCCTCAATATTTATTAATAATCTGTTATGTTGTTCGATATTCCATGAATCTTTAGCAATGGCTTTCGTGCAGATTGGTAAGAGTACAGATTTCCAAAAGCATTAAAATCCTTCCCTGGCAGGAATTCTTTCTCGGTTTGGAAACGCTGCTATAAACAGTAGCATGTTAAAAAACTATTTTGTTTTTATCACAGGTGACAGGTGGACGATCATATTCGGTCACATCACAGAAAACTCTCATGCAGTGCTTAGACTCTCTTGTACAAAAAGTGCAAGGTGGAGTAGTTGTACATTTCGAGTGCATTGATCCTGAGAAACGATTACTCAATGAGGTTCGACAACCAAATGGCCTCATACCTGGAAAGGCCAATGGTGGTACAAATAGCAGGTTTGTGTTTTTCTTATCCCTGTGCAGTTATTCTTCAAAATACTTATGGGTGACGTGAACTTATTATTTAAACCATGCAAGCTTATCTAAATCCAATTTACAACTTATGGCAATAATATTACCACAATAAATCACCACTATAGTATTGATTGAGAAAATGCTCATAAATGTCTGATTATATGAGTTTTACCAGCTTCCTACTAGGATTTTTTATTTGTAAAGTTTTCTCAAATATGATTTTACACTTGCATGCTCTTAGCTAAATTTTTTGCACCTCAAATTGGTGGATATAGTTTACCAAACTTTTCAACAACCGGATTGGTGGTTACCAGTTACCGGTAGCTAAGGTTGGACTACCCAATGTTCGGACCTGAGAATTAATTCCTAAAAAGAAATTAATTTAGTAAAGACTATAATATTCATTATTTTTACAGATCAGTATCTCCGAATCCACTGTCAGATCCATCTGGTAACAACACAGGCTGGGCATCTTTACATAGAATGATTTATGTCAGACCAAGTCCCAAAAGTGGTATTCCGATTGGCCATTGGCCCCTTCCTGAAGCATTCTGGCCAGATCCGAATGCTCCATCATTGGTATGTTCATCATATGCTAATAATTTTTTGATCAAATAAATATTTCATTTTTTCTGAGTGATGTGATGTTCCTTCTGTTGGGAATTGCAAATATGAATACTTGAGGGTAATCTGGAGTTCTTGTTTTTAAGTTACTTGAAGGCTGGCTGTGGCTATTCATACATTGAGTAACACAACGTTGATAAAAGTGAATTTTGTGACATGATTTTCTTGCCTAACGTACCCTTCCAATTATGAAAAATATTACTGAAAATTCACTCATTTCCTAAAACTCAAATACCTCCAATACTTCTCCTCTGTTAGAGCTTATGCAGTAATAAACAAGTAAGAAATTTGGAATGTGTCCTAATGATCATGTATTTATTTTGTTATGAAATGGATACTGGATTCGATTTGAATAGATCTCTAATTGATTCCGAATTCTTATTGCCTCAGATACCCAGGACTGCCCATCCTATTTTACGGTTTTCATCTTGTGAGACAGAGCCATTACTGGTTACTAATTTTCCATATGACAAATACGAATTGGAACCATCACCACTCACACAAGTTCTTCTGGAAAAAAAGAATCCAAACACTTGCTGGCAGGTAGGTTTCGACTCTGAATCAAGCAAATCAGTATCATGTTAAAAATTTTTTAAAAGAACGCTTGACACATATCATCACCTCTGCCTAAGTCACTCCCAAGCTCAGTATGTTGGAAAAATTTAATACAATGATCATCGCTTACTCATCATCTTTCAATATTGTCTATTTACACGCTGTATATAAAGTCCAGTACTGATGTGCTGAAAAGTCTTCTAAAAGAATATGGAATGAATCATTGCACATGAAAATTGGCCATATGGTGGGCATTAATAATAAATTGGCCACCCATAATCACTATGTAGCAAATATGATGCAAAAACTACCCTTAGAAAATAACTATTTTATATCGGGCATGGACAAATAGTGTTGCAGGGAGGTCTAAAAATGGCTCTACTAATACTACCCATAACTTTTTGTCAAGTTCCTCTTTGTGCTGTTTCAGATGTGCGAGCTTCCACAGAAAACAATTTTTCATCGGTGGCAAAATTTTTTATTTTTGTATTTCAGGTGTATGTAGACAACAGTGGAAAATATAGCGATAATTCTCCTCCACCCTGTGGTTATCTCAAAGCAAGTTCAAATTTATCTTGTGTCAACTTATTTGTAATGCCATATAATTATCCGGTTCTTCTCCCTTTGATAAGTAAGTATAGATTATAAATTTTTCAGATTATTTTTCATGTGAAAATTGGTAATTTTATTCGTGACCAATTAACAGGATTGGTTAAAAGCAACATTTGGGGTGGATTGGACCTATTATCAAATTTCTAAGAAATGAAGATCGTAATGTAATGACCCTATTCACTGTGTTTCTTAGCACTGGCTTGGTGTTGTAGGGTGGTCATTGATATTCCAGTTTACTGGCCAAGATGTAGCCTATTTAATTATTTAGTGTCTGCCAATGGTGAACAGAATCATACAGTTTAAATAATAGTTATGTAATTAACCCTGCTGTCAGATAAATAGCCTAGATCTATTTAACATATGTCTAAAATGTTGAGTTCAAATCATCGAAGGTCTAATCGGTTTGGTTTACTGAAGTGAAAAGATTCTTCCAATGTTTTATTTGAGTATGTAAAATCGACTGCAATTTTTTTTTTAAATACAGCAAATAAATTTGAGAAGGAATATAGTCATCATAAGTCCAGGGATAAATGGTTCGTTTTTTCCTCTCTGAATAATGTATGTAAATTTGTATCGATTTTATTTTCTAGATAAGTTGATAAAAAACAAGATGAAAATGATTCCGAGCTTGAGAGTGGAACTTGAAGATTACCTAAAAATGTTACCAAGTTATTATATTGGTGTAAGTAAATTATATTCCAATTAGAAATTCCTGTGTGGTAGGTGTTTAAGGTTGTTGTATGTAATGTCAATTTCCTCAGTGTGTGGTAATAATAACAATCATAGCAGATGTTTTTTTTTCAAGAGAAAAACGTGTAAAACTTATAAAAAGTGATTCTGAAATTTCTCGTGAAAATTAATATGATATAATAAATGAGTAGTACCAAGATGTTGTATATTCAAGTACTTGATATACACTTGTAAATAATTTTTTTTTTCATACTTTCAGCTTAAGTATGTCATTCACAGTTTTGAATATTTATCTTTAGGCTGTAAGAAAAGCAATGCGGCAACTTGGAGTTCCAAATCTTGTTCCAGATTCTCTTGAAGTTGGTCTTAGTCATTCTGTACTTTCATATTTCAAAAAATTGAAGCAACAGGCTAAGGTAAAAACTAAATTTTATTAGTCATTTCAAGCTATTCTAGCGAAATAATATTATTTAACAATAAATGTTCATTTTATTACTTTATACCATTGTGTCTTGTTTACAGGCAAGTGCTGATAGAATTATGAATTCGGTGGGTCATATACCTCCTTACGTCAACAAAGGAATCAGCATTTCTGGTCGATACAACACACTTTCTGTGACACAACTTCCCAATTTTAATCAAATTCTCGCTTCTGTAACTGAAAACGCATCCTTGATGCCAAAGGTAATGGTTTGCATTGATATTTTGATACCATTCAAGTCTCAGAGACAGATAAGTGATCCTTATCACGCGATGGAGTCAAAATGGAAAGACTCATTTAATCCAATAACTTTTTTTACTCAATTATTGTACAGTAGGATCTGCATACTATCCACTGTATGTCTTTAAAATGCAAGATGTAGTTGCCGATTAAATATATTTTTTTTCAATAGAATAAGCTAGCATTAAATACAACATGCATTTGGTTATGTGATACATATACATAGAAGTCTTGTTACATGCCCCCCTGCTCTTTTACTACAGGTTGACTTGAATGAATTTCCCAATTTTCACATCGGGGTAAATTCGGGGGATGGTATGAAAGGAAGGCGGATGTATCATAATGCTTTTGATGTTCCAAGATCTCAACTTTTGAATCAAGTTCGGAAAATGAAAGTGAATTTCCACAGAGTTTTATCATCAAATCAGTTAACAAGAATAAGACTTCAAGACAAAGGTACCATTTTAATAAAACCCCTTAGATCGGGTTTTACTAGTAGATATCATGGAATGCAGAGATTGGTTAACTACCCATCATTCATTTCATATTTTTATCTTATATGATATCAAGAGTTGATTTTAAATCCTGTGAGGGGGAAATGTGAGAGAAGACAGCTGGACTCATTAGTGCCGTAGGGTGGTTAACATAGCCACTGATCGGTTGCGAATTTCTCCCCCATCATGCAGATAAAAAATACCTGGTCAACTATTCCCATTTCCCACTTGCTAACTGGTAACCAGACGAGGGACTATGGTTCAACATATGCTTAGGCCACCTGATCTATTTCCTCTAAAATTGAATAAATAACCTATCTGGTATTATACGTTTTGCTGAAACTTTTACATCTTGCCTTAGCTGAATTGCACAATCAACCAATTTCAACAATGGGAAACTACCAAGAATATTTGAAGAAATTTCCCCAACCACTTAGGGAACTTGATCCAGACACACCTAAACGACTTCACACATTTGGAAATCCATTCAAACTGGCAAAAGAAAAGGTAAATGTAACGTTTTGGCGGTTTTCTAGAAGAACTTCTAACAGGTTTGAGTAATGGTCCTTGGTATTGCTAGTTTATCTTCAATGTACAGCATAAAATTAATTTAATGACCTGGGAAGTCTAGGTTGGTATAAAAGTTTTGTCATTTATTATCTGAATATTGGTAGTTAATTTGATTTTTCACCCTGTAGGGCATGATGATTGATGAAACAGAAGATTATGATGCACCATCATCTGGTAATAAATCAGGTAGATCAGGCGATGCCGGAAAAAGAAACAGGAGAAAGCGATCAGCTAGTCCAATGCGACCCGGTACACCACCTGTGTTTAAGAAGAGTCATTTATCCACACCTGGTTTCGTCAACAATCAAACCAACCCTGCTGCTGTGGTTACCAACCATCAGACTACTGATAATCATAATTCTTTACCTCATGCTTTTTTAAATGGAGAAACTCGTCCTCCCAATGGTGCTTTAGAACTGACTGAACCATCTGCAATTAAAACGACTCCTTCTGATATTGCAGCCAAGCTGCAAGCATTGAAATCTAATTTAAAGCATAATATGTCGGAAATGATAGAACTGGAGCCAAAATTGAAGCATTCAGACTTACTCAATGGTAAAGGATCTGATAATATGTCACTAAGTGATTCAATGGGTTTAACAAATGACAGTGTATGGAAAACTATGCATAGAAAACACAAACAGAAAAAACCCAAATCTAATAAAGCAACTGCAGAAATTGAAAACGCAAACTCTAGCATCAAGGATACAGTAATTAAATTTGTCAGAAAACCAGGAAAAAGTAAGTACACATAAAATAAGAACTTCCACTGTTAATTAGACTGATTACTGTAACTGATGATAAGCTTATCTTTTATGGGTATGGGATTTTCTATCAAGGCTATCACTTGAGAGATTAAATGAGTTTAATGCAAATAGTTGAAATGTAACTTCTTTGAGTGAATCCCATCACTAAATCATTGATTTGATTTTAGTAATTCCGTTATGATGACATTAGAACAGCCACCTTCCTCACTTGATGGATTAAATTAAATTCCCTTCTTATTGCAGTTACCATTTCATCAGCATTTGCATATTTTGAATTGTCTCACACTTTTTTTTATCTGTAGATGACATCAATATTTTCAACGAGCTTCAAAAATTAAAAGGTCCTAAGTCAAGTTGGCATCCAGTGTTGTGTTCTGTGATCAAAGAAGCACATCGTTTTAAAAAAGATAACTTAATTCAGCACTTGAAAAAATTTGAAGTAGGTAGTAAAGGTTATAATATAAGATGAGAAATAATATTATTTTTATTAATCAAGATCAAACAAAATATACAATGCAATGTGTTAATGATGACTTTGTCATGAAATAAGGTCATGATGCTCATGACTGGCATATAATGTTATTTCACCTTGCATGTCTATATGTATAATGTATATGGTAATGTATGCCCATTGTAATGCAATCTAAATGGCGGTATATTTTTAGAAGATTGTACTGTTTTCTCGTATAGGCATTCAAAATTTCTGCAAATTTACCATAATTGCATTTCATTTTCACTTGATGTAGGGACAGTTTTGTAGGGTTACATGTCTAGTCATTTCTACCAAGTCCCACAAAGTCCTGATAAAGATGTATGAAAAATTTCATAAATGGTAGAGAAATGCACCTGAAGAGCCTGTATTCACATCAGTTTGGAAGTTGCCTCCTACTAAATTTATTTTGAAAAGCAAACTAATGTGATTAATTTACTGTGTGATATCAAATTTTAATATTATTTGCCCACAACATTGCTATCTGGTGCCATTAATTTTCTCAAAGCTGAATATTATTGTTGCACAGGAAACATTAGAGAAACATTTGGCTTCATCACCGCAACCGCACAAAGTTGATAGATGACAGAATAAAAATTATGATGTGGAGCACAATAAAGACAAAGGATGATGGTGATCATTTCATGTGATATTGGCGGATGCTGAAGTGACAGAATTGCTGACTTTATGAAGTATCAGTGTTTGCTGGAAGGTTGAGGCGCTGAGAAATAAAAGTAAACACCTGTTGAATTGACCTGTTCTGTGGTGCTTTCATCTCAGTTTAAAATTCTTCTAATGTTCAGTTTCAATAAGATGAAAACATTTTATATTGTTCCAGATCATAGGTGTTGTTGCAATTCTAACTATCCTCTGATAATAATGGATTATCCTTTATCCTCTTTAGATATACAATACTGATATTTCCTGATCTTCAGTTTGATCATATTTGGTCTTTCTTATATTAACACAATTTTTTCAATTTGTCTTTGTATTCTTCTGCAGGATTTTTGTTTCTAAGTGAATTTTTTTATATGTCCAATTTAAGTTTCCACACACCAAGCTGACTGTTGTTATCATGTGATATTGCTCTGTTTTGAGCTGTTTGTTCCAAAATGTGAGAAATGCACCAGTGGTCTATTTTTGCTTGAATTTGGGTAGGTATGGGGAGTGGTCTTGAAATTGAAAGCTGATATGGTTATTTTAAAGCTGGTGCAGATAGATTTATCATTGCATGTAGAACAGTTTTCACATCAGGTCAAAAGATAAAAAAATAATTAGAAATTGTATCTGTGAAGCGATGAGAAGGGTCGGCGACCTATCCAAGAAACTATGAACTAGAAGGAATCCATACACTGATAAGTTGTTTGGGCAGAATATTGCCTGTTGGGCATGGAAATGGCTAGGAGACTTTTAAATACTGGGTGATAAATCATCTGGTTCAGCATCCACATTTTCCACTCTCACAAGATAACTCAGTCTGACCAATGACAACATATATTCAGAAATCTTGATATATACAGTATATATTCTCATTGGGCTGACTTTGATAGAAGTGAAAAGAGATTATATTGGGATAAGTTCAACCATCGTTATTTCTTCGTTCAAATAATGATTTTTTATCCTTGAGATAATATCATACCCAACCCGGAAATTAGAGCAACAACGAGTTGATAGAGATTTATTATATTCATTTATCTGGCCGCCCCACGACTGAGGGAAATGTGTGTATGTGTCGCTTCTGGCGGATTCGCCTGATGATGAGTCAGCTGTTTGTCAGCATTTTCTTTCTTTCCAGTCGTTCGCCCATGTTGCCGTTGTTGTTGCTATGCATTTACAGAATTTTGCAATTGTCACTCTGCCACAGAATGTGTACAGCGCAGTCGAGATGTTTAGTTGAGCTTGACAGACAGACAGAAGGAATGGTTCCACCAAGAGACCAAAGCTACGAGGTTAGGTAGACACATGCAGGCATCTGGACACGTCTGCATGTTGCAGTGTTCAGTGACTGTATGAAAAATGGCCCGGAAGGTCATTGTCTTAAGCTATGGTAAGTTAGGTCAGTAGGTACATTACGGTTGTAAGGTCTGAAGGTAGGTGTTGTGTTATCTGGTTATAGCACAGTGCTGCAGTGATATAAGGAAATATTGAATATGGTATGGTAGGTAATGCAATGCCTGAATTCAGCAATAATTCGTCTATCAGTCTATTTTGAAAATGTCTTACTTCATACTGTTATCCATGTTTGATGGTAATTTAAACTAAACGGAGTTTCAATCAATCAATTTCATTTCGATCACTCTGAAAGAAACAAAACAACAACAAATTGACAAACAAAATGCAGAGGATGATGGGCATAACTTACAAAAAAAGTTTAAAACGTACAAGTACAGAAGTACATGCCCCTCCATCAAAAACAGTCAAAAGAACACTATAAAAGTCTATAACAGCTTCTCCTGTTCTCTGTCATGTTTGAAATGCGCTGCTCAAAGTCACCTGTCTAACAATTTTAAAAACAGTTGGTACAGTGGTAGCGAGTGGAAGTGGTGACTCCTCTTCGGCCCATGGGCCGGGGCCACGGCCCATCAAATTGGGCCTAGGCCCATCAGGCTATGGGCCGCGGCCCATCAAGTTGTGTAAAGGAACTATTCACTTGGCTAACACAGACAGTCCCCAAACTCATAATAGAACTATAATGTAAAAAATCTGAACAAAATTTTGCCCTAACCCTAACCTGGTACACATACTACAGGAGTTTATTTTTTGGTTCGAATATTGACAATTTTGTAGAAATTGAAAATTTTGGTAAGATAATTGAATTTTGTCCTGACGGGGCCGTGGCTCATAGCTTGATGGGCCACGGCCCATGTGGCCCATGGGCCGTAGTGAAGTCACCACTCCTGTAGGTGGTAGCACTGTAGCATGAAAGTCTAATTACTGAATTGAGGCCAGCTAAATGCTTGACCATATTAATAAACTTTATGCTGTCACCACTGTCAGACTGTAGACAATTTTTGCTTTGAACACAGCATAAGTCTGTAAGATTTTTTTTTATCTCTTGACATCTTTGATAGACATATTCCTGTATTCATCTTTCATTTTCTTCAAAAATGATATCATTTTTTCCATTACAGTATCTCTTTATTACTATTGCTGTATTGTGACATAAATTTCTTCGTAAGTACAAGACTCATGAGAGGCTACAAATTATTGTTTTATACAACGGTTGGTGGTATTGGGTATTACACTATGTACTGGAGCATTATGAAAGATTCCAGTCAAATAAAGATAAAGAAAAATATGAAGTATACAAATCCTGATGACAAAGCTACTCAAGAATTGAATCAAAAGTTTATGAAAGTTCTCAAAGATGCAGCAGCACTTGATGAAAATATTGTTTATCGAGATTTTAATAGAAAAAATGAATAAAAGGTTGTTTCTATTCACTAACTGAAGAAAGAAGTTATTGTTGTTTTCATCCAGGAAAAGTTTCTTTTTCCAATGGGAAGCAGGAAGTAATCCATATCACAGACTCATAGCTGCGTAGTGGGTTAGCGGTGGCACAACAGTAATGGATATATCAGGCAAATTATCAGGAAAACAATTCAGACCAGTGGTTCTCAAACGCTCATAATCGATGGTCCCCTTCCTGAGACTCTCAATAATTTATGCGTCATGTTTAATAATAAAAAAGTCGACAAACAAAAGCCAACAAAGAAAAAATTTATTACAGTCAAATTATGTTAAATGAATGTAGTCATGGCGAGAACTGCTTCTCTTTTTTGGCGGTCGAGGGCCCAGTTGTACAAAACTGATAGAAATCATGGACCATGGTCATTGATTTGCAAGTGTGTGATAACAATGCAAGCGAATGTCTCAATAAGTTCGAATTTTGCCCATGAGCAAATGTCTCAACTTGGTTGTTGAATTTGGAGAGTGTTATGTATGACTTTTTGGAATAAGATATCCATTTGATGTTTTTTCGACGGTCATCGTGGACTAGACTCTTATATTATATTTTGGAATATATTTGTAATTACTACTTACTTGAAATAGAAAAGAATGTAATTTGTCATACTGAAATTATATAATAAGTTTTGTCACTCCTATTATTAGTGTTCCAGATCAAAGATTCATAATATTGAATATAGTTCAACATCACAAACCAGGGTTGTCATTTCTTTTGTTTTATAAAAACTGAGATGTACCGGTACTTATGTACTTATGATGTACTTATGCTTATTGTACTAAATCTTCTGTAAGTTTTTATACTTATATTTACTTGTACTTTTGATGGTTTATTAATCAACCTAATTTGTGTTCAACATTATTATGTTTTTAGATAAATTAAGAATAAGTATTCTAGACAAAATTAATTTTTGTATGATTCACTTGGGTCGGCTGTTACACAAATACCTACGACTGAAATGAGTGAAAACACAATCACTCAAGATGAGGTAAGAATTGAATAAAATTATTCCTACATGGTAAACAGTTTGGTTATATTTTTTTGTAATAAAATGAAAATGTCCTATAGGATATATTTCACAACGGAAGGACTTGGGCCATGGACATGGTGTAATTGTACAAGTTGATAACTGGGAGTATTTCTTCATGTGACATGAAATATTAAGATAAGAATTATAGACCTATTGCTATAATGATTAAATAATATTTCTGGGCATCATTTACATATAATTATAATATTGGATTTCTTTACTTGTTGAGTAAGCTATTTTTAGTTTGTTTTCATTTTTTACCGACATTTTTGATGCAGATGCGAAGACGCCGGCTTGCACGCTTAGGCGGAGATACTAGCTCCCCACAGTCAACTCCAGTAGATAAAGAAAGCAAAAAAGGTTCATAAATATTTTCAAATTTGCATATTGTTATACAACGACTCCCAAAAAGTGTACAGAAGTACCTTTACATTCATGCATATATCAGAGTTGTGAGCATATACATTGCAATATGGTTGTGCTAACATGTACATGCGTTTGAGCAAGATTGGAAGTATAAAAAATGGTTATTTGTGAATCATAATTTTGAAATATATTTGAAAAGTGTTTCTTTTCTTTCATTCTCTTATCATTCCTGGTTTGTTTCTACCGCTTTCTTTCCAAACAACACACTTTTTATTTCTGCTCAGCAGTTTACCGAGATAAAAATCACTGGAATTGAGCATGATCTTTCTGTATGCATAAGTTTTTTGAATTGTCTAATCGAGTTTATATCTATATATAACCCACCGTTTTCCTTTCATGTAATCCTTGCGAAGACTGTCTTTTTATGTCTCAAGCAAAGTAATCAATACCATACCAATTATTTGACTATTTTGATTATTTGAACATTATTTGACAGGAAACTCTAAATCTCTAGATACTTCACCAGAATTTTCAAGTCCAAGATATAAAGTAGCGAGATCTTCAGCAACAAGTGTGAGTTTTTATTCAAGTCATTGTTGAATAAGTATCAGTATTCAACTGAAATTGAAAAACTTTGAATTTAAATTTTTTATGTTTTATGAGGTTGATATCTTGAAGTTGTATGTTAGGTTTAAGAATTTCGTGAAAGTGATTCCATATTGAAGCCATTATCACGATTTTGAGCAACAAATACGACATGCATTTGGCTTGGGAAGTAAGATGAATGGATGGTTTTATTCAGAGACAATTTCCCATTGACAAATTGTTTTTATGGCGATATGACCTGGCTATCACTTTGGCTATAGATGGCTAATTTCTGCAATAAAATTTTGATATGCACTATAAATTGAATCAAGATTTCACTGAATATGGCGAACAAAAGATTTATTATTTGATATTCCAAAGCATGTATTTTGAATAAAATAAAATCTGATGTTTCTGATACTGACAATAATTTTATTTTTGCAGTCATTGGCAAGTGATAGCAGTAGCATACCACATTCTCAAGCAGAAGATGATGATATTTTGTCTCCAAATCCAAAGCGCCCTCTGGAAGTTTTAACTGGTGCTATAAGTTCTAGGTAATATATACAAATGTCATTTTTTACTAACAGTTATGCTGTCAAACTCAAACAATTATATTCAGACATTAGTCTATATAAAAGGGATCATTTTAGATAGTGTTTGACACACATAACGGAGCAATTATATTTTCACATATACGACTAGACACATTTCTGCTGTTAATTTTTTAATATGCAACTTACTTGCTATGATGGTACTAATAACGTAGGGGCCTACTATAACGTACTATGTGTACAATTGTCATGATCAGTCATCTGTGAAAATACTAGTTGCCAGAAATACAATAAAAATACAGTTACACTGCATTCCTTCACGAAGAGAAAATATGATTCTTTTATCATGTTGAGTCAAAGTTATGACAGAAAAGCCATCAAAATGTATGAAAAAGCGAATCCACTTTTTGGAAAATTCATGAAATCGCTGCCTGTTGTCATCTGTGACTAGAATTAAGAAACAAAAAATAAATTTAGCGCAGGGATGTTCAAAATGAAATAAACGATCATTAATATTTAAATGTAGCATATCAATGGATGTGGATTCTGGTATTGCTTCATTGAATGATTATGTTGACAATATGATATCAACTCAGACTGATGATATGGTGAGTTTTCTGTTTTGTTTGGAAATAAAAAACTCGGCAATGTAATTTGTTTTTATCTTATATGACAGTTTTCAATCAAAACTATGTAAAAAATACATTCAGTGTCTTATGATTGGCAAAAAATATGGTTAAGAAGAATCAATATGCTTATCTGTTGAGATGCCAATCCTGGTTTCTTTTTTCGTATACTCAAATTGGTAAAAGGAATTCTATACAGGAATGTTCATTGGGGGTAGGAATATAAGAAAAAGAACTAACCTTCAATGTCGGCTAAATATGTTATTGCTCCCATAATATATTATTACCATGTCCATCTGAAACAAATAACTGCTTCAATAATAGACTGGTAACCGAGCTATGTTTCACCCAGAGCTGTGGCGTCAAGAGTTTATTATGTTTTCACTGGAGTCAAGAGTCGATGTCATATTTAACTCACTGGAGTTAAGTCAAAATTCTGATTTCCTCGGAGTCGAAGTTTGATTTTCAGACTTCTGATGATGTTAAAAAGTCTGGACTTTTCAAAGAAACTCAAAGCATTAAGTTTATATCATTTTTATCAGAATTTGGAATCACGACTTGAAATTGGGTACAACCCAGTGTCAGGGTCAACATTTTTTTAATCTGGAGTTGATGGCAATTTTTTCTAGACTCCTGATCCATGGTTTTACCATATTATTAATAAGCCATCTTTTCGGCTGGAAAAAATCCTATCAATGGTTTAAATTTCCTATTTTCGAAAATGTGTGTTTGTCTTGTATTGATACAGGTCCTCATCAAAGATATCCCTAAAAGCCAATTGATAGCAGACATATTACAAAAAGTATCTGGAATATCTGAAGATGATATTAAAGCATTACATTTAAATCTTGAGGAAGACGAAAAAGAAGGTAAAATTAGATTTGAATCTATCCATTTTTGTGGTGCTTGTTTCCTCTTTCTCAGACACACATTTGTATAGAAATATAGTACTGGTTAATGTGAATCTTTTTTGGGAATGGTTAACCATTTTACACGCTAAAGTTTTTTTTAAATACTAAACTGCAATGCTATAATTTTGATATACTTAGATTATGTTCAATCAACAATATATGATATACAACTCTGCCTTGTTGTTGATTAATCTAATTGTATCTATCTGGCAGAATTCACTAGTGTGTATATAATAAAAACTGGGATTATCTGAATTTCTTGATAAATACTGATATTGTTCCTCTAATATTCATATTAGATTTAGACAACCTTAAACTTGACTTTTTGAAGTTATATTTTTCATTCAATTTGAATATTTTAGTTTTTGGACATGTCTTGATGCATGGAATCATGTCAAATTGTGCTTCCGAAACTAAATATACAACACTTCATACCACACCAAAAAGTCGAAAGATCAATACTGTGTCTTCAGCTACAGCTTCACCTCCAAGGTAACCTCATTACTTTTGTTTGAGTTATTATTAAATATCATTTTGCTTGTTTAATTTTGCATAGTGAACTACCAACATTGGATTTATTTTATATTATAACTCAGAACATATCATTATTTATAAAACTATATATACCGGTATATATTTTCATCCATATATAATACTCACATGTTTTTATTTTATTTACCCATATATGCAAGTTCATATTATGTACCTTACCTAATGTTTTAATCCAATGGCACATGTGTGATATGTATGGGTTTACTTCTCGTGATTATTATGTTTTACTGCTAGTGCTAACTCACAATAAAGTTGCAATCAGGACTGTGGACTTAAGAATCTGACTTCCAAATTATTACGGTTGACAATAGATTATGAGTTAGGCTCCCAACAGACTGAAGAAGTTTCGACTTCAGCTCCCAAATGAAAAATAAATTTTTGCCACGAAAAGGATTGGAAGTAAAATTAATCCCTTCGATGTTTCCTTCGAAAATTAATTTTTTTTGTTACCCGTTACCACCATTGGTCAGAATTCTGGAATTTTGACTGCAGAGAATTTAAAATTGGGTAAACCCGAAGTATGTGAACCAAGAGGGCGAACACCGGAACGTAGTATGTGTACCAGGTTAGGGTTAGGCCATAATTTCAGGTACGAATACTACGGAAGTCACTTAGCTAGTCCCCGAACTCGTAATAGAACTAAAATAAGAAAAATTGGAATAAAATTATGGCCTAACTCTAACCTGGTACACATACTACGTTCCGGTGTCCGCCATCTTGGTTCACATACTCTGGGAGTACCTAAAATTGTGCTCAAGCTTTGACTTCCGATTCCATGGAGTATTGAATTATGACTCTTCACTTCAATATCAATATAAAACTTGCAAAATTTCTTAATTGATTATAACACATGTGACTTCCTTTTTAAAATATCGTGTTTACATTTAGTGGTCAAGATACATTGGAAGTAGACAAATGTCAGCAAAGTATTCAATATGTTATCAATTGTTTTCAAAATGTGGAATTATGTCATTCCGGTGATGATAGAGAAGACCAGGTGAGTCTTCCAATTTTATATTTGTAAGTATTGTTCGTCAAAAAGCATTCTCCTTGTGACTTCTACTGAGGCCTTCAATTCAAGATGGTTAAAAGGATTTTAATGATTAAAATTTATTAATACATGTAATTGGTATGCAACATAAGCACATCACGAGTGAAAATGCAAAACCTTCTTTTCGAAACTGTCAGAATATTGACTTTTTGAAGCATTGATAATTTAAATCTATATTTTATTTATCTTATTCTACAGAAAGCAGGATTTGACAGAGGAACTTATTTAAATAACATACAAGAACAATGTATAGACTGTGCCATTTTGCTACTCAATGAAGAAATTTTTACTTTTAAAAGGTATATATCAAATGTTATTGTACTATAAAATAGTAATGACATATCAATTTTTTTTATATCTGAAGATATTTATGCTTCGATAGTTTTGTATTATATTTGCAATACTTTTTGGAATAATGGGATTTCAATTCTATACCTTATTTGTTTTTTTTCTCTCTTTTCATGCTCTGGTCAAACTTAATAAATATTCAAGGTTTAGGTATTTTGGGAACATTTGTCATTGTCACAAGGAAATTATAACTTGTGGTGTGAAATTTATAATATTCTTTTGATGCTAAACAGTGTTTTTCATTCATTAAACAAATTTAAAATTCAAAAAATTATTACAAGATGAACTATTAAAATATGAAAGTCTGTAATGTGTAATGCTGTAACCATATTAATTCTTTGTTTTTCAGAAACGCTATACACCCATTATCTTCTCTTCTTTTGTCAGAACAAATGCCATATAATTTTCTCGCACAATTGGTACAAAAATTATGCATTCAAAATATTACTGAAATATCTAAGGTAATTTTTTTTAAATGCGAAATGTGGAAAATTTTATATTAATTTCTACCTACTGTTATGTAGAAAGATGTCATATTTTGAAAAGATCAGAATCTTTAGACCAAATAAGTCTGCCCTTGACTGGCACATCTAACCTCTGATGCCAACCTCTTCAATTGCTTGCTTCTGCAAAATAAATATCTCTAAAAATAATTTAAATGAAGATTACCCGATTTATTTTTTATTGGACTTAATAACACAACAATGAGTGTGAATTTGTTTATGCTAATTCTTTATAGCCATAGGGTATTTGATACGAGGCTAGTGTAGAATGTAGTGTTGTCTGATTTGAACTTTGCACTTATCGCTTATTGTAATTGTAAATATTCATGTTTTTAGGTAATCACTCCAGTATTAGATGACATTCGAGAAGCTGCCAAGAAAATGTCAATCACCATGAACAACTTTTTGCCAATAGAGGTTGGTTTTACATACTTTTAAAAAATGTTCAGACATATTTTGAAAGACAAAGAATTATCTAGTTTAGCACGGTTTAAAAATAAAGAATTTAAGAATATACATTATCATATCGAATCAACCTATTTTCTAAGAACCAAATTACCTTGGAATGAAATGATTTTGTGCATGTTTCCAAATACAATTTTTAAAACTGCTTGTCTTAAAAAGTATGATTTCTTTCCGATAAAACATTGCAGAATACAATTTATAAAATTGTGATATTTGAACCACTCACTTAAAACTAAATTTGGAATTAGTGCTATTTGTAAAATATTTATTACAAGCCATAAAATAAACTGTAAGAAGTACATAAATGAAATTAGCTTGAAATCAGCTTTCTCTACTTAGCCATTGTAATCCTCAAAGTTTTCTTCCATCAAGTACATTATAGATATGGAATTGATTTCATTCGACAGTGAAAATTTTTCAGATTCTTCTTCAATTAACAAGCATACTTACACATGATAGAAGCAAAGAAAGACCTATTTGTTCACTCATAACATCTCTCGATAGTTGGATACCTGAAATGTTAAGTGATGCGAAAGGTGCAGAAATTCAAATGTTGTCTTTCCTCGGACCATTTCTATCAGTATCTTCTTTTTCAGAAGAGGATGTAAGTGTAGTTTTGTTTCTGTAACTTTACATATGTTAACATCTTTGTTTTATACAACTAGACCAGGGTGGTCCAAACCCACATGTGGCCCGCCGCTTCATTATCTGTGGCCCGCGTCACGTTCGTAGAGTAACCAAAAAATCGCATTTCGCGTCGTTTCGTCATAAAATTAATCAGAAAAATCTTTTGACATATTGTCATCACTAATGTCATTAAATAGTTTTATGGCTAGCTGGGAAACTAGCAAAGTTGAATGATGTGCTTGGCAGTCTATATTGTTATCTGGCTTTCTAACTTTTTGGTCGGGAATATATGCTAACAATATAGGCATCATAGAAAACTAAAAATCGAATGACTATGCCTGATAACTATGTGATTGCACAATAAAAGTGTTTGTTTTGTATTGCACTGTTTACCTATTCTTGGCACTATTGTGGCCCGCGAACAATGCAAAAATAATTTTGTGGCCCGCGGAGCCGACAACCTTGGACCACCCTGAACTAGACACTTAAAGCAAGGGTTTGCCACGTTTTTTGTCGGTGGGCCATATAACCAACTTCAGACATCTAGCTTAGACACAAAAAAACGAATTAGAAAATAAGCGACAACCTGAACGCTGCAGGGAGGGCAAGAGAAGAGAATGGGGCTATCGATATACTCTTTCAGAAATAGTGGTACCGTGCAAAACGGTGCAAGATTTAACACAGCGACAAATACAAAAAACATTGTCAGATTGTCGGATTAGGATTTTATGCTTGGTGTGGGAAAATGAGTCTTGACAAGGGCCACACTAAATTGCTTGGCGGGCCTTGTTGTGGCCTGCGGACGGCCTGTTGCTCACCCCTGCTTTATAGAATAATATAGGATAAGATTTTCATGTTTATCGTGGAGAGTAGAGGTGATTCAATGACTTGATTCATGTGGCAAACTTTGGTCTTGTTAACAGTCTAGGCCAGCTACTGTGAATAGGTAGCCATCTAATTCTTAAGATGCATAGAATTAGACTGTGGAAAGTTGAAGTAACTGACCAGCAACTTGGTCAACTATTATGTGATGTTGATGAAATAAGTTAATGATAAAGAAAACTGCCTTACAGAATTTGAAAAATTGAACTTTTTTATTTTTAATTGCAATAAGTCCATCTACTGAAATAATGTCAACTCTTTATGTTATGTTTGTTTAGGATAAAATGCGCAAGACATATTTTGACAATGCAAAAGTAAATATGGACAGTATTAAACTCGTCAGTGGAGCAATACATGGAAAGATGGAAGATGTCCGGGTATAAATTTTATAATTTTTTGCCATTCATTTGAAATGTAAAGTTTTGATTTGTTGGTTTTATTTCAAAGTTTGCTTAAATGATATAGCCTCAAGATTGATTTTATTGTCCTGGAATTTATTTTCTTGTTACCGAACGTTTTGGTGTGAAACTGTTTCACACTAGTAAATAAATATATATGATTGTTTTATTATAAATTTATTGGGCGCTCCCAGAAGTATGTAAGTAATTTTGTTTGCCTACTTTTACATCAAGTTGTGTACAGGGACGGAAGCCTATGGGCAGGGGGTATATTCAGGGAGTACCATTTATTGTTCACAAGCAAATCACGAATAATGGTTGATATTGATGTTTATTTGTTATTTTGAACTGGTGAACTTGTCAAGTTAGATTTTGACAACTCCACATGTATCAATCACTGCAGTCTGGTATTAATTACATTTAAATTTATAAATCATTTTCTCACAGGAAAAAATGTTTAAAATTTTGCACAATTGTCTTCTCAATCCATCAAGTCGGAATTCAACCATTTTATTCCTTGCTACAGTTATCAATGCAAACACTAAGAAGAACCAAATACGGGTAGATAAATCATTTTGTATTGATTTACTTTATTGTTCTGAAAATTTTCACAAGATTAAAAAATATTTTTTGTTTTTGCAGACAAATGAATCTCTTGTATCACAAAATGGATTTATGTTAAATGTTTTAACAATCTTACAAAAGTTATCACTCAAAGTTAAAGTTGATAAAGTGAGTATAAGAAAGTATGGAAATATATTGATTGTTTGGCAATATCAAATAACAATTTTTACCATGAAATATAATAGGTAACAAGACATTATTTGCGATTCTGAAGAAGTAATATCGATATTTTCTTTAACAATAGAGCAATACATGCATCTGAAACAAATAACTGACTAACTAATCCTATACCAGATATGGACTGGTAACAGTACATTAGGATGTGGTTCGTCACATGATCAAGCCGTCCTATTGGGACAATTATGTAAATCCTATCCTATGAAAATCAAATGACTATTTATGGAGCTTAAAATTATTGATTTGTTGTTCAACCATTGCAGCAATTCGCATAAGTACGGATTGCATACTTGTACCACTGCGTGTCTATAAATTTGATCATCGCTCTCTTGTTGTTTACAGGTTGATACACAATATTTGACACATCCAACATGCCTTATAGAAACAAGTACTGAAACAAGGATTAAAATGACTTCTGAACAGTACAAAGATATGCAAAAGCAACGTAAGTATTTATTTTACGTCTGCAACTTATAATCGTTCATTTGTAAAATTTAAGGCAATGCCAAAAATCAATAGATGTGTCTGTCTATTATTGAGATTGGGGATCTCAAACTTTTGGTGTTATGGATTCGAGGAGTGGTTAATGTTCCTGAGTAAATTACAATTACTCCTTTTAATGATTCGTTGTATTTGCTGCTTTGTATTAATAAAATATTTTGTTGATGCCTTTATTTGTACAATTACAAAATTAGCCAAGTCAGTATTTTAAGGGGAAAACGAATAGCTCTTGGATCCCTGAGATTTCTCTCACAGAGCCCTGCGGTTCTGTATGGAGCACTTTGAGAAGCCATGTTTTAAGACATCAGAATTTGCTTTTCAAGAAATGTTTCTTAAAGACTAGGTATAACTATAGAGAACTGATATTATTCATGAATTTTAAAGAAGGTGCTTACCCGAACAAAATCTTTTATGACTTTTTATATTATGACAAAACTATTCACATTTTTTACTTCAGATTCCAGCCTGGAAACATCTAACTCATTTCCGACAGAATGCTTCTATCTCACAATGCATGCACACCATCTCTCTGTCATGCCTGTCTTCCGAGCATTTAATAGATATAACAGAAGTCTGAGAGAACTTCACTCGTAAGTAAATCTTTACCTCGGCAAAGTAACAGTATTGTTTTTTCACCTTGGGTTAGAAATAGACTTCTGTCCATGTCTCAATGCCATACCAGATTTAATTACCCTGGAATGACGATAATTTACTAAAAATTTTCCAGATTAATAGAAAATTTACGATCAACAAAAGCCACTTGGAAAGGAACACCAGCAGAAGCAAGAAATCGTGCCATGTTGAAAGGTTTAAAACAACAATTAATAGTAAGTTATATCTCTGAATATGATAAGTATGAGAGTAAGAAAATCTTTATTATTTTGTATTGTACAGGATGACCCAAGAATAACGGAACCCATAAATTTCTTAATTACTTTTACAAAAATAGGGTAAAATAGTCCAAATGATATCCAGAATTTCCCCACCACTGCCACCGCATAATGTTTTGTATTCACTATTTGGGCTCTTACACTTTCAATCCATTCCGAACTATCGTTATGCCATGTTTGGAAATGATTACCTGTGATGATGATGCCGTTCACTGATACCATATAACAATAATGTTTAGTGGGGCACAATATTTCTGACGGAAGTCCTACAGAGACCGTTACACTGTACAGGAGATGCAAAGAGAAAGTATATTCAACAAAATCACAGACTTAATACACTTGACTCAACGAATAGAAAGTGAATGTACCAAAATTGATAACGAGATAGATTTATTGCATCGAGTTCGTGCAAATTCTGGGGAACACATTAACATTTGCATTGCAAAAGATGGAGATCGTATTGAATGTTTTACAAATAAAAATAAATAGTAAAAATAATATTAGTTTCAATTACATACCGTACTAAAAATAGGTTAGACTTTACGAGCCACATTATAATCCATTGGTACTCTTCTGAGTTTTAGGTTACTTTCCATAGTTTATTTGAAATTCCTCTTTTCAGGATCATGCTGTGAGGAATGCCTGCTATGAAATTTCTTTAAATCACGAATCAATGTTACATCAGTGCTTGATTTATTTTTCATCTGCTGCTCAGTTTTTACTGAAGCTTGTAACAAGACCAGATGAGCAAGAGTAAGTAGTTTGTTATTATCACTCCAAAAACTTAATTGTCACTGGAAACATAACTCTTCTATTTGATTCACGAGTCTTGTTGCACAATGATACAATCAATGTATTGATGTAACATTCTTATTAGGACTTTTTTCGGTACTCCCAAAGTATGTGGACCAAGATGGCGTACACCGGAACGTAGTATGTGTACCAAGTTAGGGTTAGGCCATAATTTCAGGTACAACTACTACGAGAGTCACTTGACTAGTCCCCGAACTCGTAATAGAACTAAAAAAAAGGAAAATTGGAATAAAATTATGGCCTAACCCTAACCTGGTACATATACTACCCTCCGGTGTCCGCCATCTTGGTTCACATAGCCTACTCCGGGAGTATTCTTTTCTATGCCCGTCTGAAGAATTCTGATCCGAAACATTTGTGTTACTGTACAGGCCCCTGAATAAAATAAATAAGAACAGAATAAAATAATAGAATACTCATCTTTATTCTTGCTACAGCATCCTTGCATTATATTGTTCCACTATCGCAAAGGCGCAGAGCAACAGAAGGTAGTTAGTCTCGCGTAACTCCACTGATAGTTGATGTAACTAGTTAGCAACCATTGTTCCAAATCTAGTTAAAGGTGTATAGTCGTTATTGTGTTGTTGATATCTGGAATAAGCCTAAAAAAATAATAGTATGGCAAGAAATTATTAAATTTATATCATGCAACACTCCGTACTGTCTACTTATAAATTTTAGTGTAAAATGAAATGTAAAACAAAGCAGATAACTATCAGTAGAGGTTACGCGAGACTAACTTCCAATCCCCCCTCAATTCTTTGCGTTAGTGGACCTGTATGCATATAATGCAAGGATGCTATAGCAGGAATAAACATGACCATACTAGGCAATTCAAGAGTCATCCTGCACACTATCACAAATGTATCTTTGTGAAGTTTCGTCTGACCAAAAGCAGAGTTCCTCAGACAAGCAGTTTATAACAATGACAAGAACGAACTATCATGCGGATTTGCATGCATTGCATTATTCTATCCCTATTAGCTTGGGTTACGATTTACTCCTCCTAAACACGGTTGTTTTTCTATAGCTTCAAGTTTCAGATTTTTTTTTTTTGTCGTCTAATCTTCTATCCATGTTTCTGTTATAATATTATTTATGTTGCAGACCAACATTACCTCTGCCTGCTAAAATTCCTAATGCATTTGCTGCTATGCCTGAGTTTTATGTTGAAGATATTGCACAATTTCTTTTGTTCGTTGTACAGTGAGTATTCTGATATTTTCATATTTATGTATAATATGTTATATTATTACTGTTATTTACAGTGCTTAACAGCCAGCATGTAAATAAATACTTTTAGTGTGAATTGTATCATGTTTCTTTTAATCGTTTGGAATGACAAGTTTTTCTTATTCCAGACTTTCTCCCAACACCTTGGAAGATTTTGTTGTAAAAAATTTGGTGAATTTTCTCATCATTTTTGTCTGTTCAGCAAATTACTTTCACAATCCATATGTGGTTGCAAAACTTGTTGAGGTATTTTATTATTATTTTTTGTACATTTTCGCTTTTTTGTTGGAAAAAAATATTAGTATGGACCATGGTTTCTTAAATTTTTAGTTGCGATGACCAAATCCTAATTAAATACAAATCTGCTAAAATGCTTGCTTCTTTGAATCTGTACATGTCAGGTATCTCAAGTATACCTTAACTGGACTGTATTAGAGTGATGAACAAGAATAGCATAATTTCTTACCATAGTAAGTTTATTAAAAGCTTTCACAATGATAATACTGTATATATATTCATGCAGTACACTTATCTTCCTTCTGTTCTTCATCTTCAATGTCCTATATCTGAAAAGCTAAAATAACATTAATAAAATGACTTGTACAGGAAATATTCGGTACTCCCGATGTATGTGAACCAAGATGGCGGACACCGGAACGTAGTATGTGTACTAGGTTAGGGTTAGGCCATAATTTCAGGCACAAATACTACGGGAGTCACTTGACTAGTCTCCGAACTCGTAATAGAACTAAAATGAGGAAAATTGGAATAAAATTATGGCCTAACCCTAACCTGGTACACATGCTACGTTCTGGTGTCCACCATCTTGGTTCACATACTTCGGGAGTACCTAATATTCTAATCTTAGAAAAATGATGCTACTTTAACATGTTGAATATATTTTTAGGTTATTTTTGTTCTCAATCCTAAAATTCAACCAAAAGCTTTAGCATTTTACGAAAGAATCGAAAATCATCCTCTTGCTGTTCTAAACCTTGCACCTGCTCTTATGAAGTTTTATACAGGTATGAATAATAGAAATTTTTTTTTCACATTGGGACATTTGGTTGGTTTTTTTTTCAAATAAACGCAAAAACTGATTAGCAATATACTTTTAATAATGAAGATTAGGTGCGGTCAGTTGAAAGTAAATTCCAAAAAGATAAATTTCAAGATTTGCTGAAAAAATATCAGTGTCCAAGCTGAGAATATATGAAAAATAGATAAAAAAAATTGATTCGAACAATGGAAAATTGAAATATTCAGATATTATTTCCCAAGAGAATTTGCTTGAAGCAAAGTCACTCAATCTCCCTTGACGCAAGACTTCAAGTCACTGTGACCAAAAACAGTCATGAATTTCATATAAAGAAAGTTCTTGGAAATTAATTCTGGTAACAAAATGGGTACTCTCGTAGTATGTGAACCAAGGTGGCGGACACTGGAACTTAGTATGTGTACCAGCCACCAGATTGGGCCATAATTTCAGGTACAAATACTACAGGAGTTCTTTGCTAGTCCCAGAACTTGGAGTGGTACTAAAATAAAGGAAATTGGAATAAAATTATGGCCTAACCCTAACCTGGCACAGTACTATGTTCAGGTGTCCGTCATCTTGGTTCACATACTACGAGAGCGCCACAAAATGCACTGTCAGTGAACCAATATAGAAACACATTTGAACAACCCTAACTGAGTATAAACAAGAGTATAAACAAATATACACAGTGAAAATGATGCTGGTATTTGAAGCAAAAACAAAAAAAATTATTTATTTTATATATGTTAATCAACAATAAGAAGGGGTTTGATTTCTAGATGTTGAAACAACTGGAAGCAGCAATGAGTTTTATGACAAATTCAGTATTCGATATCACATCTCAATTATTTTCAAAAGTTTATGGTTGTGCCCTTTGTACCAGAAGGCAATAATACAAGAAAGCAGGTAAGGTTATGTATGTTATAAGCAAAAAGCTTTACATAAGCTAGTCTTTTTATAATTTTTTTCATAATATCATTTATTCATAATTTTTTCTGGAATTCTGGCCTAATATCTTTTTTACTCTCAAGACAGAAAATGAAGTTTTAGCTCTTACCAGTGCAGTACTACTCATGCCCTCTATACCTTAGGACAGCGGTTTCCAAACGGGGGACTAGCGATTTGCTAAGTGCGGTCAGAAAATTAACAAAATTATGGTAAACATAACAAATATTTTACATGTATTTAATATATATGTATTATTGTTTCCTGTTTTAAATGCTTTGTATATGAACCAATAAATTCATTTTACCTTTCTATGTCGTTTACTTCCTGTTACGTGGTGTTCTGTTACTGTTACAATTAGAAAATTCAGTTTTATTTGAAAGCAGCAATTTTTTTTTGTGTAGGTTATTTTTTTCCCTGATACATTGGCACCACACAAACAAAAAGTTCGGGAACTGCTGCCTTAGGATATAATAAATTGGCAAAGTTATTCGAATGGCAATGTGAACACATGGAATACCCATATAAAGTCTTACTCCCAAATTGTTGAAATCTCAAAAAAATTTTCTTCTAGAAGTGGAAAGGAATTTGTTAGATTTGTAAACATGTTGATAAACGATACAACATTTGTATTGGATGAAAGTTTGGATTCACTGAAAAGTATCCATGAAGTACAAGAAGCAATGAGAAATACTACTGAGTGGAACAAACAGTCAAAGGTACATTGTATATTTTCAATTTTTTGTACAATTGGGCAGTGGCTCACACACTTTCATAGCTTGTGGACCCCTTTCTTAACTAAGGTACCCTTAAGTTGATAAAGCAAACCCATGCTTACTCAGACTTGACCATTTTGATGATTCAATTAATACCTAGATCAGTGGTTCTCAAACATTTTATGCCACGCCCCCTTTTTAAAATTTGTCAAGTCTCGCACCCTACCTCGAAAATAACCAGCTAACAATAAGCTACAAATAACAGATAGTAAGGCGAAAGGATGTTTTATTAAAAAAAAACATGTTGAAATTACGTGGATGAAACGTAAATAATGAAATAAAGTTTTGAAATCAAATTAAGCGGGCAAGATCAAATCTAGGAAATATATTTTTTTAATTGGCTTCACCCCCCCTAAAAAAATGTTCCACGTCCCCCTTTGTAGGGCGCGCCCCACCGATTGAGAACCACTGACCTAGATCATTTTTTTCAAACTTCATGTCTCTATGCATCATGTGTCACTTTTAATATGATTGTGTGTCATCAACTAGACTCATTAATAACTGCCTCACTGAATTTTTATAGGATTTAGGCCTATATACACATTGAACAATCTCTTTAGGTAGCAAGATTCAACATATTTTAAAATGCAATATCCCAACTCGGTCACTTTTTTATGACTTTATAAACCTATTTCGGTTATGCATAAAATTCTAATGATCAGACCTGATGGGCGATTCATAAAATTGGTGCAACAATTTCATATCTTGATGACATATTTGTGTATTTATATTTAAATGCGACCGTCAAGTTGTCAACTGAAATGTTGTTTTCATTCTACCAAGCTCATATAAATTGTTACTGTGTTTTGCTGCCAACTTTGCTTACTGATTTTTGCTTTTTGATTAAAATAATAAAGTTAAAACATTCAACATTATGAGTTGACAAATACAAACTATCTATCTGGTTTAGTCAACCAATACTTCTGTAGTATGGTTCAATTTGTACTAATTTTTAGTATCACTCAAAAAAGTCATTTTATTAAAAATTGACTATTACTAAAAATATCGGCTTGCATAAAAATTGAGACTGGCTTTGTATACCTAAATATATTGTATATATAAATTGTCAATGATCATAGATTGTAGTTTTTATTTTTCTCCACTTATTAAATGAAAAAACAATGGAGCGACTGTTACTAAAAATATCGTCTTCTACAAAAAATTGGGGGCTCCCGAAGTATGCGAACCAAGATGGCGGACATCGGAATTTAATATGTGTACTAGGTTAAGGTTAGGCCATAATTTTAGGTATAAATACTACGGGAGGCTCTTGGCTAGTCTTCGAACTGATAACAGGACTAAAATAAGGAAAATTGGAAAAAAATTATCGCCTAACCCTAACCTGTTACCCATGTTACGTTCCGATGTCCTCCATCTTGGTTCGCATACTTCGGGAGCACCAAAAATTGAGACCGGCTCTGTATACCTGACTATATTGTATACAAAATTTGTCAATGATCATAGATTGTAATTCTTATTTTTCTTCACTTTAATTAAAAATGATATATATACATGAGCATTTGTTATAATAAATCTTCTGAATATAAAAAACACCCCGAACATTTTAGTTGACATTAACATGGCTTTTGTATATTAATTCAGGAAGTGCGTGAGCGGCGTGAGCAACAGCTACAACAAGATGAAAGACAATGTGAATCATATTTAACATTGGCATCGGAAACTCTCAGTATGTTTCACTCTCTTACAACATTTGTGCAAAAGCCTTTTTTGAGACCAGTGAGTAGAGATATAATAGATTATCATTACTAAATAATTTTCTCTTAGCAATTTGGTTTTCTTTCAGCCTTGTGCTCGCTTCTGATCCCCAAAAGACTTGCAACCTTATTTGCTTATTTGGAATAACTGTTAACTGTTAAAAACATACCATGTCAGTATAAAGAATGCAAACAAAAGCACTACTTTCTATTAAAAGTATTTACAGAGGTCTTTCTTATTGTGATTTCTATAAATATCACATAATAATAACATCATACAAAAACTGGTGAACCTTGATGGCATACATCGTTGGTATTGCGATAAGTTCTAAAACATGAGCTTTAAAATTTTAAACTCCTTGGGTTGTATCCAATATAGTCGGTCCTCTCCCTCAAATTTACTCAAAACTGGAGAATAAAAAAATATGACGAAGAGTCGTATGGTATTTCTGAGCTCTGGTTTGGCTATCCCTAGTTTAGAGTCTGGTATCAACTGCAGTCATTCTATTTGTTACATTTCCAATTTCATCATTTTTTTCAACTTATAATCATTTATTTTTCAACTGTGCAGGAAATTGCCGATCGACTTGCAGCTATGTTGAACTTCAACCTCACTCAAATCTGTGGTCCCAAATGCAAAAACCTCATTGTTAAAAAACCTGAAAAGTATGGTTTTTATCCAAAGAAACTACTCAGTCGAATCATCGATTTGTATTTGAACTTGAATTGCCCTCAATTCATCAAATGTCTGGCTAGAGACGAGGTATATATTTGCACTATACATTTGATTTTATGCACAGATAAGCAATTTTTGTGACATCGATTTATTGTTTCATGATACCCTTTTCTGATTTATCGCATCATTTGTCGCTCTTTGTGGCAACAATAAATTTGTTATGTAACTATTAACTTTTCTAACAGACATCAGTGATATTTTTTGTTTTGGCGGGCGTCATCACACCCCTAACATCAGCAAGGGCGCATAAAAATTCCCTAATAGAATATTGCGATTTTTGAGCTCGCTATATTCTGTTAATGAAACATTGGCTATTTAGTTGTAAATAACCCTTGGTTGTGAACAAGAAAATGTTGGAAAAACTAATGTATCAACTTGAAACCTTAAGACTGCAGTGTAAAAGTTGTGAAAAAACTGTATTTTATGGAAATATACCACCTAGAATTCTTGTTTCTACTTCAGAGATCATATAGCAAAGAAATATATGATGAAGCAACCAAGAAGATGGAGAAACTTTTAATCAAACCTCAGGTATTACTCAACCGGTCTTTTTTCATTTGTTTCATAAAGTATAAAATAGTGAAATCAACCTGTTTTATTCAAAATGTTTTCAGATGGAAATTCAAGCATTTGCTGAACTTGCCAGACAAGTTGAACAATGTCATATTGAACTTCAACAAGTTGAAAATGATTATGGTGAAATCCCTGATGAATTTAGAGGTAAACGGTTTCTTATTATCAAGAAGCTAAATCATTGTCATTGTTTTTCCAACTCCCAGCCATATACTAACTGTAAAACTTCTCAGAATGATTTCTATTAACTGTTATAAATGGAAAAGCTATTCCTGCACTTTCTATGGAATTATTCCATTACCGTGTCTTCTAATTTTCCAATCTCTCGCGATATGATTAAAGATGAATTTTTTTAATGTATCTAAATGTTAGGTTGAGTGCATATTGGTTCCAGTTTATTTCAATAAATTTTCTGGTAGCTTATCACTTGTGGCACATTACTTTATTTTATGCTGTGAAATGTCATATTGTATAAAAATTCTGTATTGATGGCTCAAATCTTGGTTTTGAAATGGACGCGCTTCAATTTGTGAAAATGAAATGAAAATTTTTTGAATCGTACATTTTTTAGATCCATTGATGGACACACTCATGCATGATCCAGTTCGACTTCCGACGAGTGGAAATATCATGGATCGGATCATAATACGTAAACATTTACTCAATTCTCATTCCGATCCATTCAATCGACAGAAATTAACTGAAGATATGCTGGAACCAGGTAATGTTGATTGTTCGGAATCTGATTTTATTTTGATGATTTAGAAGTGAGAGAAGAGAAGAATGAGAAGAGAGAGTCTCAACGATAAAAATGTCTAATGCCCGAGTGGAAATTTTATACCCAAGCTGAATATAGCTTGCAGATGGTTTTTATGTGCATATATTTTTTATCCCACAGTTGAGAGTGAAAGTTTCAATTTTGCCATCCTCTGGTCTGAGTTTTTTATTGCCTTCAATTTTAACTGAAAAATACTTTAAAAACTAGTGAAATATAAACAAAATGTGATGAAAATACATAGAGGGCTAATAGGTATGACTAAGGTAGAAAACTCATACATTTTTCCAGCTTTCATTGTGGTATAAATAAATTTGATCTCTGTTTCATCTATCTGGTTTTTTTTGTTGGCATTTTAGCCCATTTGCATGGTATTAGTTTGCTGGTTCTTGGGGACTTCCTAATTCTTATCCTTTATAATTTTATACCTAGTTTCTGAATTGAAACAACGAATAGATGATTGGATCAAAGAAAAACAAAAATTAAGACAGCCTGGAACAAGTTATGAAGAAAAGATGGAAAATTAAGCCCATTTATGTGTTACCTATGTTCGTTACTATATTATATCATACTTTTGGACCAGGACAACAACTCTGTTTATTATCCGTTTTGTATGAAATTGAACTTGAAATGAAAAGTACTCTAAGTATTCTGTATATATAATATTCCCGGTAATATGTAATGGGCATTGAATTGAACACTCCTTTTTTTGGTGTAACAATAAATATAAAGTTTTCGTCTTCGATTTGTCACTTAATTGTGTTTAGGATTTGCATATTTATCCCGGGGAAAGGGAAGCCGAATAAGACGGCTTAATCATCTGGTGATTATGGCCTCCCGTCCGGTTACCAGTACATATCGGGTATGGGATTAGTTAGGCATTTATTTGTTTCAGGTGGATGGACTTGATAGTGGAGGAAGCGGATTCCGACAAGTGGTTACGTGAACCCCCTGCGGCGTCGAGGATTCGGCAATCCTTTCGCACATAATTATCCCCAATAGATTCAAACCCCGCAGAGTGATCGGAGATGCGGTGGCTAGTGTAGTCCTGGCGCTTAGCAGGATGCGCCGAGTCATTTATTTGGCGTGAGTGAGTCTGAAGGTAAAACACAACACAAATACCCGCGTGTTCATTCTGCTTGGTGGCATAGCGCAAAGCGTTATGAATACGACTGTCATCGTATCTTTTATAACGCCCATCCTTGTGGTAAGCGATTGCAGGTCGCTCATACGTAAGTCGCCTTTTCAGACATTTTCGCTTTTTGAATAATTATATACATTAACACAGAAGGGTTAGTTAAATGGCATTTCTAGTCGAATTTTCCGGTATTTTTGATCGAACGCGAATGTTGCTTATGCGCATTTTGTATTCTTGTTCTTTTTGTTTAAAAAATCGCTTTTCTCTTTAACTACTGGACCAGTTGCTTTGAATTTTCGGTGGTTAAATGTAGTATTTTCCGCTAAAAGGCTTTTACTTTTATTAATTTCAAAACTTTCTGTGGTCTCGCAGGGATTCGTTCCTTTTTGTGTAGGATGATGTCATCAAAATTGCGCGCCTTGTGGCGGTTCAAGGTGTCCAGGCATCCGACACATCATTGAGCTCTTGAAAAACAACGCAGTTCCTAACCTAACTGAGATCACACAACCGAGCTCGCATACCTAGGTAGCACCCAATAATTACTGAAAGATACCGGTATATATATATATAATTCAGTTTTTGTATTCTATAAACTTGCAAATTATTTTCCCAGCGATTCGAAATTCGGCCGTTACGCTACGTTCTAGGTTTCCGATTGCGTCGACATCACTTAATGGCAATTATGAAATTGTTTTCTCCAATACAGAATTGCCCTACTGAATTTGATTCAGGAACGTCATGAATTCATCGTATTATATTTACGTACATCGTATTTATATTCTTGCCGGTTATTGTAATCATAACATTACACTTCAAAATACAATTTTTGAAGAATGCAAACGAGCCACGTCTCTCGATACCATGGAGTAAATTAATGTTACAAGTAAACACACGGTTAACACTTCATTTTTCATATTGCGTGTTAAATATATTTATGATTTCACAAGATAAATCAACACACAAAATACTTCACCTAATAAATAAAAATCACTAAAAATAATTCAATCCGCGTTGGATCGATTCCCTGGCCCATTTTATCACCAATAGTCTATTTTTTGAATCATAAAATATGTAATGATTACTAACGGCCAAGCCCATAAATTTAGAAAGTTCCGTCGCATATCAATTGTATTTGAGAACCACAGCTGAATGTTGAAGAGGTTTGGACATTTTTTTTTCGTCGTTCCAGCTTCAAAACATTTTTTAAGTTCTTTTATTCAGCTTAAATGCATGTTTCATTTTTTTTTGTGTTAACAAATAAAAGAAATGCAAGTATCCACCGGAGAAGGATAGTACAGGGATTGATACAGTATTTAAAAAAAATTGGGGTGCAAATTTTCAATGGTATATCCAGCATTAGCACAAACTTGAAATTGAAATCTAAACTTTAAAGTTAGAATATTTGTGAGTATAATGAAACCTGATACTACACGATTCATGATTAATGTCAAGTAGGTATTGAAATATTTTTAAAAATGAAACAGTTTTCACCTATATATAATACACAAAAACAGACAGTGATATTAAGATAAGTAGTTTTGGAAATAAAAATATTAAACAAAAATAATAAAAATAACTTTTTGAACTTCAATGCGTCAACTCTCATATCGAAGGTATAGCTCACAGATTTTATTTAATCAATTATTTATTTACTGAGCAAAGTGAAAACATGACATTAGCTGGGATGAGTTTTCTGCACACAAATTTCTGTTAACATGGTAGATATATTTGTAATGCGTAGTATTCGTGGTTAGCATGCCTAAGTACAGCAGCACGCCATTTATTTGAATATTTTTGTTAAGTGTTACAAAGTATGGCATACACTGTGATATATATTATATTATTTGATCTTGGCATAATTTGTCACCATGACGTCACTTGATTATGATGCCGTTATTCTCCATCGGCACCGTCGTAATCTTCCATTAATTGCTCTCCATCTTGTTGTTTTCTAATGACTGCTTCTGCTTTTGCGAGATGTTGATGAACTGTAACTCCGTGTAGATTTTGGTCTCGTGCTTGATATCCGACCGACTAAAAAATAAGATTACGTTATATATATATATTATATACCTACATCAATGAAAACGAAATAATAATACAAAAATAAGACCTTACTTACACATATGAATGAAAATGACAAGGTAGATGCTGTAAGTAACTTTATCTTTTTCAGTGCAACAACCTATAGAAACTGTGGTCACAAAATAAAATTGAACTGTTCCATACCTGATTATCAATCCCATTATATTCAAGGTCTAAGCCTCCTTCGTAGGTTTCTTGTGACGACCCTTGTGGCGTTTCAAGTCCACTGTTCCATACTCCATATCCAAAATACATGAACAAACCTGGCAACAAATAAAAACAGAATTAATGTTTATTCATACGAGTTTCTTACGGTACAAAGCTGTAGAAAATGTAACGAAAAATACTTTCTTCCGAAACAACCTCAGTCAATTTGGAATAATATCCTTTTCTATTTGTCATGCGACGAACAGTCGACGGATAATCAACTTACCTATAATGCACCAAATCACAAATCTGACCCATGTTAGTGGTGAAAGTCGAAGCATAAGATAAGTGTTGAACCAAATAGCGGTAACTGGCAAAAATGGGACCGCAGGAGTCATGTATGCCAATCTGCAAAAACATAAAGTTATTATTATTATTTTTCTGTTAAGATTAAACCAAGACTATATTAACATTTTATTTGAATCAGTACTCACTTCTTAGGATTTTGAGGTTGTTGACAAATTTTGAGCAGAAGGAACGCAAATATAACCAGCATGATCATAAGTAGTATTACCGCCCACCAAGCTCCAGTTGAAATGTGATGTGCTGCAAAAGTAAAATGCGTTAGTAAACTATATCAAAAAATTATTACCACAGTTAATTATTATGAACACATTTATTAGAACTAGAATGGTTTCCTCCTGGTTTACAGTGATTTACTTGCGACTTTGATTCGAAAAAATGTTGAAAAAAGAGTTATATATATATATATATATGTAAAATTTTAGTGGACAAAATTTTGAAAGCAAAACTATTCAATAACTGTACCATTTCAATCATTCAAATGAACTGTATTATACGTAGGATCTGCTTTGTTTCAACATTAATATTTCCACATTTTGTTTCAATTCTATAATCCATTTTCAATAATTGCCCGCACAAAGGTATTCTATGTATTCAGAAATTTGTGAAAAAATTCATAAAGAAACATAACATTTACTTACATCTAAATACTAAAAAAATATTCAGAATGACGGAGTATGCCGATAAAAGAAGGATATATCTATCCGCCAACTTATGCGTTTCTGCAGTAGGAATTTGTTCGCTTGACGGTAATCCCAAAAAGGTTCGCACAGCGTAGGTCCACGGGGCAATATAGTCTGTAAAAATTGCCCATCTGTACGATATAGCTCCCTTCACCGGTGACCAGAATTCACTGCAAATATTTTCTTTGTCGACCTCCAAAAGTTCTCTCTCCGCATCTGCTTGGCTGCTGTTACCCTTTATCGCTCCGTAAGTACTTTTTTCTGATAAAAAAATAGATTATATTTGTAAAGCGTTTAGTTTACTAAAACAAACCTTGAGCTTCATTGCGCAGTTACTTCCAAGTAGGTATGCAGGTTTAGAATGACTGAATTTTATTTTCACAGCTACACGGGCTACCCAGTTTGGTATAGCCTAGGCCTATGTGCAGTAATCAAAGAAACAACAAGCTGAGTGCTAATGTCCTCTGAAAAGATCGTGCCAAAGATATGTAATCAACCAAACTATGTGAGATTGGTTGTGATATTTTTACATTATTCCAATCAAGTAATTCCAATGGATTCGGCTCTTTGCTTAAAACTTCTGCAATTTAATAGCCATTTTAAAGCATAAAAAATACAAACTTTGCTTGGTTGAGTTATTTTGTACGAGTCCTGTTGCATCAGAATCACATCCTATTGCCATTTCTTCTGTTTCCATTGTTTCACAGTCTTCTGGCCTGACTATTAAGTAAAGAAAAATAAAATATTGATGAAATCACTTCCTTGAAAACTTTTTAATTTATACAGTTTACTATCGATCTGTACAAGCGTTTCGTGAGCTTTGTAAAATTTGCTACTATTAGCATTAGTTATATGCGCCACGGGAGCACAGTAGCCATATTGAAAGAACACAATGAGACATGTAAAAACAATCAGAACATGCTAAAACAATTAGGCTACATCCATTGGCATATTGAATTAAAACTCATTTGTTGTTTTGAAATTGCTGTTTTTGCAATGAAACAACATCGTAATATTAAAGCAGTCTTACTTTCTTCTTCTGGTTCAGACATGGACTGAGTTTCTCCTCCAACATGTCGAAAATGAACAGATCCACTTTCAACTGTGACGTCATGTTGGTATCGTAAAAGAAGAACAGATAGGGATACCAGTGTGTAGGCAAGTAGAGTGCCAATTGACATCATTTCGATAAGATCTCTGTCAAAAATAGACGTTTATTTACGATAACTGAATAAACCTAGTTATGGTAGTGCGGTTGCCAAGTGAATAGTTTGTTGTCTAAAAACAACGTAGATCAAAATGACATGATGAGGTTTAAAGATCATTAGCGCATCGGGATATTAGTCAACAGCGTCAAGGCGTGAAAAATGGACAGACCATAAGATTCTGCTCATTTTAACATTTGTTGCCCCTCACATCCCATTTAGTAAAAACAATAGCGTTTCTATACCCATGCGAGCGATGTTGCAAATATCAACTTGGCTTTACAAGTATCCTAGTCAGGAAATAAATGTCGCATTATTTCAGAAATATTTTTCTCAAGAAGGATTGACGGTCAAGGTGAGGCCGGTGACAAGAATAATCTTTTGATGTGCATTTTTGAAACCTGCTTGATTAGGATAAACTGTTTTGTACGTCAACCCGTCATTGTGACGCGAAGGTTGGATCGATAGCTTAGCAAGATTGTGTGGGCGCTTTATCATGGAAATTACTTCGCAAATTCCAAACCAAGTTCTTGCATTATTTATGCGCATCAGCCGGTCAAAAATTGATTAGGGCTTAAGCTTGTGGTAAGCTGTAGCGCATGGATGTGATTGAACAACGCTACAAAGATGAAAATATAACGTCAGTGAATGACTTGTCCAAAGAAATTGTCTCTGTTCAATAAAAGAGTGGATTTTGATTATTTTAGAGTTCAGATAAAGCAATCTACGTTGAATATTACAGAAATAACCACATGTTGAGCAAGACTATTTGCCCCGTCGTCAGCATTTGGAAACAAAAAATTTCATGGGAATTATATGGAGTCGTGGATAAATAATTTTACCAAATTTCAGCCTAATCACTATCATATTGATTTTAGCGACAAAAGAAGGTTTTACTCACCTCAAACTTATGGCCAAAGCTAAAATCGCGGCAATAACTCCTGCTACAACTGTCGCAACTGCTGGAGTTTCCGTGTAAGGGAAAACATGTGCTAAACATCTGTTGAGTACAAAAGTAAATCGATATTTTACAACCATGCATAATAATATTATATGCTTAGTATGTTATAATTTCAGAGTGTCATATTTATTAGGCCATAACACATTTATTGGCAAAAGTGAATCTCATTATACTGTAATACTGTAATTGTGAGTAAGAAAAGAAAATACCCATTGCCCATACATCATAATCGCAGGCAAGATAGTTTAATTTAAACTTGGAATGTATGCAACATCTAAAACCGTGTATATATACAGTTTTGCTAACACAATCGTTGAGTTATTACATATAAAAAAAACTGCTCGAAATGTTCAGAAAAAGCTAACACAAGCGTTCGCGTTAAACATTTATTACGTAGGCTATTACCTGAATAAAAGTCCATCGCTTGCCATGGCATATATGACTCTAGGCATAGGGAATAGGGATCCAAGCAAACTGACTGTCAAGCTTGTAACTGCACCAATAGTAATGATGTATTGTGCCTGTGAATAAAAAAGGTTATATTTATTTAGCGGAATATTTGGTTCCATTGAGTAAGGTTGCCCGGATGGTGAAGCGAAATAAATTTCATTACTTTCCGTTTTTAACCTTCAGGAAAGACCGTGAATGTCATAATTATCGCTGTGCAGAAATCATATCGAAATTTGCATTTTATATTTGATTTCTCTACGACATGAGAGATGGGACAAGATCCGTAAAATCAATTTCGTTCGATACAATTTCATGGATTGAGTTGTACAATTTCAGTAATCCATCACTTAATCTGATTGCGTTTTAGCATTAGGGTTCTTTCAAATTTTTTGTCGATAAGATTCTGGTATTAACATAGGGGTTTGTGGTGAATTGAATTCAACGACTGGTCAGTTATTGTTGCAAAGATATAAATGAATTTATCTGATCAAGGGTGTGGAAATGGAGTGGGTCTTTGCACTGATAAACGCACATTTAGCCTCTCGATAGAATATTAATTTCACAAAACAAGACTATGAGCTTGTGTAAATGCGCTCCGCAAGTTGAAGTTTCGTTCGTACGATATGGTGATAACTGATAGCAAGAACAACTCATATTTTTCCCAAATTGTGCCGATATGGTTTAAACCGGAGCAACATCGTTATTTTACAACATAAATTTCACCGATTACTGCAAACGCTTGACTAGCTTCTGTTTAAGTCGAACCGAGCCAAAAATTTCATACTCCAACAAGCTTAATTTATGACTCATTCAATCACCCAACTGAAGAGACAACAGAATTAATAAAGCATACAACATTCGATAAGTATCGAGTAATCATTTAGTTTTAAGTCATAAAAATATGATATCAAACATTTAACTCACTTGAGGAAAGCTTGTGTGGTGGAACATCTCAAGAAGAGGAGATTCCGAGTTGATTAGATAATATGGAACAACCAATGTCAGTAATCCACTCACTGTGACGTATGCGGTCAAACACACACACAAGGACGACAAAATTGCATAAGGAATCGACCTAATAAAAAAAAGTTTAAGGAAAATGATAGTCAAGTACGAAATCTTCATTCATTGTTTATTATTTTCATGTCGTTCGTCAGAAATGTCGAGGTTTTATACTAGGATAATATTAGACGAAACACTTTCTTTCAATAGGTCAGAAAATCCGTACAAATCACATATATTTCAATATTTAGAGTGCACTCATATTTGATTTTTTTAAACATTTCAAGTTCTGCTTACTTGTGTGGTCTTTGACATTCTTCTCCGGTCGTTGCGATAATGTCGAAGCCAATATAAGCATAAAAGCACGTTGCTGCTCCACTGAGCACCTGAAAATATGAATATCAATTGTAATGCATTATACTGAGACATAATAATTCTATAAGCATCCAATTAATTCAACAAACAGAGTTACGTTTTATCTAGGCCAAATGGAAAGGTATTGTTACTGCTCGATAATGAGTATGTGGCATTCTGCATGTGCAGCGCATATTCTCAGCTTGGTAAAACAAATGAACTATTATACACTGATAACCTGATTATATCAACACAAGATAGCTGTAAACGGCAAGCAAGGTGATTTGATGTAATTTATTTTCAGATGCCAAATTTGATCTATCCTCACCCCATTCCATCCAAATGGCAAAAAGTTTCCATCTGCCCAGTTCGAGAAATCCATAAAACATAGTCCACAAACGACGAGAAATATCCAAATAATAAGATTAACAGCATTCAATGCGTTGTTGAATAAGACCGAGTTTCGAACACCAGCTGCAACGATCACTGTCATTGCCAAAACTATTAGAAAAGCTATGATATCCGGAAACGAGTATGGATCCGGATGTCCTCCTGAAAAAACATAAAAATGTTAGTATCGATCGATACGAACCACAAGAGTAAAAAATCATTTATAAGTTTTAAATCCGAGTTGGTAGGGGAAACTTTTGTATCAAGACTAATTATAATTTATACTAATGCCTCGAACATATTGATTTTCCATTTCTGGTGATTAAAACAGTGAGAATAAAGAAAGATTTGACAGAACTATAGTTCACAGGTAGTACCATTATGCAGATTTGATGCATTTCTATGCGCTGTAAAGCCTTCCAAACTAGTATTCGACTCACCTATACTTGGAAGATTTCCCAAATGCTGGACCATCCATTTTCCTATTGTTCTATTTGACAGAGAATCCATCATACTGCTTAGTGCACTAGCTCCGGACGCTGAAAAAAAATATACTTCTAAGTTAAATTGAAAATATGTTACATAGTCATTCGATAACACTGATTTAAACTGATTTATTAAATTTTAATAAAATTGGCGCTCCCTTAGTATGTGCACCAAGATGGCGCAAAAACTGAACCCTAACCTGGTACACATACTATGTTCAGGCTGTGCGCCATCTTGATGCACATACTATGGGAGCACCATAAAAATACACCAAGACGGCGCACAAGCATAATATTTTATTTGTGACGAGCGAGTAAAACCCCAGCTCTTAATAAAACAGTTATTATTGGCCTTGTTGTCGCAGATGGCGGTTCTTCTATATAATATATAGAAGAAACGTGACTAAAACTTGAAGCAGGAAGTATTATACAACTATCCCCGTATGCGACCGAATTAGTAACTTTTAAGTGTTTTATTCATTGAAATATTCAATATAGATGCGCATGTGTCGTATTTCGAAATAGTATTAGATCAATTATCGTCATAATTATTGCTCTAGGTAAATTGCCTTTTAAATTATTCAAAAGTATAAATTTCGTCGCGATCATTTACATGCATAATTGGCAAATCTCTCAACTCATTGCAATAAAACAAGAATTATGCATTAGAGTTTACATAAACGAATCCATAAATTTAATTAGGATGAGGACATGTCGTATTCGCAAGCCACCAGTTTCTATCTTTTTATAAAAATTCTTTTGGTTTAAATATTTCCTTGAACATTCAGCCGTGCAGAATTCCCTAATTCAAAAAGAACCTTTCTTAAACACTTTAAGTGCCGCAAGTTGTACCATATTTTCTGGCGCCTATTGAGGTTCGTATTCGTAAGAAAAATCAATTTTATGACAAAAATTAATTAGTTGACAAACTTTATTGAACGCAAATTTAAAATAGTAGTCGGAACATGACTCAAACAAAATATAGAGCAAAATATTAAAAAGCATACTGAATAAATCAATAATCGACATGTATCGATTGAAATCGATTTCGATGGTGTGTACATGAGAGTCAGTGAAAACTATTTTATTCAAGAAGCAAGCGTGATCAAGTGTCGACTAGACTTAGCTTTTGACCCTCTTGCTATCAAATATTATCGCACCTGTTCCAATCAAATATTCCAAAATCAAATTCCATCCGATGAAAAATGCTGTGAATTCTCCTACGGTGACGTAACTGTACGTATATGCTGATCCTGACGTCTTTGGTACACGCACGCCAAATTCAGCATAGCACATGCCTGAATATTTATTAGAAAATGGAGGTAATTAGTCTACGTTCAATATTGGATGGAATATATATATGTAAATAAGAAATCACAAGTGCAGAATTATAATTCATAATAATTAAATTGTATAAATTGTTGACAAAAATAAAATCTAGGAAATTTCCTATTTCTCGGAGTATTTCTGCCGATACGGCCTCAAACAAACATAATTTGTACCAAAGGTATCAAACACTATTGTACACCACAAACGTGATAGTTGGTTGAAAATATTTGAATATATATGTGTTTGTACATATATATTGAATCCTCGTTCAGTGAAGATTTTTTTTTAAATTGAAAGTTTGTATTTTAGTTTCTGTTAGATTTGCGTTAATTAAGAACAAATCTCGAAGTTGATTTTACTCGGAAAAGATATTTTTGAGAATTTGTAATCGAAAATTCGTATAATCGTGGCCGTGACGTCAAAAAATGCTAACATAACGGTTGCAAATCACTAAAAGTCTATTTTGACACGGATTAGCAAAGGTATTTTCTCCTTGTTTTTTTTACAGAATACTTATTTAAAAATTGTCGTCATCGACACATATACGCTTGAATATTTTGCTATTTGCCGGGGAAGATTCTCAAATTTTTACCTGACAGTAATGATGCCACGCCAGCAATAATAAACGAAAGTACAACTGCTGGACCAGCAAGTTCTTTAGCTACCAGTCCAGATACAACGTACATTCCGGTACCAACACAACTTCCTACACCGAGTGACGTCAAATCCAAAGTCGTCAAACATCGCGGTAATTTTGTTACTGCAATTGATTTTCTTCTGTCATCTCTCATTGCTTCTATCGGCCTCGTTCTAAATATGTGCATATATTAGCGGATAATATAATAAAACACCCACTGATGCTGTGTAATTAGAATACACAAAATAATTGGATTCAAATCTTATGTAAAATACATCAATAATTTAGGTTCATTAGTTCTCTGCATTTGCTGATTGGCATTATAACAATGAACCTTGTCACACCTGGCTTGTCGAATTTGGGTGTCTCATTTCAAAACGAAAAGGAAGTTTATTCTAATGTTGTACCGATGAATATATAACGGTTGAGATTGGAAATAACTAAATTTTCTTTGTTACTCATAGATAAACGTATTTTTCGCGTGATAAACTGCGAAAATGAGGATATAAGCTATAGAGTATGTATATTATGGTCAATATGCTCATGTGCGCAACGAATGTAAAATATAGTTGTTCATTTATTGTAAACTTTACCGTGTTAGTCTGCTTCCAAAACTCCTTGCATGTTGCTTCATTGACACCCAGCTCCATGACGTCGGATTCATATCGCTAAGATTTGGAATAGGCATGGTGGTAAAATATCGAATAATTTATTACTAAAACCTGGATGTGAAAAAAACGTACAGTTATTATTTGAGCCCGGAACATCCGTAGTTTTGTAGAACGGAGCAATGTTTGATACTAAATTGTGCCTTATGTCAAGAAAACTGAATATATATCAAGTTCGAAGCGCCATTTGCTTCCAGCTTTTTGCCCTCGTCCATGATCCTATCCTATACTCATACTGTATATATCATTTCAAAATTATATTCCTGTTCGATTTTAATTATTGTAAACCAATTTATTTGAAATACTGAATGAGTGGTAATGCTTGTTAAACTTTCTACTCGAACTCGTACCGTTCAATAATGAAATTCGTATTAAATGAAACTTCCTAGAAGTAGCCTGAACTTTGATTGACACGCTTCATTGACAATCAGAGGAATATCCATTGCTCGCTGGTATTGTTCGTAAAACATGCTCTGGCTTTGGCACAATTACCTTGTCATTTATTATATCACAATTACGTTGATATGGCTCATTGCCATATATTTAATTTTGCGGGAAAAGTCTTAGTCGGAATGTTACAATCGCTCATTACTATGCATTTTTCTTCGACTGTCGTTGTCTACAAAGTGAAGTTATTGAGAATAAGAATAATCGACTATGAAAGGTATCGCACTCTAAAAGAAGGATTTAATATATTCGACCCAACTTTAGTTGGTTAGGAAAAGAACAACAGACATATCCTAAAAAACAACGTTTATTCCTGTCTTTTTCGTCAGTTTATACATATCGAAGCTTAACTGTTCTGAATAATTCTAATTTACAAATAATATACAAACTTGTAATACAATAATATATATCTAAACAGTGTGGATAGGCATCACATTTCCTTCGGTTTACTCAATAACAACTGAATAGTTTGTGCTATCTGTGATATATATATGCAAACTATTAATACAGAAATATCTATCTCAACAGTGTGGATATGCAGAACCTTTCCCTCGGTTTTCTCAATACAACTGCACAGTTTGTGCTATCTGTGATATATGTATGTACCGACTACCCGCTGTTTCATGAAACATCTGTGACCTTGGATTGAGAGATATTGTCGATCAATATTTCACGTCTTCTGAAAGAAGGACAATAAATCGGGAACAAGATAAGTCGACCGTTCGATATTCGCAATTAATATTCAGCCAATCATGTTGCTTGGAAACAAAAGTACTCGGGGCTTATCACAGAAAAAGCAGGTCTCCCATACTTAAGCTATTCCATAAGATCCATATTTATTGACTTCGTGGAAACTGCATAATCTTTTTTATAGTCAGTTTATATCGAAAATAAAAGATATCAGATACACATTTCAGGCTCGACAACTTACAAGGCGGTGCTTTCTGGGGAAAGTGTGTTTCTGTTGGGACAGAAAAACGTCAAATTATAGAGTCCCATGGTGGCGAAGAATAATTTTAGCCGGAAAAGTCTGCGAACTCGGTTCTATTTTGTTTATTTGTTGAAAGTAGTTGCATTAGATCGAATAAATCCTTTAGCAGACTGCCAGTACTCATTGTTGGGTTGGCAGGGTCACTTAAGAGGTAGGGTGGATTTTGGATGGGGGAGGTGGGAGGATTTTTTTCAATATAGTCTGTTGGGATTGTCAATAGGCCGTACTGAGTACCCTTTTACAACAAAGATCAAAAGCACACTCATCGCCATATTTATACTGGGTCTCTTAGAAGTTAAGCCCGGCGTAAAATTTCATCTTACCCCGTCCAATTTTTTTTCCATATGCGTATAAAATACGCCCAAGGTTATGCCAAGAAATTACAAAATAAATACTTTTAGAGGTAGTCCGTGTAAAAAAGATATAAAAATTGCAGTTGAAAAAGTGCAAACTAAATTTTAAATTTCTAGTTTCCCTGAAACTGTTCAAACTCTTTAGAAAATTGCCCCGTTATGTCCTTTATGGGGTAAGGCGGACATAATTTTTGATATGCAAGAAAAGTGATCTGTTTAAAAAAAATTTAAGAGACATAATCCTGGGCCATCCAGGCGTTGACCGAAATCTTATGACCGAAATCTTAGACACCATCAAGTTTATTTTGGTGTGTGTCCGTCTTGCCCACAAAGTGTCTAACTTACCCTGATATTTTTTTAGCTGAAAATCGGGCGTAAATTCCGATTCGTTGCCATGGCAACAATGTGCAAATGTGGCAAGATAGCTGGAGGGTGGGTGCATAAATCAAACGTAGAACGAATGTAGCTGCGACATTATTTGAAGAGTTATTCAAAATAACTTATTAGTGGGTCCGACTTCCCCCGACCTACTATAATTGCAGCGAAATAGTGAACACAAGATGTCCTGTCCTAACATTTTCTCAAATTTGGTAGGCTATATTATGTCGATAACATATCGGTCCTTTTCATAACGCGTTGGCTTATCACGCTTACCTTTTTCATGCTGTAGGCTATTTCCGCATCTTAGATTTGATAAATTTATAGTTCCAGGATCCATATAAAACCCATATAAATTAACGAAGTGAATTCGCAGGAATACTACTATCTCAATTCATAACACTAAGAAATCCATATCTTGAATTTACTTCGAAACATATGAATAAAAAAGTCAGATGGTATACGGATCATTTGCACTGTTAATTTTCTATGCTACTGTTCTCCATGCATCGATTAACCACGCGGGAAATTCCGTACACTAAACGCATGTAGCTCATGATGTCTATCATCTCCTCTAACCTATGGATAGAAAGCTAGAAAACGCTGCACCTACTTCCTCATATTTACATATTATTGACAATCCTTACATACAGGGATTTCCAGATAGGGAACAATTACTTAAAGCTAATCATAACCACGGAAAAATAAAAATCGTGTAGGCTCCTGATTTGAATTTCTCTTTGAATATTTCGTTTGCTCCTTGAAAGCCTAGTTTAGTGGGTATTTGATTCGTATCCAGTTTGTGAGTCGTTCTAGAACAGATCGCTTTAAAATGCCGCCGCCACATTTATAAATATGTTTCTACTTTAAATTCGGCAGCATCTTTAAATTATTAATGAGAACTTTAACTCTGGTTTCGCCTATCCCGTACCTGCGTTGCGCATCAATAGTAGAAGAGTCAGTGAAATGGCGTGGCGCAGAATATTCGATTGATAAATTCATGAAATGTTTCCTAATGTGAATTGATAATGAAGCTGATGTATCAAAATTACTAGCATATTACATATATACAAATTACATAGCCCCTTTTGCCTAACTTCAAAAATAATTCGGAAAATAAACAAATTCTAGATGTTGTTATACATGAGAATGAATAAATTAAAGGTCCGATAAGAAAGAAATGTTTCACAGTATATTGCTAAATCACGCAATGAGCAAATTGGCGGGACTCTACAGCTTGGATCTGCTGCTCCCTACAACTTGCTGCCCGGGCGGCTGCCACTATGGCCCTTCCCTAGGCCAGCCCTACCTGTAACTGTAATGCTAAACAGTTTTCAGCTTTGAACATCGAAGCACGAACATCGGCTGTAACTCTTAAGACTAGAATACGGATATATATTTCAATTAGGAATTGATCTGGACTGAGGCAGCACGCTTTCAGATGGTTGCGCTGCTTATCAAACGATTCCAATGAAGAGCCAGTACAGCCGCATGCTTATCAGCTACTAAAATTATATTTATTCGGTCCAGTTCCCACCAGTCGTGTTATGATTATGACCCACAGGATTCTTCTGTTCTCGGTATGCTTGTGGGATCTATGTAAAATGGCGTGGCTACTCATCTTCTTCCTAGATAACCAACGATAGGCTACGCAATGGTGCAGTAGAAACAATAAAAAATAGTACGAACGGTATATATACTAAAATAAATGAGATTCATCAATGAAGTTGGTGTATTGTCAATTTTAGTGTTGCTTCTTTTAACATTTTTTGTTTCTTGATACCCAATAAATATAGGATTTTGCCGACTGTCATCAACAGTAAGCAGGTTTACTTTGATTTGCCATTGAAAAATAAGTACATCAATATAATTTGACTGTAAATATTTGGCTGCAAACACACAATTTGCAATATATTGTCCGGAAAAAGTTTGTGAACAGTGGTCGTAAAAAAACCCAGTGATGCACATTGCACAGTCTGGGATAATTCGTCTAATGTGGGCTATCTAATACACACTGTAAACAAAACAATATTGGAAGAAATGAAAATAAAATCGACGTAAAAAAAACAAGAGAGCTATGCTCAAATATATGGACACGTAGCGCCACATAAAGGAAATAATTTTGATGACGTCATAGAAAAAATAAAAAGTAATATCCTTCTGAAGAAAATTTTTATTTTTAACCACTGAAAATTTCAAAGCAATTGGTCCAGTAATCAAAGAGAAAAGCGACTTTTTAAAACTGCGTCAAAGAACAAGAACAACAACAACATAATATTGAAACGATCGCTATGTCCACTACGTGTTCAAAAAAGAATAAACAAAGTAAAATGTAAAAAAAAAAACATTCAATGCTCTGGCGACAGAGAATCACTCTGGGATCTGGCGTACCAATTTCAGTGCAAATAGTATAGATAGAATTTACATATTTATCCAGGGGGAGAGGAAAGCCGATTTTAGGCTGATAGATTTTGCAAGTCTAAAAATATATTTTTTTTTCTCATTTTTATTTTAATGGAATGGAGATATACATAAATTTGATAACAAGTGGACAGAACAAGCATTGGAAAGAAAATTTAGCAGCACGTCAAGTAAAACAATATAAAACTAATCTTACAGCACTACATATTTACGGCACTACAAATCGTGGGTATGTCTGTTTCAGGACACTTTCGCAGTAGTAGGTATTCATTCTTCCAAATTGATTAATATTATTGACTGATATCAGTTTTATCTCTATTTATATCAAAGGAGATATATAAAGTACCGTTATCGCCAAAAAAGAACGAATTCTTTTTCACGAGAGGCAGCTGTTAAGATACGAATCACCGCACGAGGTCAGTAGCGGGCATGATTTATTTAGTTTTTTTGTGACGTCATAATTTCAAAACAAACGAGGTTGAAAAGTAAATCGTGCTACTAATTCAGCGTTTTCTTAAACTAGCCTATGTGCCGCGAAGTGCTACGTTACTGTGGCGCAAATAGGCTATTCCTATTACACATCGGCATTCATGCAACGGGCAAGCTTGTGATACTTGAGTGTGTATTCATTATTAGACTGATAATATTATCGTATTGCATTTGCCTTGTAAGTTAATTCTGTAATTGTACTGTTATGTCAGGACCGTATGTCTGTATGTTATAATGTGTTTTTAACTAGACGTCCACCTTCCACCATGTTGACTTGCACGCTTAGTTAGGGTAAAAGTAAAGCAAGTTTGGACAAGTTATGCTATCTGCTTACAAATTCTATTCAATCATCGGTCCAGAAGCCATCAAAATACTGAAATAATTTGGGTCTTACTACTTCTGTACTTACTGAATACAGCGCGAAACAGATGGAAACAGAAGGAAACCAGCGCAAAACAGAGGGAAACAGCGCAAAACAGGAGACGCAGTCATTACCACCTCCTGCCACGAAAGAACCACGGCGCCTCTTGCCATGGTTTTATGGCGCTATTTCCGGTATATTTACAAGGTTATGTACCGGATTATAGGTCATCATGCGAAATTTTATCTACCTTTTTGGTGCTCCAGAAGTATGTGCAGCAATATGTCGCACAACCTGAATCTGCTACACACACATACTATTTTCAGGTTGTGCGCCACCTTGGTGCACATACTTCTGGAGGTCCCTTTTTAGCTAACCCTAACCCTAAAGCCAACCATATCCATATGGAAAATGTTCTAAATTATGGTACCCAAAATGTGTCACCAGCAGGGGCAGACCTGCCATTACAGCATTACTGGCTACATACGTTGGTTTGTGTTTTTAATTTGCTGCCGTGGTACTCCAACTCAAAACAAGGTGCCCCGAACTCATTGCAAAAAAATTTTCCGCTTCACACTGTTTCCCTCTGTTTTGCGCTGTTTCCCCACTGTTTTGCGCTGTTTCCCTCTGTTTTGCGCTGTTTCGCGCTGTATTCAGTAAGTAGTAAGACCGAAATAATTTAGCTATTTAAATATGTAAATCCTATCCTATTTGCATCTTCATGACTATGTGAACACAGACTTTTTGCTCCCACTGAAATTAGGAGCAAAAATAGAGAGCAAAGGAACCTTGATTCCCAAAACAGGCACACACATCCCAATACTGCAATACAGCAATAACATTTGCAGAATAAATTTGGTTAAAGCTAACTTTATTTTTGGTGGGCCACAAACTTATTTTTAGGAGCTGACTGATAATAGATTCGTTTGTTTATTCTTTTTTTGTTAAAATTGAAAACGCTACTACAATCACAAAAATAAGATGATCCGCACTGCTGCAGGATTACTCATGCAGTCATCGAGCAGTTCTGCATATGCAGAATTGCTCCAGCATTCCGGCTGGAATAATTCTCTACTGTCTGACTGTATTATTCCCTATTCTGAATTTAGGCATGACAGCATGAGAGATCAGAATCAGGAATAATAATTCTCCGTACGGTTATATCTGAATATACTAACTCTATCACCTTTCTGTCTTAAGTTAAGGTGCAAGTAGCCTATGGACCTAATTCTGTAATTTATGGTTTTTCATTTGCCTCATCTATGTTATGTTATTTACCATTGGATCGTGACAACTGACTTTGAGCATCTATAAAATTGGACAAGTTGGTTATTGTTCGTATTAGGATTTTGATAATTATATCTATCTTACATATCGTTAGATGTCAGTGGCTGCTTGTATAGGGACTTGTTTGGAGCCAAAAGTGTAAAAAAACTTCGATCAGATAATGCAGTAATACCCGTTGTTTTCAACAGGTAATGTTATATATAATGTAATATTAATCATAAGCCCAAAAATGTCAAGAACTGCACATCTTGATTTGACACCATCAAGGAGAAGTAAGCGTCTTCTGCAGAATGGATATTACTTGCAGCCACCTGGAGACCCGCTTCCTCCGCAAGAAATGAGCAGTGAAGAAGAAGATGACAATGCATCAATACATTCAAATAATTCATCAGTTTATTCGGAACGACAAGTTCACTACGCAGAAAGTACAACTCCGATTTTTACCCACAAAAGAAGGAGGCGTAAGGGTTTAGAAAGTCCAAGAATCGGTAATTTGCTTGTGCAGAAGAAATCCCAATCTCCTCGTATAAAAAAGAAATTTCGGAGGGAAGCAACACATGCAGAGAGTACATCACGTAGTACCCCCTATCTTGCATTATCTAAGCGAGATGATGTTGCAACTACTTCTACTACTACAACGTCTAATCATATTCACGCAGCGACAAGAGAAACAAAAACAATGATCCATTCAGTACAAAGAACTCAAAGATATGCTAGTCGTGGAGAATCAGATGCTGTTGTTCAGTCATCTCGAGCGACACAACAAGAATCTATATCTGATACTGCCGTAAATAACGATATTCTAAATGAATTAATTCGCAATTCTATAATGTCGAGGAATCAATCAGAGTACAATGCGATTGGCAGTGGTGATCAGATGTCAACAGCAAGTTATATGCGAAGAAGAGAAGGAATGACTTCTACTCCGATTAACAATGCTAGGGTAAGACTTACTATAATCTAGAATCTGTACTTTTCCATTTTATGTGCAAGCCTTTTTTCATTTGTTTTTTTTTGTTTCAAATTCAAATTGAGGCGCTTCAGAAGTATGTGTATCAATATGGAGGTAACTAATTTTGTTCGCCTATTTTACATCAAGTTGTGTAAAGGGACTGAAATCTATAGGTAGGGGGTATATTTACTTGTCCAACACAGACAGTCCCTGAACTCGTAATAGAACTAAAATAAGGAAAATCGGAATAAAATTATGGCCTAACCCTAACCTGGTACACATACCGCGGGAGTACCCAAATTACTGGACGACCTTGGACAATCTTGTGTTTATTCTATTTCTAGAATGTCAGTGAAAGAGGAGATGCATCGTCTAATAAAATAAATGAAAGTCATATTTCACAATATTCTTCCATTGAATCAGATGCAGAAGATGATGGTATGTATGTAAATTAATTAAATACTGGCATAAATAATGTCATTTAATGGGATTGTACTGTATATTACATCCATTTTCAGTTTGAGAAAAATATTGCATTGAGTAATAGTAACTTGAACTTTATTTACATGTCTAGCGAGTAGCGATGATTTTAAATTGCAAGTAATCTTTAATAGTCTTCATATCAGTTTATGTCATATATTATAATGCGTTTCTATATGATAGGTATACAGAGAAAGAAATATGTTTCTCCAGTTGCAATCGCTTTGGCAAAAGTTGTCAGTATGTTGGTACTTGCTACAACATGGATTAGTACTTGTATTGGTCATATCTGCAGAACAATATACATGGTATTTGCTTTGTTTCATTTATGTGGCAATAGTATTGAAAGATGAATAGCTTTTATGTGTGCTTCCATATCTAAGCGTAATATCCATTTAGTAATTTCCTATGTTTGGTTCTATTGGATGGGCCATATTATACCTACACTTCCAGCCATTCTTATAGTTACTTATTACTATATATGCAATGATCTTGATGCTATCAGCACATATGCAATCATATTTTTATAAAAATAACAGTTTGTAAATGGCAATATCGGCCATTCCCATGTAATAAAATATTGTGTCATCAAAATTGTATTGTTTGATTGTGTTTTGTGAATGTTTATATTCAGTGTCAGATAATGTTAAATCATGATAATAGTTAGTTATATTACTACAATCTTATTGATAATATCTGTACAATGGGCGACCATTATTGAATATGGAAGCTGTGGTTTATTCCCTGGAGGCAAACAATAAAGGCACTGATACACATTAGTATTACATAGTCTCTAAATATGTTTTGATAAACAATGTCTTATTTTAAAATGTGACCATTATATTCTATATTCTAATTCTAGTGTATATGAGGAAATTTATTTTCATATGAAATGAAACTTTTCATTTCATTTACATTGCAAATACATTATTATTATTAGTATTTAGATAAAACGATATTTCAAAATCGTAACATTTGAAAACGGTGTTTCCTGATCGAGAATTGATAATTATCATTTTGCATTTATCGTGTCTTATGCAAAATAGTTTTCCCCTGATTATTCAAAATCATGTTTAAGACAAGCCACGTTTAAAAAGTTCCAGATAAATACTATTTAAATATTACAGACACATGCCAATTTATATTATAACGGTTTTAGACAATGTAATAATTTGGAATTGTCCATATAAATGTCAATACATTACTAATAGTGACATATCGCTATACCTTCAATTTCAGACCTCTTTATCAATTGCTTGCTTTGATGTATGGTTACTATCTCGAAGGACCAGCCCTTTATTAGCAAAAGTTATCCGTGCAATTTTAATATTGTTGCTCCTTCTCTTACTTTACCTCATTGCAACAAGAGTACTGGGTGAGGAGACATTGCTTGTACCCGTGCAGTCTGTTGCTGGATTGTTTCAAATTTTGTCACAGAAGATTAGTGCAGGTAAGGGATGTTTATAGGACTTGCCTAATCCATATTTTGGTTGTTTTTCAGAATATCACTATGAAATGACAGTGATTTTTTTTCTTGTAACGCCATTTGACTCTTTTCCCTCTTGTGATGATTACAGCATGCTTTGCAGTTTGCGTATATCATTACAGTGTACATACAGTAGTACTCTGTATGATTTATCGAATTTGTTAACTATGTTCAACAATTATTAAACTATGAGATTATTTACTAATTTACCACTTGAAACATCCTTATCAAGTCTGAATTAAGTGTATAAACAGTGTATTATGTACATAACATTTTCTCAACAAATATTTGTGAATGTCCTGCTCTATTGAAATGGTCTCGATGTATTTTTTTTATGTAGTTTACGTTCTCACTGGAAACAACGAGGGAACTATTTACCAACCACAAGCAGTCATAGACAAAGCACCAACAACACAATCAGAATCATATCCAAGATCTTATCCAGTAAGATTTTCATGATTTCCTCGCATATGCTTCAACTTTAATACAGTAATCTACCGGATACATACTTGTTCACATTTCTACTTCTATATTCTCATTCAGGAATTGGAAGAGACACTAAGTAAGATGGAAATTCATTTTGCTGATAAATTAGTCCAAGTCAAAGATGAAGTTAAAATTATTCGTCAAGAACAAATTGATTTCAACAAGAAACAAATGGACAAGTTTGAAGCAGTAGGATTCTTGTTTCATTTTAAATGGATCTAAACTAGGAAGTGTTTTTAATAATACAAATTTTTATATTACTAATGGCGCTCCAGAAGTATGTGTACCAATATGAAGGTAACTAATTGTATTCGCCTACTTTACATCAAGTTGTGTAAAGGGTAAAGGGACGAAAGCCTATGGGCAGGGGGTATATTCACTTGGCTAACACAGACAGTCCCCTAACTCGTATTAGAACTAAAATAATGAAAGAATAAAATAATGGCCTAACCCTAACCTGGTACTGTACACATAGCCTACTACGGAAGTGCCTTACTAATTGCTTAATATAGTTGAGGTAGACACCACCTTTTGAAAATATATTCCTTGTTACTGTCAATATTTTAATTATCCAAACTCTGTTTCTAAGAATCAATTTTCTTCTAAAATAGCAATCAAGTCATTCCCTTTTTTACAGTTGCATATGTTTTTTTTTTATTCCTGAGTCCATTTTTAAATACTTTCACAGGCACTGAGTACATTAGAAGGGAAGTTACAGAGAGAAATAAATGAACAACTTAGTCAATCTAATACTCAAATGGCTGAAAAATTAGTTTTTATAAAGGTGAGCTTTACTTCATAATATGCCATCATGTATAAGGTAGTTGTGTGCACTCTAGCATGCTAAGAACACCGTTTTGAAAATAAACAAAGCATGAAGCGTGCCTAAGCCACGGTGAATATTCTGTCTTATTCTCTAAAAACTGTATGACAAGTTTATTTATGTGTATCTTTTCAATACAAGGATTATTACAGTTTATTTTTAGGAAGATGGTTTTTGCATATATTGCCGCATTAGAAACTGATTGGTTTATGTCACATTTTAAGGTTTTGAGAGAATCTCATTTTTGTAATAGTTGTCATAGATGCGGCTTTGAAACCCAGACCTGGTACCCTGATGACAAAAAATCAGGAAAAGTCTTAATGTGACATAAGTTACTTTGGTTTTACTGCGACCGCATTACTATGAAAAATTACTATGATTTTACTGTTATCGAACATTAACTTCCAACCATGATTAGTGATGGCTGACATAAATAAGGAATTGCTTTTGCAAATCCTGTTTTGCAAAATAAGGAAATTCCTATTTCAATTGCAAAAAAAAATACTAAAAACTTGAATGTCACAACAACAAAATTTTTTTTTCAATCTTCAAAATTGTTCAGAATGAAGTCTCAACACTACGAATGAATCATTCCAGCACTGGAGCAAGCATGAAAGCTGAAATAGACCAGCTGCGAGGATTATTATCTGACAAGTCACAAATGTCAGCAAAATTGAGCGAATTCAACACCAGACTTGCAGCTTTTGATTCTAGACTCAATATGCTGAATAATTTGCTTGTGTAAGTGGAATATTTTATTTAAGTTTCCCATGTGAAAAATTTCCCTACTTCGTTTACTGGCATTCTCATTGTAAATAATTTGAATACAGGTCAATAAAGGTTGGGGGTAATGTAGGGATTGCCTTGTGGTTTTCAACTAGTGTCGAATGTATGATATGTAGATGAAATACTCAATGACTAACCTGATGTTTTTTTGTAACAGCATATTTACCTTTCGCTTCGAACAAGGTTCTAAATAAGTAGCAGAAGTATATGGGCTGCAATTTTATTTTGAAGGCCCAAAATCTCTCTGATTTGGCATTTCCTACCAAATTACTACACTCTGGGTGAGATGGCGTTTTAAACTCAAAATATTAACCTGTGATGCCATTATATTTAGGTCTAACGCTTTGGCCGCTATGCCACTGCGCTATATATAGCAAAAATTTTGTGTTTGAAGCACATTGAAATGCTATTTTTATGTCACAGTTCCATCACTTCATGCGTAATCAGCAATCGTTTTATAATATATTCGACTAATCGTAGATTTGATCGAGGACTGATTATATTGATGAGCAAATTTAAATCGATTGAGAATTATCAAAACTTGTCCTAAGTATTTTACTAGTGGTGAAACATGAGATATCAATTTTTTATTCTCTTGTTTACAGCAAATCAGTGAAAGACTTTGATCAGCATATTGGAAATACTACCTACATAAAAGAAATTGCTAAAATGCAATTCATTGAAAGTTTCTTGAAGTTGATCAAAACTGGAGAGGTAAACCACTTTTCACAACATAGACCCATTTGCATTGTTGTGACGAATATACAAAAGCACAGTTCTAAGATTCTCCTTAAAATTAGGCATATTTTTATAGTACGTTTCATATTTTCAACGTTTTAAGCCGCGCCCTCTTTTCAGAAGTCTTCAAGTCTCGCTCCCCACCTCAAAAATAAGTAGCTAACAGTAAGCTACAAACGAGAATATCGGTTGGAAACCGAAGACTTTATCGATCGATAGTTAGGGGATCCCCCAAAACAGAAACTGCAGTTTCGATTCATCCGTTCTTGTATTTTGCGCACTGCGCATCGCACACACACACTCGGCGGCAATGTTCCCTCTAATTTTTTGTAGTATGTGTGCGCAGAAATTTTTGTGTGTGCGCACTTTTTTGTAAATGACTAATATTTGTGCAAAAACCAATGAAGAAATTTTGGCGTTCTAACCGGGTGATAAGTGGGCCAACAACAAACTTTCTCAACCTGCCAACCGAGAACATTGTTACATTACATCGAAATACGCCTGTGCGCAGTAAATCAATGCGTGTGCGCAGCCTCTGAAAGCTGTGTGCGCGCGCACATGCACACACCTTAGAGGGAACACTGCTCGGCGGGTTTCAAAATTCTCCCGCTTTACAAAAATCTAGATCACTATATCAATAATTGATTGATACCTCGCTAATTATACGACATAATTCGCCCAAAATCAATAGGTTTCTGGTCCGAGATAAGATGAATGCACATGCAAAATTTGGAGCAGATTCAACCTCGCATTCGCGAGATATCGCGTTCATCTAACAGACACACCGACAGACATACATACAGACAAATACCTATCAATATACTTACCGATCTTAAGATCGATAAGTAATAACAGATAGTAAGGCAAAAGTATGTCAGAAAACACATTGAAAATATGTGGACGGAACGTAAATATCCAAAATAAAGAAATTTAAATATCCAAAAAAAGTCGGGCAAGATCAAATCTAACAAATATTTTATTTTTAATTGGTTTCTCCCCCCCTCAAAAAATTGTCTACGCCCCCTTGTAGAGCGCCCCAGAGTTTGAGAACCACTGTACAAGACTTTTGAAGGATCGGCACATTGCCTGTCCAATTTATTACACTCTGGGTAAGGTGGTGGGATTGCGATTTTGAATCGTTGATTTTAAACCTGTGAAGCAAACATAGTTGAATCCAACGGTTTAAACACTACAACCCTTATTTTGAGGAGTTGCTATAGTTTGAAAGGACCATAATCTTTTCGTTTCGACATTGCCTTCTCAATTTGTAACACTCTGGGTGAGATGGTGGGGCATGGGAACTGGAACTGACATTTCACACCGGCACTGCCAACATATTTAAATCCAACATTTTGAAGCCCATTATACCTATTTTACTCATTCTTTGAAAAAAAATTACCTACCTAAATTAATTATCTAATGACCGTAGGGTCGATGTATTATAGATGGAAAATGTTTTGTGTAATGTTGCTAGCATTTGTCTTACTATTCATTAACCATTTTTTTTCATTTTCATCAAATTCAATTCTCTAGTTTTACAACTATGTTGTCTGTTTTTAGGGATCTGCTGATGATCGAAACAGTCTGCACTTCTTGTTTATTGCATGGCTGAAGAAACAAGGTTTTGCTCAAGTTGTTGAAGTAGAACGAGGCATGAAAACAATATCTTCTAATAATAACTTCACTATGGCAATGTTGGAAAAGAAATTCTCTCTTCATCTAGAGGTAATATAAGTCTGAGAATGATATGAATAAGAGATATTTTTGCGTGATCAGTTCAGCCATCCTATTTATTCATTAGTGTTTGGTACCGAATCGATAATCTGGAAATTTATTTTGAAATCTTTTATACCATTATTTATTACCAGAAATAATAAAATAATCGTATATTGGAATATGTTCCAATTGGTTATATTCAATATACAAACTTTTTGATTTCAGGAATATTTTAGAATATTTTCATTTAAAAATTTGTGTTAATAATGATTTGACAAATTAGACAAAGAATTGAAATTCATCTAACATCTGGAATTGTAAAAATATAGCTAGTTATTCAAAACAGTGTTTATCTCAACTATTCTGCATTACTATATCGTATTTATGTAAGTTTACAATGATTCCTGCAAATTTCTGTTGAGAAACCTGGGTAATAGTTGAAAGTGCATATTTGAAAATATTATTTTAGAATGTGTTTAAAATATCAAATCATTCAATCTTAGCCATCCCTGTTTGCAATTATCAATGCATAATAATAAAATGAGCAACTTGAGAGTTTATCGATGAGGCATTTATAATGTCTAAATATCGGAATCGAAGTGGTCAATTGTCTTGTTGGTTTCAATGATTTTTAAATATCTTTCTCTGCGTAAATTTTCTTTCTTGCTTGAAGACTTCACATCTAAATCATATCATCTTCGATGTAAATTATGACTTATTTTTTTTTTCATGTAAAAACCTTATTTTTTAGAGAATACGTCAAAATACAAAACGTCATTCTTCTACCATTACTCTTGAGAAGATTGTTGAAAGACCTATGCAATCTTCAGATGAATCTGGAAAAATTGGATCGGAAACACAAATTAGGGAATGGATACAAAATGAGCTTGCAATTTACAGGTGGAATAGAAGTTATACACTGTATGTTTCAATATTAACCATGTCACAATGCCATTTGCAAACAACTTAACTCCTATACTATAACATGATTTTGTAACTTTGGTTCAAATTATATGTATTAACTATACTATTTTCCAACATGGCATTACCTAACCAATATCATTCTGTAAATGTGTGGATTATTGCAGAGATGGTCATGGTAAGGGATTGCAACAATCCAATTATATATCTGACTACAATTTTATTTAATACCAGGCTAATACTGTGCTATAGTCATTATAAAAATACTATGTTCATATTGTATTACAGTAGTTATAAGAGGACCATGGTAAAATGGTATTTTGAATAAACAACAATGAGAATATAACAAACTATCATCATTCCATATGAACTATAGATTATATTTTGAATTGGATTAGAGGCAATAGATGGTAATTCATCTGTGAAACAACTTAGCTATTTACCTGTCTATTATTATAGTTATAGTATTGTTCGAAAGTATGAGGGTGCTATTTATTTCAAGCAGGAATGAGGTCTTATGAGGCTCTTTTTGATGTGCTTGAATAATAATGGGTTTTGGTTTTGTGCACTTGTTTGACTCTATACCTCTATTTGTGAAATCTCAAACCTGATGTGGAATTTACAATACTGAGGCATGTAATACAAGATACAATTGAATGTTCTCAACAATAAATCATCAGACTTTATTATTTCGTTTTATAATCATGATGTATATTTTATTCAAGCGTCATTAGAGGATTTAACTTAACGTAACCTGCCTGCTTATATTTTAGAACTTATCATTTGTAATGAAGTCTTGAAAAAGTTCGCTACAAAATGAACTGGTCGCTTTCAGTTTTGTTTTTTATTCATTGGTTATTGAAAAAGTTTGTAAATTTTAAAATTTCACTGAAATCTGTAAGCGAAGCATGATTGATGTGGCAAGCTATAGGTAACGGTATTAATGAGCATACATATTAAATTAATTATTTAAATCACTATTCATGTGGTGTTATATGTAATTGGCCTGAAAATTGTCTCGTCTTCGATTGGTTGAAATGTAGATAAAATACAGGCCATTTGTAACATTACAAAAACAAATAACTTTTGTGCAAACTGTGCTACGTTACTAAAACTCTGGGTATAATCATACACAAATGAAAGTTCAAGTGTTAAATAAATTGTCTTTATTTTCGTAGATGTAATTAAAAAAACTGTTGGGTTCTGTTTTTTGGGGTCACTCCAATATATAGCACTCATCATTTTAAATTTTTCTTTCAGTGCTGACCGTATAGCCCAGGCAGACCATGCTCTAGAAACAGCAGGAGGATTTATTGTCAGTACAAGGTGTTCAGAATCATATCAGCGTAAAACTGCACTTGTAAGCTTATTCGGAATTCCGATATATTACAATGTAAATACACCAAGATCTGTTATTCAAGCAAGTACACTACCTGGGGAATGCTGGTCATTCAAGGTAAAGATTAATTTTCATACGCTTTTCTCTATGAATTCACTCTTAACAAGGGTCCGGACAAGCAGCCCGATTATTATGATTGTTTAGGAAAAATATGGAATAATGTGTGATGTTACACTTTGTTCATTCTGTTTTCATAAGTTTGCTGTTATGACTGAATTGGCCATCTTCAATTGCAGTTGATCACATATGGAACAGATTTGATTTCGGGTGTCGGACATTTTTGTTATTCGTAAAGGACATTACAAAAGCTTGAAGAATTCAAATAATAACTTACCATTGTTCTTGTAAAATTTACTTTTTCATTGCAATATCCTAATTTATTCAAAATTTATTATCAAAGTTTTTTATGCCTAAATTTCTTTGCACCTTTTAGGCTGTAGGAACTTCTCGCTGAAAAATTCCTTATAAACATTTTAATTCCCCTGTGATCGAGTAATTTAATATCTTATTTACTTACATACAGGGTTCAGAAGGATATATTGTCATATCGTTAAGTGGTGCCGTACAACCGACATCTTTTACTCTTGAACACATCCCAAGAGAATTATCTCCTTATGGTAAAATCGACAGTGCACCGAAAGATTTTCACGTTCTCGGACTGAAAGATTCGTATGATTATACTGGGGTTGTGCTGGGGAAATACAGGTGAACTTATAGATTTTTTGTTTTTGGCATTGGCGATTGTTATCTAATGTAAAACTGAAACCAATATTGACTATTTCATACTTTAAATTATTTATGCATACTCCCTTCTGTATTTTGGGAATCAAAATATGTTTTTTTCAAATTTCAGAAATTTGAAATTTGTATATAAGCAAACAATTCAGTTTGAATGCTCTTCAATATTAATGATATTCAATGCTTTTACATTTTTAAGAATTGATTATATGAAATTGCTATTTTTGAAAAATTAGCACATTTCATTATGATTTAGGGAAAAATAATATTGATGAAGAAGGTAATAGTAATTTATCAGACAAAAATTACAAAGTTAACTTTAATTTCAATATATTTAACTTATTTTTTTATAAAAGTTTCTGTTATAAATCAGATAACCTGAAAATGTAATAATTTACAAGTCTCCTGTTTCAAAATATGGAATTTTAATTGAAAAAGGTATTTGAGCAGTTATACTCAAGCATATGTTAGGAATACTGTCAAGTGTCAACATGATAAGATTTTTGTATCTTGTGAATTCTGTGTTTACTTTAACTCCAGACTTATCTATAAAATATGAATCAAACTATAAGACTTTTATTACATCGTTAAATTCAGTCCTTTGTCTAGCCAACAGGTCTGAGGTACATAAAGGGCACATGTCAGTTAGGTAAAGTTTAACCACAAAAAAAAAAAACTTTTGTGGTCGCTTTATATTTCAAATACTGCTTTTCATTCAGCATTGTCACTATCTGTGTTTTTTCACTGAATTAGGTATGAAGAAAATGGGCCGGTCATTCAACAATTTACTGTTACATCAGAGAATGCTGATTATTTCACCCATGTTGAATTACGAGTAACAAGCAATTGGGGCCATCCAGAATATACATGTATATATAGATTCAGAGTCCATGGATCTCGTCAGGGTGCTGAGGCAGCTTTACCATATTAATAAACTAATAGGTCTGGAGTATTTGAATAAATGGATTCTGTACATGTTTTGCCTTGTATTATATTTACTGTGTTTTGTTCTACGTACTCTCTATCCAACACATGAGACACTAATATTATATTTTATTCCAGTAATTTGAATTAGATACTGTAAATTTTCGTACAAGATTTTCGAGAGTCTCAATTTGGGGTATTTTACAACACTTCCCTGCTATAAATTTTCATGGTACACATTTTGATGGGTTCTGCTGTGCAGTAAAATCACAATATCATCAGTTCTCGGCAATAAATGTGAATTTATGTAAAACAATAATGGTTACCTTATGTGAATTTTAATGATCGAATTTTTATGAATAACATCAAATACTTTTGTCTTGACATGGGTACATACATATAAATATATAAGCATATAGGCAAAGAATATCTATGAAATAATTTATATTCACCACAATAAAAAAGTGAGATGCAAATGATATATTCAATGTTGGTTTACAACATAACTACTTCAGTAATAAGGTGTTTATTTGATAGTGTAAATTTATATCCAAAGTATTTGATTTGTCACTAGCTCGAATATTTATTCGAATAGTACACAATCCTGCTGGGCAGTGAAATACCAAATTTTGTCAAATAAATTTAGCGTCCGATTCAACTCTAAAACTGCAATTTCAATTACTAAATTTTAAAATCCATATTGACACACAATGTAATAGTAATTTCATCATTATAAATGAATAACAGAGAGCAGCTTTTTGTAGTCTTTCGTTAGTATATTGTACTAATGTCAACTAAATATAGGCCTACTTAGTGGTATTTTCTTTATTGTTTTACAATTTCAAATTTATAACAGCAATGAAAACATTCAGGGATGAGCTAAATAGAATAGAATATTGATGTTTGTACATTATTGCATAATGAGATTTTGAATATAAAATAGTATGATTTTTTTTTGCTTCAGTTGAGATTTTCATTCTAATATTTTCGCTTTTATTTCTGAGTAGTTGTTGATATTCATTCTAATACTTTTTGCTTCTATTTCTGAAGAAGTGTTTTCTGCTTATACAAGTAGTAACTATGAAGAGGTTTAATTGATCACATTGAAATAATTAACATCTGAACTTGTTTGTCCGTCCAGTGGTTATGCAAAACATTTTTCCATTCTTAAATTACTCCTTCTAGACTTTTCCCTCATACATTAAAAATATAGCATTTTGGTCGCAATTTGTAATCACAGCAAACAATAGCAGAGGGATGTATTTATACATCTACTTTGTTTTAATTCCTATAAGCACTGCCATGATATTTTTGAATTATATATTTGGTACATGTTCAGATTACTCATTATTGAATGCGCATTTAAATGCAATGTCCCACAATATATCCTAATGGTCTTCATCTTCAACTATTTGATTTGAGTTCAATTCTTTATCCTAATTTGATATAATCACTTCGATAAATTCATTCCATTGCATTCATTGCCGTGGAAGTCCCATGTATTTTAAAATTTATATTTCAGAAATATTTCTGTGACAGAAGTACATATGAAATTCAAGCTGTCACAGATTTTTGTTTTAATTATTTTCTGATATCAATCGGTCCTTGAAATTTGTTGAATTTTAATATAATCTATAATTGCAAATGGTCATCTTTAGTACCGGTATTGTACACGTTTTGCTATCTGCCTCTAATATGCGTTATACACATTTCAAATAAGCCTAGATTGTTCATTGATGATTTCTGCTATAGTTTAAAACCAATATATTGCGATATCAGTACTCTAATAATTTATCATTATATTAGTACAGACTGTTCCACTGCCATATCCTGATTTTCTCTTTACTTCCAATTACAACCTTACTATTTTTATATTTTAGTTTGATTTTTGGTTGTTTCGGTTATTATTTCATTTGGTGTATTATAGGGATGGGCAATGTAGAATAATTTACTATTCTAGAATATTCTAGAATAGTTAAATCGAATCCAGAATACCGAATCCTATTCTATTTTCATACTTATTCAAATAGAGGGAATTTTCCTGATTGCTGGATTTAGATGTCAAAAAATTATAAATGTATTACTATAAATGTATTATTTATTTGGAAATGTCCTTAACATTAGATTTGATACTAAACAGGCATTTCCCAGAACTATGAAATCTAAGAATATTACAATATTTTTGCTTTTAATTATATTAAATGTATGTAATCTCTAAATACTTATATGCTAAATTACGCTTCAAACACTTTAATAGTAAGCGGTTAAATACAAAAATAGATATGAAACGTCATTAAATCATTATTAATGTTATAGAGTGTCGAGTGTACTAAAGTACACCCTCTGAGAATTAATTAGATGCAGGACCAGCGTGTGGCCACTGCAACCTATGCGACCGGTGTAAAATATTAAATTTAACCACTATCAATTAAAATCAACTTATTATTCTGTGCGATCAAGACGTGCAAAACAAGGTTCCCGTAAACGCGATTTCGCAGTTAGTTATTAGTTAACATCATCTAAAGACGAATTCAATTTCTATTATTATCGTTACATATCATTCATTATCTACCCAGACTTGGCCCTACTCAAACTCAATACGTAACTATTTTCGCCAGATGTGGCATCTTTTTTTTAAGTTTATCGGCCAATAAAATTACTACAGACTCTCGATCAAACGTGCGTCTATCTTGAACGATAGAAACGGACCGAAAGATATGTAATCTTTTGGGAGTGAAATTTAAATGCGACAGATCGTCGTGTTATGCGATATAACTTTGTATTTCGAAAACTGGTGTAATAAAAGTAATAAAATTATTCCAAAATAATATTTGATTTAAATTAATCGCAAGTAATGTCATAACATTTTACGCCTGGCTTTTGATTTACATGCATCATTTTCTGGGGAAAACTCGCCGGTCGCGGAAAATCATTTACAGTAATGTAAAATGAAGCAAGGCACGCCTGTAAACAATTGAAGATTGTTTGCAATCAGATTATCGGAATATCGCCAGTAAGTCGGCACAAATAATTATTATTATTAAACCCTCGCTAGATAGCAAAGCAGGAAAACGCAAAAAAATGGTGCAATAACGAGTCTTCGTCGTAAGGTGTACTTCACGACTCCTTGTCTAGAATACGCCGATTGAGATTACTGTGTTTGATGTTTACCGATTTTACGGGTTCTTTCCGAGCAGACGCAAGTCTAGTTAAACGAGAGAGATTTCCACGCGAGAAAGAACGCTCGTCTTTAATTGATAAATTAGAAATCCGAAATACAAAAATTGACGCCCGGCGAAAACGCAAAAATGGTGCAATAACGAGTCTTCGCCATGAGATGTACTTCGCCGACTTCCTGTCCAGAATACGCCGATTGAGATTACAGTGTTTGAAGTTTACCGATTTTACGGGTTCTTTCCGAGCAGACGCAAGTCTAGTTAAACGAGAGAGATTTCCACGCGAGAAAAACGCTCGTCTTAAATTGATATTTAGAAACCCGAAATGCAAAAATCGACGCATGGCGCCGGAGAGGCGGAAACCGAATCCTGTTATCGGATCCTGTTGGATTCGAATACTTTGGGATTCGAATCCTCCGGATTCGGTATTCTATATTGCCCATCCCTAGTGTATTATCATCATTATCCTTATCCTTTTTTTTTTATTGTAGAGTTAGTTTTGTAGGATTATCACCTTATATTTTATATCGTAGATATGTAGAACTCGTGGTATTAAAAATCGAATAGAAATCTACTAATAACATTAACATATTTAGATTGTAAGTATTGCTTTTCCATTTATGAAAAATGTTCCGAATATAAAGTGGTATTTTTCTCAAGCTTAGCTTGAAAGACTTTGTATCATTTTTCCAGATTTATGGAGGTAATTTATCTATTATTTTTAAAATTACAACTCTGCTCGTTTTGCACTGCTCCAACAAGTGACACTCCCATATGTCAGTAACAAAATTTAATGTTCTATTGCATAGTTCTATTATTTGCACGTTTGCATGTATTATTTAGCATATAATTTTTCATATATACTGTTTTGTTGCATGATACTTTTGCTACATATTTGAAGTTGTTTGCGTTCCTGAATTATTAAGTTTTTTTTTTTTTACTTTGTATATTGAACATAAAATTGTCCTGACCTGACATCTTATTGCCAAACATTCAGTGACAACATTTGGGTATTAAGTATTGTTAACAAAATGATTCCTATATTAAATCGTATGTGATACATGAATAACATCATAGTGCCTTGTAGATTCTTTTAAGTTTTCTCTTCATTTATCTGGATAGAAGCTGACAAATCCCAATTCCTGATGGAGGTAGTTATTGATCTCTTATCATTTATTTTTGCATTGTTACATTCTTGGTACTTTGGGAAATAAAAAACTGAAATGTCAAATTTGTCTTTTTTTTTAAATTATAACCTAGGTAAGTTATTTTTACGACTTCCTCTACCATCGGGCAAAACAGCTGAAACAAATACCTGGCCAGCTAAGCCCATACCCAAAATGGAACTGGATGGAAGGCCGTGGTACGCTATATAATCAAGCCATTATGTCGGCTTTCTTCTCCCACGAGATAAAAATGATTCCTCAATCTTCTACACGCAAGACAGCGAATTTTACAGACCGGAACTTTATAAAATGTAATATTTACCTCTTGAAAGATTTCAATGTACCAAAACATATGTTTCCGAAAGCGAATAGTTTCTAGCTGGTCCCATCGTAAACTAGCACTAGTGTTAGCCCATAGAAACCATATATAATTATATATATAATTTTTGAATATAAATAATAAAATATTTTTTGGTGGACGTGCGCCAGTTTCAGTGTAACGCAGTATACAGTTCTAACCTTGCATTGCCCTACCGGTGTTGGAATAAACGATATTGTCGATTATGACATGTTTAACACTCAGTCTCGGATCAGTCCTTTTGGCCTCTCAGTAATTGTAGCTTATTTCCAATGCCTTGATCATCATCCGTGGGCACGACAGAACTAATATTTTTTTCGTAATTTTTGCGCCTGTTTATTTTGTATCTGTGTCTAAGTGTTGTTTTAATTCGTAAGATCTGTGTTGCTGTTGTGGTTGCGTTGCAGTGTAGTTCTCATTGTTTTGAGAAGACACTGTCACGATTTAGTATCGCGTTGATAGTATAAATCGATATGCACATAGAACCAGCTTTATGAGGCTGTCTCCCAAGGTTGGTGCGTCCTCTATTCCACTGTTGTTTAGGTCCAATAAGACAAGTGCAGTTTTAAGTTTTTTGTGGCGTCTGCAGCTGCCGCAAAACCATGGCGGTATTTCCATACCATGGCCGCTTCGGCCAAACCTATGGCGACTGACTTTTTAGCTGCCACAAACCAATGACGAGCTGTCGTTACCGCGGCAGCAAATTGAAAACCAATGGCAGGTAAAATTTTGCTGCCGTTACAACGGCAGGTGGGCCGAAATACAGGGCTGTCCCTTATGGTGACAAATATTGGGTAAGTTGGAACGTTTTTCTTATGGATACAGTTTTGATGGATTTGGGGTTAGGGTTTAAGTAGATATAATCCATTCCGCAATTCCGCATGATCAATTAAAATCTGGTACATTAATTTGTGAATATACCGATACTGAAAAGCGCTATGAAACCATGGCAAGAGCTGCGTGGTTCGTTAGTGGCAGGAGCTGCCATGAAGTGGTAAGAACTGCGCCTCCAATAAGACGCCGTTAAAATCAAAATAGTTTTATTGTATATAAAATGTATTTATTGTAAAATCTTCTAAAAAACGACGAGATATATTCAGTTAATATAATACAAGATAAACCCGCAACGGCCGATGATTTGTGCCAGTCGTAGCTCTATTGTCACTTCTAAATGCCTGTCAGGTAAATTTTCGTGAACGATAGGGATAAAATCTGAGGCAAGGTAGAGGATGTGGCGATGTATCAGCTATAGCACGTACCCTCCATCAATATGCTGGCGGTCCCCGTTATATGTATGTCTCTGGTATCAACGACGAACTTTTGAAAGTATTGTGAATAATTTATCGTACATTTGTGTGGAAGTGGTTATTCAATAACAGTAGACAGTGTTGAATATCTGGAATATTTATCTCCTGTCGATGTACTGTGATCTATTTAGACTTCTAGTATTTGTTTCGATAATCTGGTCCCCGGCCTTTACATCTGCTACTGGTTAGGCTGTCAGAAATTATACTAAGCAAGTTGCAACCATTATCAAGATAGACGAGGTTGGTGCAAACTTTACTGGACGCCCGAATGGTAGAAAATTATTAACGCCCTATTTTAGTTTTTGTTTGCAGCAAAGTATTTATTATTTTGGGGCACATCTTCGTGTTATTAAAATTTATATCAGCATTGATAATCCCAACAAAGAAACTTATGAGTAGTCTAACATTACGTCTTGTTTGTGTCAACATTTTGTGGCAACGTATTGTTTGTGATTTGAATTTTTTATGATGTAGTTCGTTAGTGTATCTTCTTTTAATTGTTGTGTAACAAGATAACTTCAGCTGATAAGCAGGAATCTTCTCATTGGATAGAAGAATAGTGATGGTGACTACGTCGATGTTGACGGAACGACCATTTTCCGAATTTCTATACAAGGAAGTGGCTTGTAACAGAAACAATAACATACATTGATTGCGTTGCGCTGCTATATGTAAAATATCATTCTGTATTTATGTTGTGAGGCGAGGCGCCTACTTGAAGCAGTATCAAAGTAAGCGAGAAAGAATACATGCAGTTCTGAATCTGCTCACCGATTGTTGCTTGTTTCTCATGTTTTCTGAAAGCAATCTTTGGATTGGATACAATTTGGGGAAGGAGCAGTCGCCTTAGTTGCGTTCACCTGAAACCAACAAAATTAGCGTTGGCATTTAATGCCTATATTTCTATTCTTGGAGTTATTGGTTCAGGGTATGGAGTTTCTACGTATCTCCATCTACAAGGCATCTTACCACATCGGTATCAAGGATGGTATCAAGTTATTCGCACCCGTAAACTGCAGTTATGAACAGTTGGGAATTTGGTTTTTCTTTTTATCCACTAGTCAACCCGTACTGTTTCCTCCAAATGGGTGTCTAATTCCTCTATCGTAATGTCTGGGAGATTTCTAAAATTTATATATTAGCCATCTCCACATCTTTAGCTCATCTTTTACTACTGGCACTGTTACTTCACCCGTTGATTAGATACAAAAGAAATCGCCCAGGCGGAACGAACTCCACAAATGAACAAGGCATAATGAAACTAATGGTCAGAGTGACTGTGTCATCGGCGTTAACAACAATAATCTGCATGCTGTCTATTTTAGCAGGTGAATTACCTCCTAGACCAGTTGATGAACTTTCCTCATCTATGTTTGACGTTGGTTTAGGAGCCTCGGTGTTTTGTCTGATATGCTCCTTTGTCGACTGGAGAAAACGGTTGTTTCCGTATATGTCTGTATCAGAAGTAAATAAAGACCAACCTGAAATGGTGTGAGAGCATATCTCAACTCACCCTTGGTTTAAGAACTTTTATTCTGTCACAAGCTAAAGGGTATATGCAAATACGGGAGACCTTGTGCGACCGGCTATGCCCCCTGTACTAAATTGCTGTTAAGATATGTACGTAGGACGTTGAAGTGAGATGCATGTGAATGTTTGAATAAATCCTATTTCTGAATATACCAGTGACGTAATGTAAACTAATCGAATATTAATCTTAATTATGTGCAATATTTTATTTTATCACACTAAAGTGATGTCACTTTTTTGGTGAACAATGGCGATTATAAATTTTTATAATACAATAAACAACGTATCATCTAACGCCTACATCTTGTCACGTTTTGATCATTGCTTACCGATAATAATATTATAAAATATTGCTGAATCTTTTATGATTAACACAAGAATAACAAAATTTTATACACGTCAAAAAAATTATCAAATGTATAGTAACTATGCGGAGTCATAACTAGAATTTTAAGTGCACAGTCAGATATGCAGAAATGTATGAAACACCGATCATTTGCTTCATATAAATTTCACCTCTATCATTATCATCAAATTGCTTTCTAATTAATATTATTTTTTTACTATTATCCCATTCTGAATATACATTAGTTCTGGTAACGTCTCATGTTTTCAAGCATGGCAGTATTGGGTGGCACGAGAGGTGTGATGTGTGATTCCCCATCAAGAGAGGTGTTACACGACCATTGGGTTGCCATAGTTCTCGTTTTTTCGCTAATCTGGTGTTGTTGGAATCAGAAGATCGTCCCATGTAGAATCCCGTGATTGGTGGCTGTAGAGTATTAGAAGGATATGAATCGGGCAGACGGTTCACATAATATGATTTTGCCGCCTTTAGTGGTCTTTGATCGGAATCGAATGATCTTTCTGACCTTCCTTCGTCCGTCACTGTTCTATTTCTATCTTGCCGGCATCAGAACCAGCCATGATGGCATTGTGAGCGACCATAAGGGATCGCTTCATTGCTTTGATCCTTCCCAATTTCCTATAAACCATACCTTCGTGGTGGCCTGTAGGCTGGTGAAAATCGCCTAGATCACTGGCGTTTGAATGAATTGCCAATTGCTCCTCGCCAGTTTTTAGGGATCTCAGTATTTCCTCCCGATCGTTTGCAAAATGTCGATTCTTTAAAGAAAGTAAAACTCGAGACTGTCCGCCAAGTCTAGTAGTTTTTTGAAAATGAACGTAATTAGTACTAGGTGGGGCAGGTCCGACGGTCCCATCTTTGCGAAAGATCATATCTGGCCTCGGGTTTTCAGACATTTCAAAGTTTGAGATTCTCACAGACGGCGCGTCGTATCGTGGAACAGCGCGAGGATGTATCGCAACAATATTATCCTGTACGATTCTGTCCACTTGGACGTTGTTTGTAGACTTTTTTGGCCTTTTCAAGTTTTCAGCGTTGTAGCTTTGGAAAGTTATCTTTGTAATTGGGGCTGGCATGAGATGTCCACTGTCACTAAAAAATCAAAACATTGATCGGATTAAAAAAACGATGAGAAAAATTGAAATATTAACAAAAATCGTGAAAATCTCGAACAACTTGATCATATGAAAAACACTATATAAAATGTATTACTGTAGTCTCAAAAGCTATGGAAAAAACTATTGTTAACGAATTCGATACCTCTGTTTACGCTCTTTTGTGGTTTCTGAAATTTCAGGTTTATTCAATTGAGTATTTTCAGTCAAATTTTCTTCCAACATCTTGGATTTTTCATCATTCTTTGGTGCGTTTTTGTTTTTCTTTTTGTGTTTCTTTTTTACCGTGTGGATAGTTTGAGTAACGGCATATTTTTCATATTGTCATTCGAAACAGTAGAGTCATCTTGTTTTGCTTCTTGTTTTGGAGAAGATTCTAATTCTGGTGATGGTACGGGAAGGGGATTAGTGACCGTTATTCTAATTGGCGGTAAAGGAGGCGCCTCTCGGGTTCGAATAGCTTTTTGTTTCTGAAACAATGATTGTTGTGACGTAATTTCTCCAATAAACTTGCGATCAGATGCACTCAGACGTTTTCCAATCTTCCTGAGAAGTTCTGCGTTTCTTCTCGAGACATGCTGTTTTGCTTCTTCGAAGTTGTCCGTGGATGCATATAATGATGAAGATAATTTTGTTCCTGTTTACAAAAATAAGATAAATATTGTGCTCGTTTTGATAGATTAAATTCATCTATAGTTCAATTTTTCTACCTTTCAAAGCAGCCATATTTTTCTGTTCCATTCTGTGTTTAATTACAGACGAAGTGTTATCAATATTGTAAATACGTTTTGAATCTTGTGGAGCATATTGAATTTTATGTGGTGCAATGAGCACAATTCGACTGGAAAAAAATAAATAAAAATAAATTAGACATCTTTGAAAAACGCTTCCTACGTGAATACTAGCCAACGTTTACCCATAAGGGGGTTCATCTGCAAAATCTCCTTTATCTACGCTTACTAAATCTTGGTAGGAATCTTCGGTGTGTCGATAACTCCTGAAATAAAGCAACGAGGCATTAAAGTTAATCAGTTGTATATTTTGGCCAAAACAAGAAAGCTAATTATTTCCACGTAATACCAAATCGATTTGCTTTTCTGTGTTCAGTAAATTGCTACTCACCGAATGGTTAAAGAGTCGTCATATTTTTTGTTTTTCGGTATTCCTGATGCTATACCAAGATATCGACTGGGAAGCCTATGCATTGGTCCCTTTCGGTCGAGTATAACATCAACGTATTTCTGTAAATTCATACGAAATAAAGAAAACGATGAACTTTGTTTTAATTTTGTATCCCATGATCTAGTCTAGAATTTATTTTACCTGGCTCGGAACACCTTTGTGCGTGTGCATTTCAGTGTATCTTGGCTTGAAAATAGGAAGTTGTATAGAGTCCCCATGATCTTGATTACTATCCGGTCGCGCCCACCTGTGAAACAATGTGATAAATAATGCGTCCATTGGCGGACCGATGAGGCTATTACCGAATAGGCTTGCACGTAATTTACGGATTTACGGAATTACGGAATTATTTCGAGTTACGGAAGCGAAGTTACGAATTACGTAAATTCGTAATTATTGGTCGAGCGCTTTCGCGATTGAAACGAGCTCTCTTCAGAGCAGTCAATTCCGTCGATTGTAAAAAATTAAAGTTTAATAAGTAGAAGCGTTTTTCTCTCTCTTGTTACGCAGATGGAGAAGGCATAACGCGTTGCCATTTACTAACCTATTATCAACTTATCTAGCATGGCAAATGTACATATTAAGCGTAGATATGGGATAGAATTGTGTTGAGACCGATGGACGCCAACACACCTGGTTCCAACTTCTTCGGGTGAAATGACTAAAGAATGTAAGTGATCAACTTACCAAACATGGTCTATTTGTAAATGCCGTGATAATTAATGTCGCGCTTATCAAACAGCAAGGGACGGAAGAGAAATTGCGTAATGAACCAACGCAACTTAGTCTTTTCGGCATCAGTAAAGCGACTCAAACGGCAGAGAAACAACAAAAAGACGGGATTTCCCATATTTATTCTGCTCGAGATCCATTTTCTATTACAAAATCTTGATGTTCTGTTACCGGTTTTATCGTTATATATCTGTCCGGGCTTGGCCTTGTTTTCACAATGCCTCGCACTATTTCGGCCAAATATGTCTTTACAAAATCTTTAAGTCTTTACCAAATGCGGCAACTTATTTTGATTTATCGTCGACTCAAAAACCACCGGCACTCGACCAAACTTGTGCTAATCTTAGCCGATAGGATTGTCGACTTCAGTTAGAAAAGTAAATTAATATTTTCGTAAGTGCAAAATAAATGTCACAAAATCCATTGTTTTGCGATATAACTTTGTATTTTCGGAGAAGGCATGTCATATAAGTACGGTATTTAAATTATGCGCAAATAATTAATATTTGATCTAAATTTATCGCAAATAATGTTATAACATTTAGGCCGCGAAATGATTTAATGTTAAATGAAGCATGGTAATCGGAATATCGTCAATAAGTCGGCATCAATAATTATTATAAAATGCTAACTAGGTAGTAAAGTCGGATAATGTAAAAAAACGGTACATGAACAAGTCTTCGTCGCGAGGCAAGCGCAAGTATAATCAAACGAGAGAATACGCTCGTCGTTGATTTATAAATTAGAAACCCGGAATTTTTATTATAAGTTAATACGATTTTAAAAAAGTCAACTATCGTTTCATAAATATATTACCACTTACCAGTGTTGGTAATGATAAAATTGATCACATAAAATTGGGTGATAAAGTTGATAAAGGAAAATCAAAGCTAACACAAAAGATAAAAATCAGAATAAAATTAATTTGAATTCACTCCTTGATATTTGTCTTTAGCATCTGTCGCCGGCGTGTAGTACTGGCGGAAATATGAAAACCAAACTGTCCCAACTGTCGATGTCCCATGCGGAATAGAAGTGGATTAAATTGGTTGTTATGATAGGTTTAAAAGTGTGAAAAAAATATCGCAATTACGGGGTCATTACGTAATCGATTTGGCCGTAATTACGGAATTGATTTTTGTCAATTACGTGCAAGCCTATTACCGAAGTGATAAAATTAAGATACTTCTCGTTTAGAACGCCATCTCGATAAAGATCCTGTGCTTGGAATCGGAATGGGTCTGTGTGGAGATGTTCCTCTGGGCGTCTTCGTCTACGAGGAATATATCTTTGAGGTACTATATCTAAAATTCAAGCGTGTAAAAATACTCAGATTTATGTGTGTTGTTGATCTCCAAATACTTGTTGGTCTAACTATGTTTGAGGATTTAGTTACCTCTGGTAATGAAAGACTTTACATCTCCTCTGAGTCGTTGTGATATCCGCTGTTGTAATCTGAGTCGATTCTATGAGTTAAATTGGATTTATATATCGTGTTATCGGAACAGTATACGTCGGACGGAGTATTAACAGACGCAGCCTTGTGTACTGTTTCATACCAGGAATGCGCAAGCGTAACGCATTATCATTTTCAATAGTAAACCACAAAAAGTATCTAAATGATAACGCTAAAACAGCAGACTGTTAGAATAATATACACAAAGGTTTGTATAGTAAAAACTGGAAGCTTAAACTAAACGCTTTTATACACGTAACCTACGTGTAATACTTTTGTAAAAATCTGGATAAACATCATGAAAATTGAATTTCGTTATATTTTCGAATTTTCATTTAAACAAGCATAACAATTAGGCTCTGTACTGGCTTCTAACAATACGACATGGTCCATCCAGAGCAATATATGATTCAACAGGATAGCTTACGTTATAATTGCTACGGAATCTTTCTTAAAAACATGGCGAGTGTAGAGTATGTGACCGCCTATTGACATCATGCCAAAACACCAAGTCGTACAAGAAGATTTTAAAATGTATGAGACTTACCTCTTGAAGCAAACTTGCCATGTTGTTGGGTTACGATAAAGAATATTCCTTCTACTGAACTAATCGGAGAGTAAACATAGGAAATGCACTGGCGTTAATATAATTTCATATACATTAAGTGTCCTACTATATATACCAAAGACATCACAATTACAGCATACAGATCAATTACAGACGTTTTAATGTTTTCTACTGGCGAATTACTCATTGTTTGTTGCGCGAGGGAGGGAAATACAATACACAAAACACGTTTCACACAATGAATCGTGTTTTGTGATGCGCTGATCAGTTTGAGTTGACGGATTATGTATTACAGTGGGCAAACCATTATGAAATGATTATACGCGAATATGAAATCGGATACCAGACAAACAAAAATAACTTTCGGCCGATTATAAGATTTTACACAAAAAAGAAAGAAATAATTTTCAGTCAACGATTGTTTTTTCATAGGCCTTGCTTGCATATCAATTCACATTTATTGGAGATTAGTCTCAGGAATGAATGTAAATAAAATCTCAATTTGTTGGAACTCCTTTATATTCTTATATATCATTGAAAAGTAACAGTCAATATGACGATAAATTTCATACAAGCGTTTATGCTATTGAACGGTCTTGTTGAGTAGTATATATATATATATGTTGTTAGGAATACAATGTGCTTGTATTTCCTTTTATTTCTTATTCGCTGATCTGGAACAAACATTTATTTTACACAGATTATTTTGCGCATCTTTCTCACAATCGCTAAAATTACAACTGAATGCATATTAAATTTTAATAATGCGATTTTACAACTAAATTCATAAATTTAAATTTATAAATATATATATGTACTACATTTTAAAAGATCGACCCGCGGGCTGCATTTGCCCCGCCAAAGTATGTGGGCACTCTCCAGGGGTCCTTTATGGATTTTTCATAAATTCAATGGTTTATATATTGTTTTCTTTAATTTTTTTTAAGTATTTAATTCAAAATTTTCATTATGCTGTTCAAATTAACATATCGTTCTTCATCACACTACAGTAAAATTAAATCACAGGTATGGTATGTGGGACAGTTGTCGACGGTTCAACATACCGGCATATAGCTAGCTATGTAGCACAGTTGCTTTCTTCCTATTTGTTCTTATATCTTTCAATGTCATTTAAATCCACTGGTTTAGCCAATAGTCGTATTGTATGATCGACGTATAAATACGACTCCGATATCTTTCGAAGGAAGACGATGTGAACCGTTCTAAACTAGTCTGGATAAATGTTTAAAGATTTGTATTCTGTGTATTGTGGAAATTACGAATAAAAACATAATATAGAGATTTTTACCGCATCTTCATTCACGTGGGCATTGAAGCTGAAGGGTGAACGGGTGACTTGCAAGTCAGAGCCAATCTACAAATCAGCAATATACGGTGACATCACATTCATTCATTTATCATTATATTTGCTATAGTATTGCCAATAATTCAAATAAGCATATGCGTGGTTTCGCCGTCTACGTTCGTAGTGGGCTTATAGACGTCGTTATTTTTGATAGCCAGCGCTCTTGGACTCCGGCGTTCCTCAGGGCTCGATTCTTGCACCTACATCAGTAATTCCAGATAATCTCATTTGCAAGTAACTCATTCAAGCTGACAATACAACTATCTATTCTTGTCTTGATATAAAATCCGAACAAAATCTTGTCAATAGTTATCTTAATCCTGATACATCTCCAATTTCAATGTCTGAGGAAATTCAAAATGGATCATTCAATTTTGGTCTGCTAGTGCTCACCATCTCCAAGGATTTAACGTCAGTGACTCAAATTGCATTAATGACAGTTGAATTATGCACTAGTGTCCGTCTACCAGTCAGTATGCCTATCAAACAAAAAAATTATGCGTAAGTTTTTTTTTTTCAATAACCTATGTCATGAGCATTTTATTACTTCTTAGCTGTTTGTCCCATGGTATAGACATGTGTCAATCGGTATTTACTCACTAGCAATTTGACACCAAAATTTGTTAAAGCGTCAGTAGATCTTGACATTTCAGCGTTCGCCAGTACCTTTGCTTAACTTCATAATCTATGGGTGATTGTGCGTAACATTGCACCGACCAAATTTCCGTAAGAAAAAAAGTTCATGGCCAGTTGCATCATATGAAATATAATTTACCTATTTCGAAATCGCATTACAATACGGCAGTAAAGTTGTACACACCAAAATTGTAGTGTAATAGGGCGAAAAGCAGGACGCCTTACCAGACTTTAACTTGCTACACGATTAGAAAGTGGGCACATCCTGGAAGAAATTGTGATAGAAGATAGGATTTCCATTTTATTCGCACCTCCGATTGCTTACACATATTTGAGGTCACTTGCATTAGAATGATGAATTGTGAGTTGAAAGGCTTATAAATTTAGCTTATTTTTCGGTTGAAATCACCAAATTCAGGAACGCCACGTCCAACAGTAATATCCAGTTTTATAATACGAGGAGCAGGTCTACTCACCAGGTTATAAGTTGCTACCTTAAGTGCAAGTCTTTGAACGATTCGGGTATACTGGGATAACATTTCACCTGTATTCCAAAGAGGAAACGGCTGCTGATATCGTTGTCTGATACATCATGTTCAAACTTGCAATGGCTAAGCTGTGGAACACACATTATGTGAATCTGTAGGGTTGTCTTTATTCTGATATTTTTATACTTATAAATAACCACACCCTAACTGGAGCATATTGGCCCTGGCCACATCTGTGACCAGGCAACAACCTAAAATGATTTTATATTCATTTTGTTGTTGCTATGCTATTTTGATATCTAGTATATACCTACTGAAGAAGTTAAAAAATACAGGAAAAAGGTTTTTTAATGCTGCTGAATTAAGGAAGTAGCTCTGGCATAGTTTAAAAATTTATCCGAGCTCTTTGAGCATTGGCCAGCTCTTCATCTTCTCTCGACGATTGACTTGTTTAGCTAATAAGCGATATATAGTAGCATTCATGGACCGCAACAACGCACTTATAATTTCAGATGGCAGTTCTTTTTCATTTCATTCTTGTCATTGCTTACTGTTTGGTGTTTTTATCCGGTCTATTTTTGGGACCTTAAATATCAAACATATAAACGAATGCAGGAAACATTCTAGGCCACGAAATCACCCGATTTTCCAAGTGCAGTTTTAAGCACCCTGTGGCGTCTGAAGCTGCCGCAAAATCATTGCGGGATTTCCAAACCATGGCCGCTATGATCAAAGCATGTTGGCTGACTTTTAAGCTGCCACGAACAATTTTCGTGTGGCGGGTACCACGACAGCAAATTGAAAACCAATGGCGGGTAAAATTGTGCTGCCACAAACCAAGGCATGTAGGCTGTAATGACAGGACTGCTCCTGACGATGACATACTCTTGATAAGCTAGAACATTTTCTTTATGGATACAGTTTCAATGGATTTGGGGTTAGGTTTCATGTTTAAGTAGATACGATCTCGCATGATAAACTAAAATCTGATTCATGACTTTGTGAATATACCGGTAATAACGCCATAAATCCATGGCAAGAGACGCCGCGGTTAGTTCGTGGCAGGAGCCGCCATGAAGTGGTAAGAACTGCGCTCCCAATTTGCAGTAGATTTTCCCAAACTCCTGGGGTGGTGTCGTCGTCGCTACACTTTGATTTTCACTTAATATGTAAACTTTGAAAACGAGACAACTGCTAAAAAAGACACAACTTCACAACTTTGTAAGTGCAAAAACTTTGATCTGGAATTAAAGGTTTTTACAGCAGTTTTAAACAAGATTTAAATCTAAGTGAAATCGCCACCTCTCCTGACTTAATCAGAAATAAAACAAATCATAGTAAGCTATATTTACCTTCTAACTTGATATACCATCACAGTGTCATTGCAAAAAGCGAATCAAAAGGTAAAATAATACTGTATTCGCAAATATATATACATATGCAATAGAAGCAAACTTATTATAGCTGGCAATGGTAGATATAAAGCAGTTTATTTCCCAAACTCAGGAACTGTCATCCACAACATCATCGGTGTGTGATCTTTGCTGTAGACGGAGTGCCTCCTTGCTTGCACCAGCTTTACCTGCAAGGATACTTTGTTGGATATTAACCAACATTCTCATTTCATCTTCTCTTGCATTCAACTCCAAGTTGTCTTGAATAAGTTTTCTGTTGTCACTCATCAATGTGCCGTTTCCTGAACGTAACCTTTCGTTTTCATCTCGTAGTGATGCATTGTTGTCACGGAGTTTCAAGTTTTCACATCGAACTTCCTGATTCTCATCTCTCAACGACTGATTTTCGCTTCTTACCTAATTGATTAAAAATAAAAGCTGTAGCATTCACGATGACTCCGCATTTTTAGGTTTCATTACGTTTCTTTGTTGGAAAGATGTAAATGAAAATTAGTCGATGAATGAATTCACTAACATACCTTTACATTTTCCCCTCGGACGTCGTCGCACTCATCTCGAAGTTTTTGATTTTCCACTCGAACTTTCTGATTCTCAGATCTCAAAGCACCATTTTCATTTCTTAGATCTTGATTTTCTTGTCTCACTTTCTTGTTTTCCTCTCGAAGCTTTCCATTCTCCAATCGCAGGCGATCATTTTCATCTCGGCTCTGATCATTTTCTGTCTTCAACTTTTGAGAATCCAGTCTGTAGAATTGGGTAGGGTATTAACAATGTTATTGAAGGTTCTAACATCTGTTCCCTCGTTTACACCTTGGCAAATTCAAAAGTAACGATTACCCTTTGAACTGCCTTGACCAGAGTTTCATATTTATTTCTCTTGTTTACCTACCCCTCCACAAATATAAAGTTTTTTGCAGCAGATTTGACCCCAATACAGGCCCCCGAACTGAGAACCGTTAGACTATGGAGAGCGGGGACGCGAGATTAAATCTGAAACGAATACATAGACAATGGCTGCGAAAGACAGAAAAGTAAAAGTAACATGATCCTCACTTTAATTCATCTTTGTCGGTGCGCATGAGTTCATTTTCCTCACGGAGATTTTGGTTCGATATGGCAAGTTTAGCGTTCTCATCTTTTACTTTCTTCATTTCACGTTCATATTCAAGTACTGTAGACAGTGTGTCTTCTTTCTCGCGCTGAATATCTTGAAGGCGTCGATACATCTGTAAGGAAAATAAGCGATAGCTGTAATTGGAGGTACAATTTGAATTTGTCAAATAAAATAGCCATTTTAAATGTGTAAAAAGTAAGTACGGATAATTTTTCTTCCTCTCCATCCAAATATCGCCTGATGAAGTCAATCGCAACTTCTTTTGCAATGCGTCGTGCTCTCTGTCAAGTAAATGAAAAACAAATAATAGAACAGCTTGCGCTTGCAAAATATATATATAATAACGGTTTTCAACTAATTAGCATCATTGTTTAAGAACTGAAATTGCCCAGATCTCACAAATTAAATGTTCATAGTTTGATTTTACTGCTGTAGTAATAATAAAATTACCGGTGGACTGTGGATTCCTGAATCCATTTCTTCCTTGATTACTCTTCGGTTCCATTCCATTTTGGCGGCGATACTTTGTTGCAGGTGCCTTACTTTTTCGGCGGAGTCGAGAAACAGTCTGACGTCATCGTCAGATCTGAAATTGAACTTGAATTCTTATTCATCTGATTTGTGTAAGTGTACTTAACAGAAACCAAATAAGGTTGTCTTTTTCTAATTTTGTAAAACTTAAAAAAAAAATACTCTAAAAGTACTTGGCTTTGACCGGACTACCCGATGCTAACTTCCCGGTCCTATCGCGTCGCTAGTTGGCGACGAAGTCAAGCTATTCTTGCATGGAAACAATACCAAAAAATGATTTATTATTATTAGTATTTTGAGCCACCGAATAACACAGTAATAAATAGTATATTAATTTGTGCTCGGTTTTTAATATATCGGTGTGAACTACAACGTATTATTCCAATCTTTGTTTCATTTTTGTTAACTTTATAAGTTTAACAGAGCACAAAACGCGAAAAAAAAGTATGCAATCAATCGGGGTAAATTAGCATTACATAATAAAAAGTGGAGTTTTATGTTATAGGCAAGAGAGTTGAAAAATGTTAAGTAAAAATGATATTTGATTTGCTTGTCTTGGAGTTTATTTCTATGATTATTATTAAACAAAAACGTAAAATTAAATTCAAATATTTACTCTAATTCGGGGGTCACCAAACTTTTTTGACCGCGGGCCGGGTATGACTCAAATTGTGTTGAAACGGGCCGGATGAATATTTTTGTCAATGCAATACAATAAATTCACAAATGTTGGGAATATCGCAGAATATAGATCGAGAACATCCTGGGAAAAAAATTAACAAGATTTCTATATCTAGACAACTATCCTGAGTTTAGCTGTTATCAAAACGTTGCTGTCATGAATTAGAAATGTTACAAAATCCGCGGCAAAAAATGTACGCATCACGTCTGCTAAGTACCGTTACGCCGTGTTGAAATACCGCTCATAAAAACGACTGCCTGCTGTAGCTTGGAATTCTATGAAATTTTGACATAATTTAGATAAAATAAACAACTATTATCTGGTATTTGAATTTTTTCATTAGCGCATAAATTTCCCAACATTCGACGCTTTTAAAAATTACGCTCCAGTTATACGTAGTGCAAATTATTGATATTGTCTATGGACACCAATAAAATTTATATGGACGTGTGTATTTCTTGTCTAACTTGATACGTACCAATTTTTATGAAGTTCGTACAATCAGAACATCGTTAATTATTACCCACAATGAACCACTGTCAAACTATCATGCACAACTCCAGCGTTTATTTGCGACGATCTTTCGGCGGTGTCAATGACCGTTGCCAGAATAAAATCCTGAAATTATCTCAATATACCATAGATGTGACGCACATCGAAAGATTAGTGATTGATATGTGTTATTTTTCCATATTTAGTACAGTTCTTATCAAAAAAGTAATACAATCATTATGGAAAAAATTGGCTGCCGTTAGTTTTTATTTAAATCGGATGAACTTCAACTTTTTTGTAACATACCCACATGAATATCCGCATTAAAGCAGTACAAAAGTTAGTGTGGCTTTTAAAATTGGAGCAGTACGCGAGGGATTACAGTACTGTTAGCACAAAATGCACATTCGACGTTTATTTTAGCACGAAAAACAAACAGTTTCGTCGAAAGCAAGCGCCACGAGTGTACAAGTGTATCGCAGAAAACGTTACGTACTGGTAGCATTCAATGTCGCAAAAACGAAGTTTTGTTTACAACCACGACTGATAATCTGTCAGGGTGACAAAAGTGTTATTACGTCACTTTTCTGCATCTTGCCGATTGGCCAATGTTACGAAATAAACAAGGACGACGATGCTCATGAAAATCTTCCTTGGAAAAAAATTTAGCCATTTTTGCGTGTTATTGCGGACCGGATAAAATGACGCCGCGGGCCGGATAAAATGACGTCGCGGGCCGGATCCGGCCCGCGGGCCGTAGTTTGGTGACCCCTGCTCTAATTTGACAGATTGATCAACAAAACAAAGAAATGATAAGAACAAAAAAAAAATTGTACAAAATGTAATATCGAATTTTCGGAAAGTACTTTAAGATTCATTCGGTATTTTAAGCAAAAAAGCTGAAGCTAAAATATATATTTTCACCTGTACTGTATACGGAGGACCCCGACGACATCAGCAAGTGCACTTTCCCAACTTTGGTGTATTGGACTTGACAATGCGTATGTTGTGAGAGCGGCTGATCTTGGACTTAGACTCATGCTGTTAGGTATAGTTGGCTAATGACAACAGTAACTGTATAAATGATCTATCCACTGTGTGGGTCAGGGGGAAAAGAAAACAAAAATTTGTGTTAAGAGAGGGGATTTTCAAATCTTCATGAATTTAAAATACGTGGTCGCGATTTGGTCTTACAACAGTCATGCGCAAGATGAGAATCACACAAAGGGCAATATTTCATGAGTATTTTCAGCAGACGTACTGTTTTTCTTTATACTGATGTCATCACAATATCCGGGTTTATTTTAAGATACGTTGAGCTATTTTTGACATACTTTAAATGTGATAAGCTAAGCATTCACAACGCTGTCATTCAACTACGAAGATTAATAGCAATGTGATCCTATATAAAGTGCTCATGACCTTGATAAACTTGTGGTCGGTTCTTTCAAATGTCTATTAATACAACAATATAATATACAACAATAATTTTGACAATAACTCACGTTGAAAACCTGAAATACTTATAATAAATGAAAGCACAAAAATTTAGGGGCACGGCAGTATATTTAAAGTAGAAATAGTTACGTAATTGAATCTTATTTTAAAGAGAAATTCTCATCTAATATGTATAACCGAAAACGAAAAACTTTTCTAACATAGTTGCGACTGACCAGATGAATGCTGAACTAAAGAAAATTCATAGAATTATTCAAGCCTATTCTTTACGACAGAACAAATTCATCAATTAACACATTTAACGCATTTTTCAGAAACGCCAATAAAAAAATTTGTCAACCAGTGCTGCAGGTAACTTGGTGAACGTAAAGCAAACTATGCTATCTATCTGACATTGCAATATCAATTTGGTCAGCCGGTTTGCTCCAAGTGTATCAGAGCAATAACATGCAACGAGTAAGGACAAACGTCGGTTAATTGAGCGTATTGAAAAATTTAATCCGGGAACAAATGTCTAAGATGACATTTGACATTAAAACATATAAAAGAAACCATTGGCTACCGCGTGCTTTTCTTTATTTCTAAGTCTACAATTTTCACAACCCCAGTAATTCTTTTGTTCTGTGATCATCGGCTCCATTGTTTCTTGGTAAATCAGCCTTATTAGAAATCATCGCATTGTTAACGAAGATCTCGCATGGCCAAAAAGCGCATTGGTTGAAAGTATTACTGAAACTATGGATCGTGGTCGATTAGGGATAATCTAGGGAATTGTATGATTAAATCACAGGTAAGGAATTTAAATGCTAGCAGGTACAAGATAAACTTTCGTTTACGAGTTACACATCGGTAGGCTATTGTTGGCCGTGTTTTGAGACGCTTCTCATAACAAACTGAAACAAATGGCGAAACATATTTTAAGATATGTTACCAGAAGAGTTCTACATTCTAAATCTGAAACTTGGTTGAAAGATCGACGGTAAAACATCTTTGCCCTTCTGTACCCAGGGCAGTTGTAGAGAGTTCTGTGTTTCGATATCTCACGAACGTAAAATTTAGTTTTTGTTAAATATTGTTGACTTATGGTCAACTTAAATCTATGAAATGACTAAGCTCTTTTGATTGATTTGCATATCGTAACACCGATATATTATATACAGCCTAGTAAAAAATAAGTATTACATAGCCGAGAAACACTCCCTCTATATTGCTTTATACAAAAGCATCACTAATAGTAAATACTCCTTTTCCTACAAACTTCCTTCGCAAAAATATAAAACTGTAATGAACTTGGATAATTATTTGCTTTCGGAAAAATAAATTCAATCTCTGAAATTACAGTGTGTGTACTTTTTTCATTTCAGTAAAGCTATGCGGAAAAATTATTTTAATGTGCTATATCAAAAATATCTTGTTTATACTATCAGGTTTTGATAAAATTGAATAAATTGACAGCACGCAGATGAAATCGTAGAAAAACCTGTAATAAATTTTCAAAACGTCAAATAGGCACGAAAATATCACTCTTTCTTTTATCCTTCTAGATATTTTGTGCCGAAAGCACTGCACTCAAAAATGATCTTAAAATTTGGCACAAATAACAGAAAAAAAATTGTTTGTGTGAAGTTTTCAAGTCAGAATCAATGAACTTCAATATTTTTCGTGTATGCTCAAATCTGATAAAAATTTGAACAATCTAGGATATACATTCCTTTACAATAAAATTTTATTTAGGGTCACAGTTTAGCCTTTGTGTCGTGTGTAACAAGAAATACAGTGCGTTGTTTGAATGATAAACACAGAGTCGTACTATTGAAGGTCACACAAAGACAATGGTAGGACTTTTAAATTATGTGATATGTTTACACCACGCCTGATCGCAGACGATATTTCATCATTCAAATTACTTATGTACAAAGTTGTGGAATTGAACTTTTTAATGCAGCAAGGATGTTTGCTTGTTTATCATTCTAATCCTTCAAATGATGACAACAGATTGTAATATCAGAATTAAACGCACAGGTGATGATCAAGACCTAAACTTAAAAAATAACTGTCAATTTTATAACTTCTAATTTTTGTGATAATTTTGATGCATTCCGTACAAACAAATAAATGCGTAATTTCACCTCTGTGTGATTCAGGTGGTATTCAATAGGCTTCCTCATTTCAGAAAAATTTGAGTCTCTTTCTAGTACTACCAGAGGGTTTATTCAGCACCCCTATATTGCTATATGTATCACCGATTTATATTTCCGTTACAGTACAAATCATGGATGACCTTAGCCTATTAGTATACGTATACGTGACTGACTATTTGATAGGCAAAATCAGCTGATTCGTATTGACCTGAAGGAGGTAATTAATATATGTAGGGATGGTATTGTGCGATCTTGAGCGAGCGCTAAACAAGTACCTCAAATAGACCTATCTATCACTTCCGAATGCCGTATATTCGGACACAAAAATGACGCATTCGATCGGTAGGTGAAGTGGAGATATATGCTGGAGTATTGCTTCATACAATATAGTGTTAGCTTTGGAATTTGCGTGAAAGAAGTTATAAATTAAATTACATAAAATTAGAAGTAATTCAAAAATTCATCAAGCATTATCTTGTCACAAGTCAATTATGAGCAAAATATGGTGTGTATCGAGAGGTGCTGTAGCATGATTCAAGTGGGAATCTAAAATACATTTAAATGGATATACCGATATCAAACATTTCATTTTGGAAAATGTGACTTGAATTCAGTTACTTTCAAATGCAATAAATTTTCAGGAACACATCATCATATTCATCTGGTTCCATTTTTGGGATCAATGACCGTTTTACGTGCAATTGGCGGCCAAACGAGTTTGATCATTGGAGATTCTCAATGAGCATTCGAGGGTCCGCATGTGCGACCTAATTAGCACTGTACTGGGCACTTGAGCGGTGATCAGAAGGGTTTTGTCCTGTTAATTGGCTTTGGCAGGTTTTTGAAGGGTGGACGAGCAAGCGATAATTGGGGAAATTGAATGGCAACACTTGTGTCCTTTTGTCGAAGTGTAGGAATGTGGTTGGTTTTTGAGTCGATTTGTCAGAAATCATTGCCTGTTGTTTTCCGCGCAACGAGAGGAACATTGTCGAGAGTTTATTTGAAGTTTTCAAAAATAGTCACAATGAGATGACCTTTGACCTAATTCAAAATACAAAATCGACCTAATTGCCCCTTAATTATCATCAAAACAAGCTTATCTATTGTCTATCTTAATACACTTTCTTGTTGTAATCAATTAATTTTTTCAATCCACTGTTGTCATATTAGTTATGAACGGAATAATAATTAATTTGTAATAAACCTGTATTAGGTATAATTTCGAAATTACATTTGTTACATTTTCAATGGCGTGTTCAAATATTATAACATAAACATGAGTCATGGTTTTCCATTGTCACAATAAATTATCAAAATTACTTAAATTGTATATAGGTACAACAGTACAAAAGCATAGAAGAAGAATATGTAGTTTGTCCAGCAGAAAGCCAATCAATAGCACATGATGTTTTGTAAACCAACAGTGATTTATAGGTTTGCCAATATTTGATAAAACTGTGTACAGGTACAACAAACCATCCAAAATCTACTAACACAATGTATTCACTTCAGATATTATAATGCGAGGGTTGTGGATTATATACTTTTCAGCATATGACTTCTATTGATAAAGATATACACAATAAAATATTACGAAATTTTAGACAATCATACAGTTCCCCAGTACTTCAGGACTGATGATTTCCACACGAGCTCTTAACAAAATGGGCGATTCATCTTGTGACTGTGTCTTTTCCCACCCATCCCAATAAAGTAACTACTTATTGTTTAGTCGTCAAGTAGGTAAAACTTCAAACAATTTCTAAGAACATTGGGTCAATTCGCCACTTGTGATTCTCCAGTCCTCGGCGCGTAAAGTTTATTTGGGCAGCTTTCTGTTCAATAACGAAGCAAGATTAGAGATGTTACAACAAGGTCTTCGACAACCGATCCATTTATGTATTTTCGTCACAAGTAACAATATCAGGAAAAGGATGATGTAGTGATATTAACCCTTTCGTCCCGACTGACATTTGTTAGCCCGTTATATATACAAGACTCTATAACTATACCTATATATATATACTATATAACAATATATTATATAATCTTATCTATATTTGTATACATTGTACACAATCTACTGGACTTACTTTCGCAGAGTTGAGAGTTCCTCGGTATATTCTCTTTAAAACGCTTACTAGAATAAAGGTTGCTGTTCGATGATAAATTTGTCCTATTACATACAACCAAGTTGTATATATATTAACGGTTAATGCATGCTGTCAGAGTAGCGACAAAAGAGTCCAAATCCTATCTGCTTGACATATTCGTACAACCCCCGCTGGCTCATGTTATTTGCCTTAATAGACAGCAACGTGTTAGAACAATTTTATGACAAACAAAAGTTTTCATTCATATCAGAATTAAGGAAATGTTTGGGAATTTACTGGTCATACGAGTACCAGATATCCACTTAACTAATCCTGAGTGTTTATCTTATACCAAGATTGTCCCACTGGTAACAATTAATCAAACATGTTATTCAAGACTGTTCTAAGCTTAAGTGGAAATTGAAAAAGAAAAAACCTCAACGACAAGCGATCTTAAGAACAATATTTGAATGATCTTGTTTGTATGCTCAATGAATGATGACTGAAGCATTCCGTTTTTTGTTGTTCATTTTAAAATGTTTGCACTAGACTTTTCACTCCTGGCCCGAATTGCCTATCTACATTGTATAGTACGTATTTGGCAAAATAAAGCGATTGAATTAGAATTGGTGCCAAAGAGTGACCCGTAGTGTAGCTAGAGTTGGATTAATCGTTCGACGTATAACCTAATAAAAGCAACAATCAACATACTCACCGATCTTAAGATCGATAAGTAATAATAGAATACACGTATGATTAAGACCTTGTCATAACAATCCGGGAAAATTTACAGCAAATGACCAAAGTTACAAAGCAGTAGTCAAATACATCATGCACTGAATTAAAATTCAATTTAGGCATTTCACGAGAATCCATGGTAAAAAGAAAGTATTATCATCGCTAGAAACGAATCGGCAACTGGTCGACGGTTGGCTAAATAACAGATCCATATTTAGATTTTTACTCCCAAAACTGATCATTTTTTATACATCTAATGCTAACCTCAAACTTTTCGCTCATTTCCCTTAAATCTCAAATGTTTAAAAACAATAAAATTACACATTCCCATTATTCACATGCACTAAAATTTCTCACATTTTCTGAAGGAATTTTCGAAAATGTGCGCATTCGCTCCAGCACAAAATGTTTATTAGATTAGAACATGACAAAAATCCTGATACTACTATGTTTTCTGTCAGGTATGCAGCCTGTAAATAATAAGTATATATATTTTTGTGGCTATTCTAATGAAAAATTTGGTTTTATATTAATTGCTTAAGAACGTGTTAGAAAAAGAAGATAGGGGAAGGTAAGAGAGGAGAAGCAGTCCAAAAAAACAATTGGCAACACATACCACTTTTTGACCTTGATCTGTTAATCATTTCCGATTTATTTGGATGTTACATATCCGGCAGTTCTGATTTTGTCGATAGTAAACGGTAAAAATAACATTGTTATTGTTGCAATCTAGCTTTTCATTATTTTACTAGCTTCATTTTTGTCGGTATAACTTAGGAGTATCCAATTATCGTTGGGGAAAAACAGCTTTCCGTCTCTAATTATATGCGGAACATTTGCAAAACTATTTTTATTGCAAGTTGGCTGAATTTTCAGCACAAATTTGTATGTTTTTTACTTCGAAATTATACTCTATCACTGACTCCATCTTGCGGCAGTTCAAAAGACGATTTATAACTTCGTAATGTATTTGTCATATTTAATAGGATTTAATAACAAAGTATTGATGTTTATCGGAAGGGTTTGCCAAAATCCTGTTCTATATGCTATCTCATACATCGATTTTAAGTCGTTTGTCGGACGATATTACGAACATTAAAACAACAATTTGAACAATGTGTAGGATTGACATCAGTACAAGTAGTCGTTTCATCTATTCATCGCAAAGTGGTTTTTTGATCTCCTCGTTTTCAATATAAAAAAGAAATATTTGTCAATAAGTCATATCATCTTGTATGTAGGATTTCCCTTATTATATTTCTCTTAGATTTAACAGTTTTTAATCAAGGTAGCGATTTTAAGTTATATATACATGTCTATTATTTATTGGTGACTTCATATAATGTTGAAATAGTTTGTAAATGTTAAACATAGTAACTATATATAAGTTATGGCCCGACGGGGACTGGCATATACCAAGATATGTGAATAAAAATCTATAAACAAATAAATTGACGAAGTAATTGATAAACTACGTAGAAGAGATGGTTTTTACTGGGCATGGCGGCATATATGAACTCTGTGTAGGCATTTTATGAAATATTGCTTTCGTAGGAAATTTTATCCATTTATTTTATTCATTTACTTAATTTTAAAATGGCCGTCTCTGAGGCAGCAAGGCTTATTTTCTCTGCGATTACACTACCCATGTAAACCTAAATCTCCGTGCAAGTCGGGCCCATCGTTAGGCCACCTCTTGCGCTTTGCTCCGAGTACTATGACGTCACACAAACACTGCACGTACTGGTCTCCACCATTTCCTCTCTCGTTACTCTGGGAAGTACTTTACGCGCGTACTCTTCTAGCGCGATGACTAGAACTATGGTATAGCGTCACACAAACGATATGCTTCCCGCGGCGTCTGGGGCCTGTATAGCAGATTATTGAGTGAACCGGCCCCGCATATCACGTGCAGAATTCACAATGTAACGAGGTTAGCACGCAAATAGTTTGAAATGTCGCATGCACAGAATATACTAGAACAATTGAATGTTAGGTATACTAGTAAATACTGGAGCTCCAAAACGGTGATTTTGGTGTTTAAAATTGATTTATGTGGGAAGAAACAGAAATTACTTGAAATTCAGGTTGTGAGCAATTTTTAGGATATCACGAGTACACTCTGTACATGCCAAGCGTGTATCTTAATTCTTTGTTAGATAACTCACTGATATACGTTATGTCTGTTTAGTCGGCTTAATGTATTAATGATTCGATTGTAGATATTTTGTCTCGCTAGAACAAGGTATTGGTGAAGCATGAGCCATAACAGATCCGAGCGGTGTGAAAAAAATGAACACCAAAAATGTTTATATGATTAGATAAAATATAAGTTTGCTATAGAGCATGGGATTTAAACATCACCTAAAACAAAATTAAAAGTATTACGTCTCTTTTTTTTCGGTGGGAAATGGCGTTGCGACGAGCACAAACAGCAAGTTAAGTTAACTTTAGTTAAGTAATTTGACTTCGCCATAATGCATCCCACGTTTCACCATTTAACCAACATGCTTGGAAACTTGAATCTACATGGAATAAAATGCAAATAGTGTCAACATATATACAACATATCTGTTCAGAACCGTTTTTTTCGTCACCGTAAAATGTTTTTAATATTTTATTTATACGATATATAGTATAGGTTAATTTGGCAGAATATTTGTGAATTCAACCATATAACCGGCAAGATGATGCAGTTTGAAAACCCAATTGGGCCTCCGCAAAATATGCAACAGACTTCTGGAAATCCAGAATCACAAGTCGGATTCAACCAGTTCCAACAACAGCACACACCGTTCTATATTGACAACATTTTGGGTCCATCTCCACCAGCAAATAATTCAAACGGCAGCTCAAGCATCCTGAGTCGAAGTACGGAAGAAGACACAAACGTTGCTGTTCAAAATAACAATTTGGACCATAATACAAATGCCAATGCCATAACACCTGGTCCACAATCTATAAGTCCTTCCATATCTTTATCGGCGCCAATGACATATCATGTAGAGGACGGAACAAGTCAACCCGGTTTAATGAACAATATCAGACCAGTGACTTCAGCAATTACATATTCAACGCCACCAAGGTCGATGAACCATCAAAACTCTCCTGGACTTGTAGTTCCAACTCCAATACAAGCTGTACCCGGACATCCTCCGCCAATGTTGGGGTACCCACAAGCAAATCCAAATTATGGCCGGCCAGGTGCAATGTACGAACCTCAAAGAATTCCAGGTGATTTTAATTCTCCACATATACCGTATCACCCAGCAGGATCATATGGCCCAGGTCCCGGAATCTACCCATACCCGCATCATGACTACGCAACGCAGGCTTGGTTGTTGGAGAGACATGCATATACAAAATGTAAGTCATTTTTTTCAAAATGCATGTTAATTCATAATGCAATAAATACTTGCCGATGAAGAAATTCAAATATCTTTAAAATCTTCATGTTTTTTCTGTTAATATGTTTCGCACGTTGATGGAAAACTCCTTGGTGCTAAATTGATGCGCCAGTAACGACAGGGAAAGATTTTGACATGCGGCGAAATCCAAAACAAGAATAGTTTTCATATTCAAAAGCATTTATTTAGAATTGAATTTCTGATTTTCTTCACACTTTTGAAGATGCTGGAATGCATTATATTCGAAAACTTGTATATTTATTATTATTCGGTACTCGCGAGCGTTCAAAACCGCAAACTCTTCAATGTCGCCATTTTGGAATGTTGGGATTAAATCGAATCTAAAGCTCATGAGAGTATATTTCTGTACGTTGTGCGTAATAAGAACAATTTTTAATCATTGCTAGTTGCTTCGTAGATTCGAAACAATTATCCGGAATAAAACTTTAATTTTGCGTTCAGTAATATATCAGTTTAAGTACTCCCATAACACGCAATGCGTTGCCGAGGAAGTTGACAACGGCAAAACAATCGCCTAACAATTTGTTGAATTAAATCATGTAATTTACTGTGAATGCAATTGGCTGGCGTACGGGTAGTTTAACAAAAATGAATCGAAATTAATACAAAATTAATCGGGCATTGGCAACTAAAGCCGGACAACAAATTTCTATTCGAATTTAGTGATGTGAGACATAAAATCCGGCTGCAAATTTCGTTTGTTGTCGGTTTTTCACGCTGGTTATATTAAGTTGTTGTAGATGTCGCAAGAAATATTTTGAAATTATTCGGTTTTAATTGTCAGTGGCCTATGCTACATACTAACAGCTCATCTAACAGTTGAAATAAAATCGACAAAATTTTATTTTTTATGGGAAACATGAGATTTAAAAATTTTGTTCGATTTAGTCATGGCGAACTGCTAGTTAATTTTATGTTCCCTGTTATAACACTGGAACTTGCTCAATAAACTTCTTTACCTTGACAATATATAAATGATGTGTTTAAATTGAAGTGGGCATTTTGTGATTTAGGTTTAAAATTGCTACTACAATTATCCCTAAATTGCATAATTTCTGGCATCAAAACATTAAACGGTCAACTAATCATGTGGTTAATTCAATATTTGCAAAACGTATTGAAGTCAGGTGCTTGTTGAGGGCAATAGACGATTATAAATGAGGGGAAATGACTGTTAAATAGGATGCGGCTACAACACGACCTTCCATGAGTAATTTACCTAACCAACTGAATCAATGAGTAATCGTGTCATTTATTTATTGACATTTATAAATTATTTTCATCTAGCATTCATAATACATAACACTTGCGTATTAGCTGCATATCGAAACGATTCGTAAATCCTAATTGAAAAAGTCTTACAAACTTTTATTGAAAGATTACGGATGAACTTATCCAAACCGAACAAACCTTGTAAACGCAATCTGCACAACTTTTAATAAAGGCCATTGCGCAGTATATTCGCAAGCTACCGGTAATTAGTTTTGCAGTTACCTATGTACAGTGTATATATAAATATATATATTTATGACGCAGAATAAATTATATAAGTATCGGGAAACCCACTGAAAATAATAACTAATGGAGTGGGAGTTTTTTGTGATAAATTTGATGACAATACATATTTTGATGAAATGAGTTATTCTGAGATAATTTTAATGAATTCGTCAGATTGGAGTAAAAGTTGATTGGTTACTACTCGCACCATTAATATTGTCCAGAAATAATTTCAGAATCACTTATGTCTTTATAATTTAGTTTCAATGCTTCAAAATTTAGAATCTCGCGAACCCGTCTATGTGAATATGGACAACTTTATAGCATTGATATCATATATATATATTCTGTGCAAATAGGACCGGTTTTAGGTAGAATTGTCTTTCGGCAAAATATACTACTTAGGAACGTATGTTAATGAACCTATCAGAACGACAAACGTTTTTTTTTCATTTGACGTAACTGACTTCGAAAGGTTCATTTTTGAATTTGTTCTCGAGGGAGAAATCAGTACAAAGCTAATTCCCCTTACTTCCATAAATACGGTATTTGATCCTTTGTTGGTTTCATTTTTTATTAGATGGATATTAATCGACACACATCAAATGATTACATACAACGCGTTATTGATGCATGAATAAGAAACGTTAGCTTGCTACTCTATAACTGCTGTTGATTAGGAAGGCGTCTATTGAATTACAGGAAGGCAGGCTAAGAAGAACATCCGCGGCGTAGAGCTGCACCACAATACGCCCTCGGTTCACTGCGGCACGAAAATCGACTCCGAGCTTTGCGAGATTGCATTGGTGCTGTATATAACTGCGCCATGCGCTATTGCGTGAGCACACACAAATCTCTTCCAGGCAATATGATGCTACAGCTCGAACCTCGTTAGTCTTTGTGCGACCGCCTGATTCGAGCATTCCCAAGTCATAATTAATTACACATGCATTGACATAACGCGAAAAAATGCATTTAATTATATATTATGAGGAATGTGAATTTCGTTTAGTGTATATATCGCTGTTATTGAGGTTTTAAAGTATGGCGCATTCATACAGTTTTCTTCCTAGAATTCCGAGTCTCTGTTATACCGTTTAATTATTACGCAGATACAGTTACATTTTTAAGTCAAATAAACATACATTTGCCTGCACACGAAAGAAATATTTTCTTCAAACTGAGACATATTTTTCGACGATGTGCGCTTCTATTTTAACATTCTTATTACATCCTAATAACCACTACCATACAAGGAACCTAATTCATTACTGTTCCAAACATACCTATTGATAGACATATACTATCTATAGCAATTTACGTGCAATATCCATTAGCTATGGGAAGTGATTATCGTCAATTAATTGCCAAATATTACTATCACTCTATCACACAAATATTAGTCATGTTGGATAAATCGGTACGGATAAGTTGTCGATATACTTCCGTCACAATTAATTAATGCAAATTTCAGGCGTTTTCGTGTTACATACGTTTCAGCCATTTTGTGATATAAATAAGTTTTCAGCTTACATTTGAGAATCAAAATTCTAACATCTAAAGCATGGTCCGAATTCCACGATGCATCGCGCGAATTGGACATCTATCCATATCTATGACACATGTCGTAATCCCGCGTTTGAACTTCGAATTTGTTAAGCGCCGGAACAAAATGGAATTTGTCCTGCAACACCGGACCCTAGGTAAACATATCCGGCGCCATCATAGGCGACGTATTATGGAGTAATAGTTTATTGTACACACAACAATTGAATATTTATTACCGGATATTATCTTAAATCAAAGCCATACAAACGAGCGTTTGCGTATCACATTGATGGGCTGTGACTATGAGATAGAGAGTGTTCAAATGACTTGGAAATTTATTGACAAAATTCCCAACTAAATGGCATGAAAATGATTAAGTATTTTCTCCTATTGTTTGTTGAGATATCGTAAATTTGAATGAATTGCTACCATTTGCAGCATCAATTAGGTTAAGAGTATTCGGGGATGAATAAAAAACCCAGTGGTAGGTCATAATACTGCATTTTGCTAAATATATTTTTGCAAACTGACATCAATTTACAGCCGTCTGAGAATTAAAAGTCGAAATAGCAGTCAAAATTTTGCTCATGAAATGACCGAATCCATGACTTCTATCTCTTGATCAAACTTCTAATTTCGGTAATTTGAAACAAAATGAACAATTATCTTATTTTAGCTAAATTTCACTAAATATAGACATTTAGTTTAGTAATTTTTGATGTGTACATAATATTCAATATGCGACTAAAATAACGAATCTAGACAATACAAACCAAACAATACTCATATTATTAATATGTTTACATGTGATATGAAACGGTTGCTCATTTTTATGATTTGTGTCGCCACAAGTATTCATGTACTATTTGTGTGCTAACTAATCACATGTTTAATCTAGCAATAAAAAGGCCATTTACGATAAAAGTCATTCTATCAGATAATATTGTCATTTCGTTGTCATAAAGCGATATATAAATACCGAAACTATCTCGTTAAATCCACCATCGTAGGAACGTCCGCCTGTATAGCGTGAAACCCTGTCTATGGCGGCAGTGGGGCGCCGAGGGTTATAGGCGGTTCAGACTTAGACGCCTTGAGTACCCAATTGTCAAACAACCTTCGGCGACCCTTTGGCTACCCTTTTCCACCTTACGGAAAAATAGTTTTATTTTGAGATAATGCAGTTGCGACATTTTTTTTTAGATATGAAAGTGAAAATAAATTGAAAAGATTAGAATAACTTTCGATGAGTTTTAAAAATATCCGCTTCGTGATATGAATTGTGAAGCCTTCCTTGTTCACAGTCAGTTTCGGATTAGCCTATCGCAGTTACCCATTGAATAGCATATTTCCTTGGCATATCATATTTATGAAAAGCATAATACCACTATACTTTGAAAATACATAAAGAATAAGTAACAGGTATTCGTGCTACAAAGCTGTCTTCCCCCTTTCGACTAAAAATCGAGTTTCAAGCCTTATATACGCGTATATTGTGTAATGTGTGAGTGTGAAACCAATATTATATACATGATTTGATTCTTCGTTAATCTTCATGGGATTGAAACACTTAGATAACAAATAAGTTATTCAAACCCAACTGAAAGGAATTCAGCATTACGAATAATAGCGAGAATTCAAATTTACTTTTAGCTTTAGCTTTAGCTTTAGACAAGTATAATTATAGCTCCACAGTCACTGGCAGTTGCAGTAGTCTGATTTATCGATTTTGAAATCTGGAATTCAAATCTAAAATACACAGTCTAATGCTTTTTCATTTTCCCATTGCGATTGCTTTTGTACAAGGAAATAAAAATTTTGAAAACAGATATAATTTCTGTATTATCTAACATTAGTCTAGTTCGCAGTTCCACGTTTTAAACACCGAAAGAA